ATATCTTGAAAAAGTCTGGAGCATTTTTTTTTATCTAAGTGACTATCATTTACTGGGCAAAATTACCACTTTTATGGCCGTATTCTCACCTCTATAGTAAAGTGTAGTACACTTCCATCATTCATACATGATGAATACATTCACTCTTAATCAGACCCTCATTAAAAAAGATTCATGGAGTGCTCCAAGTTACTAAGACATGACACATTTAAATACAATAGTGTTCAGCATTGTTTTTTATTGGAGAAAATTTCTTAACCATCACTGCGAGCCTAAATTAACCATACAACAGGCATAACTGACTATTAATTTTACAAGATTGAGTGTTACGGCTTCCTCAAAATTTGGCATAGGCATCTTCACCAAAAAAACCAAAAACCATACAAATTATAACTGTAATTTAGCTGTTACTAAATGCCAGCTGATAGCATGCAGAGCAGTGAAATATTCCACTGATCTATAACAGCTCCTTTAAATCATAATAAAGAAACATATAATCTACTTACTGTCTATTATTAAACCCTCACAACAAGCTAATGTTAGTTTCAAATTTCTTATATTTAACAAAAAATGCGTACTACTGACATCATTTGCGTAAGACAGGAAGAATTATAAATGTATTGTAAACTACATCAAGATTTGGGTCCTGCTTGTTCATAGTTCATGGTCACCTTGTAGTGTTACTATGCTTTGTAGTAATGTCCTGTTAACTTACTGGTCTTGGCATTCCATCGAGTGTCTTTCTGTCTAGTTTATTTGTGTACACAAGTTTTTACCAGATACACTTAACACTTATAAATAACCATCTAATACTACTCACCCCCTGGCTCAATGTATTGCACACACAGCTTCAGGCCAACTATTCCTGTGTATTCCAAAAACTCCACACTCCAACAAAATCAATGGCGGAGATTTCCTTCATCTGCAGATTACGCCACAAATTCCTCCATGTCTTTTAAAAAATCTGAAAATTTCAAAAAAAGGCTATAAGTGTCCCTTGTTGCCGCCACTGATGGCTCATTAGCATCGGGAGATAATTATACATGGAATCAATACTTCCATCTACCCTTTGTAGCCTTAAAGCAAGCTCAGCTTCTGCGTGCCAATATTGATCCTAAGCTTGCTCCAACATATACACAGCTACTACCTTTAAAACATGCAGTCATTCCAACTTTATTTATAAATAAAAATGTGTGGGCAGGGCCGGCTCAGTATGTAGACATCTTCCCAATCATATTTGAGTGCTTTTATGGATTTAATTAATAAAGCATTTTCCTGTTCCAATCAATGAAAACTTCTACATTTCCAATTCACAAGTATTTTATTTTATCCAATACCTAATTACATGAAGCTAAAATTCAAATGTTTAAATCCACACATGATTAAGAATAACAAAACCACATCTGTTTGATGTCATAAATTTTGCTACCACATTTAGTGCAGAATACTTATGAAGCATCATGATAATAAAACATCATTTATGTATTGGATAACTATTTAACATGTCTGAACATATTAACAAATATGTAGTCATCTAAAAGCATCACAGTGACCCAAAACAAGAGCATGATTGCTTTAAATTTACATGTATCTAGAGAAACATAAAGCTTACAAGAGGTTAAAATGACAAAAACACTGATAACTAAGGTATAATACATGTATCTCTAAATTGTTTTTTTTTCCAAATAAAATTATTATTTATATATGTTTACCAAAAAGGTGTAAATGTAATTGAAACATTCACCAAACTTTTTTCTGACACTCAGTTTGCTTATTTGGATCAGTTTCTGCCATTTTTGGTGCCCGATCTACAATAAATCTGCAGTTCAAATATCGATTCTGTGTTCTAGAGGCTTTCCCCTACATGGGAAATCTCAAGAAACTGCTGAGTGATATTGGCAAGATCTACAAGGATCAATCACATACATTCATGTCATATATCCTCCATGCACAAACATGTGAGAAGCTTCAGACCCAAATACTATACAGGAGCTTCAAAAGTACTGCAATTTAGGTGGAAATACTGAACATTACTTATTACATAAACTGTACAAAATATTGTCAATATTAGAGATCATCTTCATTAAATTTCAAATCCACAAATTTACTATAGCATTTTAGTTATTCACTTACTGCAGGCAACTTTAGCAGCTTTTATAATTTCATGTTCACAACAATCCCCAGCAATGTTGAATTTTGTACACAGATCTAGTACACTGTACCATTTGAGAGTCCGTCTCAAGTCAGTCTGCATTAAGCATCTTTCTAAACTCTACGTTAGAATGGACAATACACAGGGCTTGAGCATTTCTTGGCAGTATGTACTAAATGAGATTCTGTGAAAATTCTACTGAATTTCATTCAGGGATTTAGAAGGAATTGCGTTAACAAAATGGGCACCCTCTTTATGGAGTATAATGGCAAAGTTTATGTTTTGCTATGGGAAACCCCAAATATCTTTCCAATCAAAACGTAAAATAGGAGGTGCAAAATGGAACTTTGTAATAAAGTCAAAGATTCTGTGGAATTTTCGTTAAATTGAACTCAGTGGTGTAAGAGGAGATGCAAATAAGGGATGGCTGACCCCTTAAGTGTAATGGACAAATGAACAAAAGGATGTACAGACAGAAGGAGGTACAGACTGACACCCAATAATTATTTACCTCCCTTCCCCCCCCCCTCCCCACTTTTCAAGCTGGGGGTATAACTATTCAACCTAAGACTAAGTAAGAGAAGCTTTCTTGCATTAAAAAAACAATTATTAATAATTTCCAGATAAAAGAAGTTTCTAAACACAGTCTTATAACATTTTTGTGTGCAATACTCTAACGGCATTTAAGTCATTAAATTATACTGAAAATTTTAGAAAATATTAATTTGAAGTCGGTGTCTAGGCCCCTTTACTCATGATGTTTTGTTTACATTAATTTACCATGCATGATAATTAGCACAGTAATTAAGCCATGTGTCAAGCATAATTTTAGGTGTTGTGAGAGTCAGAATTTAAAAAATGGCAGCAGGGAGCTTCTGGTTAAGGACAAATTTTCATTTTTCATGAATTCTGGTGATTCTGTGAATGGGGTCAAAAATACCTGACATTTTATGTACAGTCCGTACATTATCTCTTTGCATATATCATAAAGCTATAAATCAGTGGTAAAGTATGTGTTACATGTTTGGAATAAATCAGTATGGTAAATGTTATACTAAGTGAATCAGTATGGTGTGCATGATACTGTTATACCTTGCATGCAGTATATCAAGTGAATCAGTATGGTACATAACTGAATGAGAATGATATGTCATAATGATACTCAAGTGAATCAAATTAACATGTATAATAATTATAATAAAGCCCCTCTTCTGCTACCAAGCAGAGTTGTGGAAAACTTTTTCAGACAACCAGCCATTCGGACTGGCAAGAAGACAAAATAAGCCAGTCCGAAGTAATTTTTGCAGGTCCGAAATACATGTAGTAAGTCGCAATCGCATATAAGATGATAAATGGAAACATAAAAAACTTTGACCAAAAAAGGGGTCGGTCATTTGGACCGACATCGATAGCATTTTTACCGGTCACACGCATTTTTTGCAGGTTTTGCCGACATGACCGGCAGTTTTCCACAACTCTGCTACCAAGTACATGAATTTCCATCTTGTTTCATTTTCAGTGGGAAGTTAACAACACTGAACAAAGCTGGACAAAATTTGCTTTTTCTTGATTTCTGCATGCTTACTGTTCTTGGAAGTTTATGTCCAATATAAAAATCCATTTTTCTTTTAGGATGTGCTGTAAGTATGCAGCATATATATTTACATACAGTGCTCTTGATATATTCCAGCATGTTTAACACAGCATACAAATTCATTAGAGAAAACAGATGTGGATTCAAAACTTCATCACTATAGGAGTTGAAGTAAACAAGTTGTCTTACATCACATGCAGTCTGTTTACTCTAAGCATGTCGGAACATAAAACATTATCTTATCTAAGATAAACTGCATGGATTAGCTACTAATTTTTAAGCTTTACTGTCTGAAGATTCAAAACTATATACACATATTTTTCTTATATGCCATAATAAAAAGACTTTCCCTTTATGCAATTAAAAAATTTGTACTTATAAAGACAAAATTTCATATTTCTGTTTTTGTGACATGACCTGGCGAGTTCTCCTTTGAAGTCAACCGTACAATAACTGCCATACAGAACACTTTTGTGGGTGTTTCAAGCTATCACTCTCACCTTAAGCCCCACCCTGTATCTCCAATACAGTAGGAAACTTGTACTCTAAATATAACTTACGGCATAAGGACAAGATCACCCCATCCCCAAATCAAAATCATCTTTTAATGACATATTTGTGATCTAATCCAAACTATCAGTCTGAAAAATTATTAAAAACAAACATTTAATTTCTATCCCACTCTTTATATGTCATTGTCAACTTCATTTCAAGTCAAAAGGCACTAGCTACCAAAGAATTTTTGACAAAAGTGTCATCTCTCCATAAATACAGGTTGATACACACACCAGGCCTATTTGAAAATTGACCATGACAGAGATCTCAGGATGATGACCATGGTGACAATTTTCAGTTATTTACGCATTTATTAAATATGAAATTCTACTGTACATTACACTTAAACGTCTCTCACCTATTGTTTTTAAGACTCCCGTTCACAGAATATACAATCAGTGCATCACTAACGACATCAAAATATGGGAAGTCTATCAGCTAATTCTGATAGGACCCCACCTATCATTGAAATATTTTATTTAATATCATTAAGTATAAAATAACAGAAAAATCATCGTAATTTTTGTTTCATTTATTTATTTCTTTTACATGGCACACGTTTGATATTTTTTCTTTCGTTCACTGATGACTTTTTAAAATTTATTTTTATTAATGATATAAGAACCATGTCAAACGAAAGTCGGGATCGAAATTCTGAGGGATGAAGTTCCCGCCATCTTGAACGTGAAAAACTGGAATGTCAATGTGATTGAATGTGAACATTGTATGTAATCACAAGTAATGAAGTTGTTTTTTATTGTGACTTTTAATTATGTATCAAATTGTTATGCATAATCAGCTTTAACTTCCGCAGTATATTGACATAAAACCTTATCGACACTTGTTCTAATGTCGCAGCAATTTTAGGAAACCTTCGTCAGCTAATTTTATGTTATCAGGTCTGGTACAATCACTAGATTTAGCCAGGTAGCTTGATTAACCTACAAAGCTTTATTTACCTACCTGAAGTAGCTTTATTTAGCTACTAAATCAAACTTATTTCTTAAATTAGCATTTTCCCCAGAAAGTGCAGAAAATTGCAATTTGATGCAGTGATAATTTTCAACTTTGAACTCATCTGAAAACAGTTAATGAAAAAATCACTCTTGGAAATGCGTCTTTTTCTGCGCAATTGCAATCAAAGTTCTAAAAGTTTTGGGGCTATATACAACAGTTAGTTTGTGACCTAACAGTTACTTCTTGAGTGAAATAACAAAGAAAACCAATTTTGGTTAACATGAGCACAATGTGAAGTAATCATACTTATCCATGCCTTATCGCACACAAGTTACTCAAACAATGGAATCGCATATTTTCCTTAAAAGTGTGTCAAACGCAGCAATGTTAAAACTATCTCTGCTTTAGATTGCTTTTTAATTAATACCTAGAATAAATATTAGTAGACATTTACTTGCGACTTTTTGTCTTTTTAAAATGAAAAGCAAAATTGCGAAAAGTTGCCTTGAAATAGCTAAATAAAGCTACCTGAGGTAGGTAAATAAAGCTACAGTAGGTAATTTTAGCTACATAGCTAAATGTACTGATTGTACTGGACCTGATAACTATTAAAGTAAAATTATTTTTACTCAAGCCATAGAGGGGCTTGAGTTATGTTAATCGATGCTAGGTCAACAGTGGAAAGCTATTTGGGTTGCTGTGTATCAGATTTTGCGATGTGGTTTAGGAAATAGTAGTACAAATAAATGCACGTAGCATTAAATACATGTATGTTTATAAATACATATGGACAAGTATTTCAGTCAAATAGAAACTATTACTACCACCACTATGCCTTGTAAAATATTCCTGAAAATGAGTGATGTATTGAATACACTTTAAAAAGTAGTACGACTAAGTATATTAATACTAAATTATATATGAATTTTAGGTAAAATAATTAAAACTGTTATTTTATTACGCAGGTGCAACTTCTTGATAAAGCCCTATATCCATGTGTATTTATTTGTTATCTAGTACATGTATTTTATTCAACAGAAGTTGAGGAATCTCATAAGCCTACATTTTATAATGTATGTCATTTTAGGACATTTATGACACTTCTTCATAGACTTTCTACAGCTTGAGTGTCTCTTACTTTTTGTCAGTGTATATAAATCTTGTTATTTATGTGGCTATAGGTTTAGTTGTAATACAGATTGAACACTGTAATATCAATTTTCTCTAATAAATCTTGTGGAACATAACACCTCACCAAGGTTCAAATTCATTTTACCCATTTAATTTTTGTCTATTTCAAATGAAAAGCTAGTGAAAACTTGCATTAAAGTAGCCAAATAAAGCTATGTAGGTAATTCAAGCTATGTAGTTTAATGTAATGATTGCACTTGACATGTTCAATTAAAGTAGTATCGGTTCTACAGGGGGTCTATTATGGTGAATCAATGTAGCATATTTTTGGCCTAATACTGAGTATAGTTTACCTCTTGTTTCAGATAACCATGAGTGACTTTCAAGAATATCCAGATGTAGTCCAGGAGGTTAGAGGTGCATTGGTATGTATGAGCCATGCTAGATAGGCATAGGAAATTACCATATCCATTATACAATAATACAGTTAGCTTTTGAAGCAAAGGCTTGATTTTTTTTTAAACTAGCATCTTGGTAAAATTTTGAAAAGTTAGAGGAGTAGTATGTTGTAGTTTATACCCTCACTCCTGAGTTTTTATTGGCCAGTGATTGATGCTAGGCTTTTTCAGTTTGCAGGTTCCCCCCCCCCCCCCCCCCCAGATTTGGGAGTAGTGCGATACAGCAAACATTTTATGTATTAGCTAGATAACATTTTAATGATATATTATTATTATGATTTATTAATGCATTGAACAATTTTGTGATATGTGAACACATCTCATTCAGTTAATATTGTTCTTACTTCTAAAGAGTAAGGAGTCAAGACATACAAAAAAGACAATTTGATCCTCTTTGTAGAATCCTGGCAGATTAAAATTACAGAGCAACAGTGTCATCTTTAAGAACAACAAAACTGGTAAGATTGACCAATACCCAGGGACTGAAGTGGACAAGGTTCACTGGTTAAAGAGAGCACGAGGGAACTGTCTGAAATTTCTCCTGTCAAGTGGAACCATTCACCGATATGATGGCTTCAAGGAAGGGGTAAAAGATCTGAAATCAATAAAAATCAGATATTAAATTTGCCAGGCATTTCGCTCTCATATTTATTTATCCAGGGGTTTATTTCACCTTTCTTTTAAATTTAAACAATTGTTTGAATACTTGACGATATATTTGAAAAAAATCATCTCTTGATTGATAAAAGTATTTTATAACAATCTTTTGAAAGATGTATGAAATAAACTAGCAGCATCATTCTTGCAGTCCCACAACAACATGGGAATTAAAGATAAGTTATCAAACCTTTTGAAGCTAAAACCCAACACTATTGATATCCCTTTTTTTTGGGGGGGGGGGGGGGGGGGGTAGAATAATTTTTCACTGTTAAACATTGTAGACTTAACTGCTAAAGAAATTTTATTTATCAGCACATGCTACTTTGTGCCCCCCCCCCCCCCCCCCCTTGCCAAAACTCCTAAGTATTAAGCAATGGCCACATAATGAAATAGTTAAGTAAAGATATCAAAGGTTTTTTAATTAATTTTGAAACATAGGAAAAGTTAAAAAGATACTGCTGTATATTTTTTAACATGAATAAAATGTCTTTGTATCTTGATAAATACTTGTTGGTATTTTATAGTTTTCCAAAATATATTTATAGTACTATTAACTGAATTATAGAATCAAGAAATACATCAAATCTAATATTGCTGATGAAAATCACCAAATAATTTATGATTCATGTTTAAAGTCACATTCCTAGAGACTAGTAGTACCCTAATTTTTACTTGTAGGAGTTTGAGAAACTTGCAGCTTTTATTTCGAAGTATTACATGGTGAGTTTAGAGAAGAAAGACATGTCAGTCAAAGGATGGAACTGGGGACTCGCTAATTTCACAGGTAAGTTCTAACTTAGAATCTATTCATATTTATGTATATGTAGCATTGTTAAAGGATGCAAAAATTATCATACTATCTACCTGAAGCATTTGAAATTTTTCATACTTGTGTCTTTTGAATAACAAAATGTGAAATCATTCTGACTTCATACATATACAATGTACATCTGTTATTTGTTCACCTGATCTTTATTTTTTACAGGAAATGCCTTGGAGTTTGAGGTGGACAACAAGTTAGCCTTTGAGGTCCCCCTTAGCCACGTCTCTCACACCACCACGGCTAAACAGGAGGTGACTCTCGAGTTCCACCCCAATGATGACGCTGCAGTGTCCCTGATGGAATTAAGGTTCCACATTCCACCAGATCCAAAGGACACAGAGAAAGATCTTGTACAGGTCAGTCAATACAGAGAAAGATCTTGTACAGGTCAGTCAATACAGAGAAAGATCTTGTACAGGTCATCAATACAGAGAAAGATCTTGTGCAGGTCAGTCAATACAGAGAAAGATCTTGTACAGGTAAGTCTATATAGAGAAAGATCTTGTACAGGTCAGTCAATACAGAGAAAGATCTTGTACAGGTCAGTCAATACAGAGAAAGATCTTGTACAGGTCAGTCAATACAGAGAACAAGAGGCCCAGGGGCCACATCGCTCACCTGAGCACTATGGCTAGGAAAAAGCAGAAATCACTTCAATCTTGAAAGGTTGAAAAGTTTAAATATAAAAGTGGTTGGGGGGGGGGGGGGGGGGGGTGTCAGGAATTGAACAAATTTGAATCTACATTATCTGAGGATGCTTCCATTTAAATATGACCAATCATGGCTTTGCTGTTCTTGAGTAGAAGATTTTTAAAGATTTAACCTATGTATTCCTATGTAAAACTTTGATCACCCATTGTGGCCCCACCCGACCCACAGGGGTCATGTTTGAACAAACTTGAATGTACACTATCTAAGAATGCTTCCATATAAATATGACCAATCATGGCTTTGCTATTCTTAACAAATAGTTTTTTTTTAAAGATTTTTACTATGTGTTCCAATGTAAAACTTTGATGGCCCATTGTGGCCCCACCCGACTCCCGGGGGTCATGATTCGAGCACATTTGTATGTACACTATCTGAGGATGCTACCATATAAATATGACCAATCATGGCTTTGCTATTCTTAATAAATTGTTTTTTTTTTTTAGAATTTTTACTATGTGTTCCTATGTAAAACTTTGATCGCCCATTGTGGCCCCACCCGACCCCCGGGGGTCATGATTTGAACAAATTTGAATGTACACTATCTGAGGATGCTACCATATAAATATGACCAATCATGGCTTTGCTGTTCTTGAGAAGAAGATTTTTACTATGTGTTCCTATGTAAAACTTTGATCGCCCATTGTGGCCCCACCCGACCCCCGGGGGTCATGAGTTGAATAAATTTGAATGTACACTACCTGAGGATGCTTCCATGTAAATATGAGCAATCATGGCTTTGCTGTTCTTGAGAAGAAGATTTTTAAAGATTTTTCCTATATATTCCTATGTAAAACTTTGATCGCCCATTGTGGTCCCACCCGACCCCCGGGGGTCATGAGTTGAACAAACTTGAATCTACACTACCTGAGGATGCTACCATATAAATATGACCAATGATGGCTTTGTTGTTCTTGAGAAGAAGATTTTTAAAGACTTTTCCTATATATTCCTATGTAAAACTTTGATCGCCCATTGTGGCCCCACCCGACCCCCGGGGGTCATGATTTGAACAAATTTGAATGTACACTACCTGAGGATGCTTCCATGTAAATATGACCAATCATGGCTTTGCTGTTCTTGAGAAGAAGATTTTTAAAGATTTTTCCTATATATTCCTATGTAAAACTTTGATCGCCCATTGTGGCCCCACCCTACCACCGGGGGTCATGATTTGAACAAACTTGAATCTACACTACCTGAGGATGCTTCCAAGTAAATATGACCAATCATGGCTTTGCTGTTCTTGAGAAGAAGATTTTTGAAGATTTTTCCTATATATTCCTATGTAAAACTTTGATCACCCATTGTGGCCCCACCCGACCCCCGGGGGTCATGATTTGAACAAACTTGAATGTACACTATCTGAGGATGCTACCATATAAATATGACCAAGTATGGCTTTGCTGTTCTTGAGAAGAAGATTTTTAAAGATTTTTCCTGTATATTTCCTATGTAAAACTTTGATCGCCCATTGTGGCCCCACCCTACCCCCGGGGGTCATGATTTGAACAAACTTGAATCTACACTACCTGAGGATGCTTCCACATAAGTTTCATGTTTTCAAGCACAGTGGTTCTTGAGAAGAAGATTTTTTAATGATGCCATTAATTTTTCACGAATTCTTAATTATCTCCCCTTGGAAGAGGGCGTGGCCCTTCATTTGAACAAACTTGAATCCCCTTTACCCAAGGATACTTTGTGGCAAGTTTGATTGAAATTGGCCCAGTGGTTCTTGAGAAGAAGTCGAAAATGTGAAAAGTTTACAGACGGACAGACAGACGGACAGACGGACTACAGACAAAATGTGATCAGAAAAGCTCACTTGAGCCTTCGGCTCAGGTGAGCTAAAGATCTTGTAAAGGTAAGTGAATAACATGTGCAGTTTACAAAATACACAATATTTATATTTGTGTATTGGCTGCTCATACTGTTTGTTTTTATAGGGATGAAAATTACATTTCTGCATATTATTAAATTAACAAAATCTTTTGCTAAAGAATGTTCATTGAGTGGTAGAGTTTTATACATTTAAATGAGAATTCCATATTTCATAACTTGTGTTATTTTGTTTAAGGAATTTTACAACAATGTTCTGGAGAAGGCAGATATCATACAGGCCACAGGAGATGCCCTTGCTGTGTTTACTGAGGTCCAATGTCTCACTCCCAGGTATATGTCACAAGGGGTTCACAGCTATTGTCATTAACAAACTTGCCAAATGTGTATTTATACATTGACATTGTACATGTGGTTGTATATAAGTAATTTATATTTTAAAAGTGCATTTTAAAAAAAAAATGTATTGGGTATTAAAAATAAAATATTCTGGAGAAGCAAAATGCATATACAGAATAGATGTACATGTACATGTAATTTTGTTTTTTTTAATTTGAAAGGAATGGAAACTTACAATATACTTGTTTTCTTGCAGAGGTCGATATGATTTCAAAATGTACGGCACATTTCTACAACTCCACGGTAAAACCTTTGACTACAAGATTCCCTACACAACTGTTTTACGATTATTTTTACTTCCACACAAAGATGGCAGACAGATGTTCTTCGTGGTGAGTGAAGTAACAGCATAGAAATCGAAATGGTGCAGTGAATAATAATTAAGAACTGAATGCATTTTATACCAAAAGAAGATTGACTTGTATAGAAGAGTACTGTATTGCTGCATTTACATTGTAGATAAGCTTGGATCCACCCATTAAGCAGGGACAGACAAGATACCATTTCTGTATTCTGCTGTTCAACATTGATGATGAAATGTCAATTGAACTAGGAATATCTGAGTATGCTGTTGCTTTATTAAAAGTTTTACATTTTGTTCTTAATTATTTATCATTACCTAGAGATATGTTATAGGTATTAAAATTTTAGGGTTCTTTTCTTTAAAGTATGATTTTCAGATATCAATGTATGTATATTTTTTGTTTATTAGCTCACCTGAGCCGAAGGCTCAAGTGAGCTTTTCTGATCACTTTTTGTCCGTCGTCCGTCTGTCCGTCCGTCTGTCCGTCTGTAAACTTTTCACATTTTCGACTTCTTCTCAAGAACCACTGGGCCAAATTCAACCAAACTTGCCACAAAGTATCCTTGGGTGAAGGGAATTCAAGTTTGTTCAAATGAAGGGCCACGCCCTCTTTCAAGGGGAGATAATTAGGAATTAGTGAAAAAATAATGGCATCATTTAAAAATCTTCTTCTCAAGAACCACTGGACCAGGAAAGATGAAACTTATGTTGAAACATCCTCAGGTGGTGTAGATTCAAGTTTGTTCAAATCATGACCCCCGGGGGTAGGGTGGGGCCACAATGGGGAATCAAAGTTCTACATAGATATATATAGGAAAATATCTTTAAAAATCTTCTTCTTAAGAACAGCAAAGCCGTGATTGGTCATATTTATAGGGAAACATCCTTAGGTGGTGTAGATTCAAGTTTGTTCAAATCATGACCCCCGGGGGTAGGGTGGGGCCACAATGGGGGATCAAAGTTCTACATAGACATATATAGGAAAATATCTTTAAAAATCTTCTTCTTAAGAACAGTAAAGCCGTGATTGGTCATATTTATAGGGAAACATCCTTAGGTGGTGTAGATTCAAGTTTGTTCAAATCATGACCCCCGGGGGTCGGGTGGGGCCACAATGGGGGATCAAAGTTCTACATAGATATATATAGGAAAATATCTTTAAAAATCTTCTTCTTAAGAACAGTAAAGCCTTGATTGGTCATATTTATAGGGAAGCATCCTGAGGTGGTGTAGATTCAAGTTTGTTCAAATCATGACCCCCGGGGTTAGGGTGGGGCCACAATGGGTGATCAAAGTTCTACATAGACATATATAGGAAAATATCTTTAAAAATCTTCTTCTTAAGAACAGTAAAGCCATGATTGGTCATATTTTTATGGAAACATCCTGAGGTGGTGAAGATTCAAGTTTGTTCAAATCATGACCCCCGGGGTTAGGGTGAGGCCACAATGGGGGATCAAAGTTCTAAATAGACATATATAGGAAAATATCTTTAAAAATCTTCTTCTTAAGAACAGTAAAGCCATGATTGGTCATATTTATAGGGAAGCATCCTGAGGTGGTGTAGATTCAAGTTTGTTCAAATCATGACCCCCGGGGGTAGGGTGGGGCCACAATGAGGGATCAAAGTTTTACATAGAAATATATAGGAAAATATCTTTAGAAATCTTCTTCTTAAGAACAGTTAAGCCATGATTGGTCATATTTATATGGAAACATCCTGAGGTGGTGTAGATTCAAGTTTGTTCAAATCATGACCCCCGGGGGTCGGGTGGGGCCACAATGGGGGATCAAAGTTCTACATAGACATATATAGGAAAATATCTTTAAAAATCTTCTTCTTAAGAACAGTAAAGCCTTGATTGGTCATATTTATACGGAAGCATCCTCAGGTGGTGTAGATTCAAGGTTGTTCAAATCATGACCCCCGGGGGTCGGGTGGGGCCACAATGGGGGATCAAAGTTTTACATAGTAATATATAGGAAAATATCTTTAAAAATCTTCTTCTTAAGAACAGTAAAGCCATGATTGGTCATATTTATAGGGAAGCATCCTCAGGTGGTGTAGATTCAAGTTTGTTCAAATCATGACCCCCGGGGGTAGGATGGGGCCACAATGGGGGATCAAAGTTCTACATAGATATATATAGGAAAATATCTTTAAAAATCTTCTTCTTAAGAACAGCAAAGCCGTGATTGGTCATATTTATATGGAAACATCCTGAGGTGGTGTAGATTCAAGTTTGTTCAAATCATGACCCCCGGGGTTAGGGTGGGGCCACAATGGGGGATCAAAGTTCTATATAGTCATATATAGGAAAATATCTTTAAAAATCTTCTTCTTAAGAACAGTAAAGCCATGATTGGTCATATTTATATGGAAGCATCCTCAGGTAGTGTAGATTCAAGTTTGTTCAAATCATGACCCCCCCCCCCCCCCCCCCCCCCCCCGGGGGGATAGTATGGGGCCACAATGGGGGATCAAAGTTTTTCATAAAAGTATATAGAAAAAACTTTAAAAATCTTCCTCTCAAGATCAGCAAAGTCATGACTGGTCATATTTAAATGGAAGCATTCTCAGGTAGTGTAGATTCAAGTTTGTTCAAATCAGGGCCCCCAGGGGTAGGGTGGGGGCACAATGGAGGATCAAATTTTTACAAATGAATGTATGGGAAAAATTCTTCTGCTCAAGGATAGCAAAGCCATTTGTTATATTGATATGAAAGCATCATCAGGTAGTTTAAAATTTCCCCCCTCCCCCCTGTAAATTTTTCAATACTGAACTGATTTTTGCTTTTTTTCTCCTAGCCAATGTGCTCAGGTGAGCGATGTGGCCCATGGGCCTCTTGTTTTTGGTGTTTGTAGTGATGATCTCAAAGAAAAATATGAAGGTAAATTACAGAAAGAAATGTCTGGTCCTGAGTACGAGGTGATCAGTCGTGTGTTTAAGGCAGTAACGAACCGTAAAATCACAGTTCCAGGATCATTCCTAAGGTAGCACATCAGTGGACTGTCATGGACTACTAGAGTTGTAAATTTTAGAATGTGACATGTTAAGAGATATATTTAAGTTGATCATTCACAATGATTAGGTAAATTGGTCTCCAAGTATTAATTCAGTTTCGTTATGTTTTTCAGTAACACAAAATCACACTCCATCAGCTGTTCCTACAAAGCAGCCACCGGGTTCTTGTATCCTCTAGAGAGGGGTTTCATATTTGTTCACAAACCCCCAATACACATCCGCTTCGATGAGGTTGTAACCGTAAACTTCGCTCGAAGTGCAGGAACAAACAGATCATTTGACTTTGATGTGGAAACAAAGTCTGGGACCACCTACACATTTGTTGGTATAGAGAAGTAAGTCATCACTCTACATCGTGGTATTTAGAAGTAAAGTAGTATTTAAACCTTCACAGATTTTGATTAAATGAGTAAGACATTATTTTGTTTGTTTCATTTTCTCTCATTAAAGGAAAAAAATCGTGGAAAGTTTGTCTGAGGTGATATTCATGTATTTTTTATACATCAATGTGTACAATATGAAATTAAGAAAATTTTCTAAATTTCGAAATTTAGATTCATTCTGCATTGTTCGAATTTTTCTTTCTCCAGAGATGAGTATGGAAAGTTGTATGATTTTGTGACCAGCAAAAAACTGAGAGTAAAAAATATCAATGGCAAAGGGGTAAGTAGATGCACAATATATGTATATGTTTATAACAAAGCGAATTCGTCCGTCCCAGGCACTTCATCATAATTGTGTGTTACTGGATTGGGAATTTGTGATACATATACATATACTTTGAAATCCCTAAATTTAAGAGGGTTTAATTTTTAAAGTTTTCTTGATATGAAGAGACCAGCAAATTCTTGTTCATTCAGAACTGTTAAAATCTCAATACTATACTTCAAAAACTATGAAATAACATCCCCTTGAACCTACATTTTTCCTTAAAACCACAAAAATTTGATCCCACGAAAAGTGATTTTATGGTATTAATATGAAACTTGAGAAAAAGCTATAGTAGATATTTCTTCATAAAGGAGGCATTTTCCACATATTTTCCATAACTTTAAAAACATGATCAATTATATTACTTCTTTTCATATTTGGGTTAGGCTTATTTTTTATAGGGCAATCAAAATTCTTTTTTATGCCTTTTTTTGTACATTTTATACTTTTAAATGCATATTGTGTACTGTGTCATAGAACACTGTATGTAATATTTGATATATTATCTGATGATTATATTCTTACACCTTTAATGAATGTATAAATCGCCACATAATATTTTTTAAAGGATAAGGCACCATACAGGGATGACATGTCTGGTTCGGATGATGAAGATGACCATGACGCTTATCTGGAGAGAATGAAAGCAGAGGGCAAGGACAGACAAAGTGGAGATGAAGACGATGACAGTGATAGTTCTGGTGGGTAGACATTTATATAACAGTGATAGTTCTGGTGGGTAGACATTTGTATAACAGTGATAGTTCTGGTGGGTAGACATTTGTATAACAGTGATAGTTCTGGTGGGTAGACATTTGTATAACAGTGATAGTTCTGGTTGGTAGACATTTATATAACAGTGATAGTTCTGGAGGGTAGACATTTATATAACAGTGATAGTTCTGGAGGGTAGACATTTATATAACAGTGATAGTTCTGGAGGGTAGACATTTGTATAACAGTGATAGTTCTGGTGGGTAGACATTTGTATAACAGTGATAGTTCTGGAGGGTAGACATTTAGAGTGGATTAACAGATAGGGAGTATAACAGTGATAGTTCTGGTGGGTAGACATTTAGAGTGGATTAACAGAGTTGGAAAAGGGGACATGAAGGGGTTTAACAGATAGGGTTGGTGAGGTGAAAATGTTTGTGAGGATAAGGGGAAACAGCAACAATTTTATCTAGTTGGTAGCATGAAACATACAGAGCCTTAATTAAGACAAAACTTAAAATAAGTAAGATGCATATTGATTGCTTAATTGAAGAGATAAATACAATGAAAATAATCATATTGGATGATGGAAGGGCTTTGAGCATTTGGGGGTTTTGGAGGGAGAGTACCATGGATTTAGCACACTTGAGGCAGTCAAAAACAGAAATACATTGAAACTTTGTTTAGTACGAACACGGATATTGTGAATTCACTGATATAGCAAAGTTTTCTTGGATCCCCAGCTTTATATATTTTATGAATTCCTTATAGAGATATAATGAATTATGGATGTAGCAAAGTCAGTTTACAGGTTCCAGTGACTTCTTTACAACTGAATTCATCTATATAATCCAATTATTTTTTAAATTGTAGATGAGTCCTACAATCCCAATGAAAGTGCCAGTGATGTGGCTGAAGAGTAAGTTATCTACCATTGATAGTGATCTGGTCTTGTAAATTATCAAAATAATCCAGTTTTCACCAGACAGTAGGGATACGTAACATAAAATTTATACGTAATATCTGGCACATTTTACACAGATATGACAGTAATCCTCCTACCTCCTCTGAGGATTCCGAGGACTCGGAGGACCAGAGTAGTAGTGACGAAGGAGGATCAGATGAGGAGGCCAAGGAACAGAGACGCAAAGAAAAAGAGGAAAAGAAGGCCAAAGCTAAGGAGAAAAAGAAGTCACGTACAGCAAAAACTGTGGTAGGTCATCTCGGAAAAGCTTGTAGTACATCTTATATTAAGTACAGTCAAACTTTGGTCTTGGAAAAGTTTGTGGAACATCTTATAATAAGTACAGTCAAACTGTGGTATATCTCGGACAGTCACATTCAGCTAAAACTGTGGTAGGTGTCAGGTAGGCTGGCTTGTGGTACATGTATATCTCATGTTGTCACATACAGTTTAAACTGGTAGTTCTGATGAAGACAAGTTTGTAGGGATCTACACTAACATGAATCCATAAGTCTCAGACCAATTCACTTTCTTTTGGATTAATAAAGGCTGTAGCTAATCAGTCTGAATGGACCAATAAAATTTCCTGGTAAATAACATGATTAAATCATCAATGTCTTTTTGGCTTCCTAGCTCCTTAGCAGGTAGTTACATAATTCTGAGTCAAATCAGCACTTAATTGTACAACTGATCGATATGAAGAAAATATTTTAGCAATAATGACTTAGTATGACACATACAAGAAAATGTCAGACATCTTTGATGTAATGTGTAGAGTAAAACGAATGAGATCTTGCTGGTTATGAGATTTCAATAAATTTGTGGAATAAAACACTTCACGTAAAGGTACTTTGTACATTTCAAAGAAAAGTATAAAAAGTACATGGTAATATTAATTTTTAATATAATCATTACAAAATATTAATGTTTCTTTTTTTGATGGACTTATAAATAAAAATGGACTAGTAAAGTCCACAAACACTAGTCTACTGAACTAATGTCTAGAAAAATCAAACCCTGTGTTCTGATGTACAGCTAAAACTTTGGTAGTCTTAGGTAAAACTGTAGTATGTAACAGGTATTAAAACAAGTTCTTGATACATTTTATGATGTCACATACAGCTAAAACGTGTAGACAAGCTTGGGTACATCTTGTACTGAGATTTCAGGCAAAAATCATTAAACTATGATTGCATTTGGTCAGATAAGACTGCAATACATACCTGGTAAAAAGGATTATGGTAGGATTCTGTCAGTCAGATGTTAGTTCTCAAGATAAATTTACATGAACATGTAATTTCAGAGAGAAAAACTGCCAGGTTCAGAGAAGAAGAAAAAGAAATCAAAATCAAAGAAGGACCCTAATGCTCCCAAGAGGCCTCAGTCTGCCTACTTACTGTGGTTCAATGCTAGCAGAGAGGAGATGAAGAAAGATAACCCAGAACTAAGCATCACAGATCTGAGTAAAAAGGCTGGAGAATTGTGGAAAGAACTGGAGGATAAAACAGTAAGTTTATTCTGATTAGGATAAAAGATAAAAATGGTTAACAAATACAGTGGAGTTTTGTAATAGCAATGTTCCTTTTGTCACAGTAAAACATACCAAGGCCAACGTAATGAAAGTTCCCAATAAAATCCATAAAAACATTGTTTTGAAAGATTATGGATGGCTGTGTAGTTTTTCCATTCTGTTTTTTTCTCCTGCTCCACTTCAAATTTCTTAGTTGCACTCTTTGACACTTTAATTTACTGACAATTTATTTTGTACATTTCTTATGCTGTTGAACTCTGTTTGCTTTATTTCTAATGCAGGATTCATATTTTGTAGTAAACTTAGGCTTTGCGCATCCATCCCCACCATTTTCTTTTACTTTCACTTCAATGTGTACTTGGAAGATAATGCATTCATACAAATTTCACTGAAAAACAATTTTCCTTTTCATTAACTTTATACATGGTACTCATCTGATTTTAAAAGGAATGGAATGAGAAGGCTGCCGAAGCAAAGAAAGAGTACGAAAAAGCCATGGAGGAATACAGAGCAGAAAAGGCTCAGGCCTCGGAAGAGGAGGATGGGGAATTGTCGAAGGATGGGAAATCTCCAAAGTAAGTCACTATCAGTTAATCTGGGAAATCACTCTTAGTTAATCTGGGAAATCTCCAGAGTAAGTCACTGTCAGTTAATCTGGGAAATCACTGTCAGTTAATCTGGGAAATCACTTAAGTAAGTCACTCTCAATTAATCTGGGAAATCACTTAAGTAAGTCACTCTCAATTAATCTGGGAAATCATCAAAGTAAGTCTTTCAGATAATCTGGAAAATCACAGGAGTAAGTCACTCAGTTTATCTGGGAAATCGCCAAAATAAATCACTCTTGGTTAATATGGGAAATAACTAAAGTGAAGTCTGAGCTATGAAATGAAAATGAACTAAAGTTAAGGTACTCTCAAAGGGCAGCTGAATTTCATCACTGTTCAGGAGCTATAGCATTGATAGAATTTCAGTTCCATTTCCCAGCTGTCTGTGTGATAAAAAGAATTAATGCAGTTCCTCTTACATGTACATTTGTTGTCCGAGTTGAATGATCCCTTACCATGTTAACTCAAGTTTAAATCTATGGAGAAAAAAAAATTGTACTTGTATCATGAATTCTATCTCTAAAAATATAAAAGAATTATTTCTACATATATGCATTAGTGGATTCAAGAAGATAATATTCTCATAATGATGTCATATTTCAAAAAATAGTGTAGACACTGTTCCTAAATTAAAATTTTAGACACAAGTTCATTACATTGTACTTTGCAGGAAGAGAAAGAGTCCAAAGAAGAGCCCTAGTAAATCGGCTTCAGAGAGCCGAGCGGGGGCTGGAGCTAATTATAAGAGCAAGGAGTACATTTCCAGCTCAGGCGAATCATCAGGATCTGATAGCGATGACAAACCACTCAAAAAGAAAACCAAGAAGGATGAAGGCACAAAGGAAAAGAAGAAAAAGAAGGGGAAAGAAGAACCGAAAACAAGGAAGTCCAGGCGACAGAACAAAGGAGGAAGTGAGAGTGAGAGCAGTGTGGGGGAGGTAAGGGCCTGACCATAAAAGGAAGTGAGAGTGAGAGAAGTGTGGGGGAGGTAAGGGCCTGTCCACAGGAGGAAGTGAGAGTGAGAGCAGTGTGGGGGAGGTAAGGGCCTGTCTATAGATGGAAGTGAGAGTGAGATCAGTGTGAGGGAGGTAAGGGCCTGTCCATAGATGGAAGTGAGAGTGAGAGCAGTGTGGGGGAGGTAAGGGCCTGACCATAAAAGGAAGAGTGAGAGCAGTGTGGGGGAGGTAAGGGCCTGTCCACAGGAGGAAGTGAGAGTGAGAGCAGTGTGGGGGAGGTAAGGGCCTGTCTATAGATGGAAGTGAGAGTGAGATCAGTGTGAGAGAGGTAAGGGCCTGTCCATAGATGGAATTGAGAGTGAGTGCATTGTGGGGGAGGTAAGGGCCTGTCTATAGAAGGAAGTGAGAGTGAGAGCAGTGTGGGGGAGGTAAGGGCCTGTCCATAGAAGGAAGTGAGAGTGAGAGCAGTGTAGGGAAGGTAAGGGCTTGTCCATAGGAGGAAGTGAGAGCAGAGTGAAGGAGATTAGGGCCTGTCCATAGAAGGTAGTGAGAGTGAGAGCAGTGTGGGGAAGGTTAGGGCCTGTCCATAGAAGGAAGTGAGAGTGAGAGCAGTGTGGGGGAGGCAAGGGTCTGTCCATAGAAGGAAATGTTAGTGAGAACAGTTGGGGAGGCAGGGACCTGTCTGTAGGTATTCAAGGGAGATAACTTTATAATTGTTGTAAAAAGAAGATTAGGGCATAATTTCTACAGTTCAACGGAGTGCATGGTATTTTTTTCAGCTTACATATATTCTGTATGTACATGTATATCTAGCATAAAATTTTCAGATTTTCATCTTCTCCTGAACCACTTCATCCAAATTCAAACAAAACTTGGTTCAGATTTTTTGGTGAATGAAACTTTCAAATAAAGAGCCATTACCCTTATTCAATGGGAGATACTTGAAACAAAGTGAAAATGGGTCATTTCAAATAAAAATCTTTTTTATGAGCCACTGATCAAGAAAACAAAACTTTTATCTTTAAAAACTTTATTTTGTGCATATTCAAAAAAAAAAAAAAAGTCTATCATTGAATGAATCCTATTCTTTGAACATTTCTATTAGTATATGTATGTTTCATGTTTCTTTTGGTTCCTTCTACATAGATATTCTTTATCATTTTAGCTTCCAGAGGATGAAGAAATCTTAGATTCACCATCTGTATCGGAAAAATCTGAATCAGAGTCAGACTGATGGACATGAGCTGAAGACAGAAAAGTTGAATTTAACATTACAATGTACATTCTAATAACATGGACCCAAAGCTCATACTTAGAGATGAAGAAACCATTGGAATTTGTTATGTAAAACTACTGCAGTGAATAAGTACTGATTTTTGCTGTTGTACCTGACATAATTGTGACAGGATGTAAAATGGAGAAGTTTGTGAGAAGAAAAACAGATTATTTATGATATAAAATGTACATAAAGGACCAAGTAAAATATGCTTGTTGATAAAAATTTCAATGTTTAAGTGCTTTGGCTTTTTGTGAACAAATTGTGCAGAAACATTTTGTTGTCAAAAGGTGTCTGAATAAAAAAATGAAAAAGTGTCGAAGTGAACTATTACATTATGAGATCTTGTGAGGAAAGTAGTTGAGTTAATTTTCTGTTTTTGCTCATATATAACATGTATTGGTTTCAAAAATAATGTTGATGTGTAATAAAAAATGAGTCATCCTTTCAAGCTCAAATTCCTGCTGCAAATCCCTGTTTGCAAAATTGACGAATACGTTCAAATATATGTTTAAATAAATACAGACATGCACTCTCTCTCTCTCCTTCCCTCCTTTTCTCTCTACAGTACATATAGTTGTGTGTTTATTATACCCCCCTCCCCCAACAACAACATGAAAAGAGAGGGGGTATAGAGTGATGGGATGTCCTTCCTTGCGTCTGTTACACATGGGGAGTAGCCATCCCTTAAACACAAGTCCCCCTATACCATTGAATAAAATTTTATGAAACTGTCACAGAATCTTTCTTATTTACTGCCATTGTGCACCTCCTATTTTAAATTTTAATTGTACAGATATCCAAGAACAAAACATGAACTTTTCTATTCTACTGGGGGGGGGGGGGGGGGGTATAGGTATCATTGTGTGAGCTCAGTGCTCACAGTACCTCCAGTGTAGAACAGAAAAAAAATGTGTAACGGTTCTCTGTCATATTAAGAAATAGTGAAATGTATTTACAGAAATTGTCACCAACTATTATACTCGAATTTTCTTCAATGTCGGGTTTGAAATAACAAAAATATATTTTGAAAATAAGACGACAGTCTGCTCAGATTGGGGGAAGTATTGGGGATGGTTTATCAAGTTTATATCGTGTATACCGTTTTCAGCTATTGACATTTTTAGTGGAAGGTATAAAATAGTTTTCTTAACCATGTTAACATCTAATATTACGTTGTATATCTGCACACCTTGCAGAAAGACTGAAGTTTCGAGTTTCCTCTGTCGACTTGCACAGGAGTCGGCAATTTTGTCAAAGTGAAAATAAATGATGAACAGGCATAAATCGTACCTGTGATCTTCGTCGAGCGTAGCGAAGTTATGCCTGTGTATCATTTATTTTCACTATTGATAAAATTGCCAACAACTGTGGGTGCATGGATCCAGGAATTTGGTTGGGTTTTTTTTTTTCAGAGACAGGGGTTTTTGGGCTTCACTGCATATAGGTCCACAATCTACTTTGCAGTTTTGTCGTTCGTTCCTCTCTCAGACACATGCAGCAAATGTATGAGTGGTAGGTCCAGGGAGAAGTCCTGCTGGGGCCCAGGAGGTCAAAGCCGATCCAGATTAGCTCCTAAATTTTAGTGATTTTAAGAGTATACCTTAACTTTCTAATTTTGGTGAGGTTAATACACCCCCTCTTACAAACACAAAGTAAACACATTTATCATATGATCAATAAGCCCTTTCGCGATAACTGCAGTACTGATCTTCTGCAGGGCAAATTAATAACGTCTGGCGAAGTTTTTGTTGATAGATAATCAAATGACGTTTTTCAAACAATTACTTTGATGTCATATTTCACCAAAATATATCATTTTGCGCTGCATATGTGTAGTACCACAGTTATCATGAAAGGGTCTATAAACTAATTTTGAATTATTTCTCATTAAAAAAAAAATTCTTTCTAGTCAAAGTTATATTTGCTGATCGTCATTGACCTCAGATTTGAGCCCATCTGACATTGGGCATACATTTTTGATAAATTGAGTTCATATGGGAAAATACAAGAATTCAAGGTTGAATTTGAGCCCCCCCCCCCCCCCCTTCATCATATGTGATGACACGTTACCTCTCACCTTAATACTTCTTGTTTTTGTAATGATAGATTTCCAAATAACTTTATGAAATATGAGTAAAAAAAATAATGCATGATTTTTTAGTCAGAATGACTTTTCTACGATGGTACATTTAGGACACAGAATTTATTTTTTCAAAGATACTAGGCAAAAATTATCTCATGCACAAGACATATATTCTTGTTCAGTCACAACATTATCTCGTGCGCAAGCCATGATAATATCTTGTGGGCACAACCTATCTTGTGTGCACGACTTATGATTTTAATTCTTTTGTTAAATACTTGATTTGAGTTTTAAGACGCTATTAGTAGTTTTAAAATATGGAAGTAAATCGTACATGAACAAAGGAAGTGATCATTAGGGATTGCTTTCAACTGGGATTTAAACAGGGAGAAATTGTGAATATTCTCAGGACACAGTCTAACTTCAAGAGTGATGATTGATTCGACAAATACTGGTGGAATTTAATTGGTATTTTTTAATTTTGAGAGAGTAGATTAAATGTGAATAAAACAACCTAGCTTTGACCTATTAGTTAAACTTTTTTGGTATATTTCTGATGATAAAGTTGCCCAGGTCAGCAATCATTTAGAAAAATATAGACAATATTTAGTATATAGAAACTACTCCTCCTTGGCTCTACAATGTAAGAGTCAAAGAATATCTCGTGGAGACTAGATCTCTCAAACCTACACAAATGCCCCACCCTTGGCCAAATGTAAAGTATTACCTCTGTCTTAAATTGCTATAATTTTGTAACAGGAACATACATTTTAGTAGTGTGTACTGTGATTAAAATGTTCATTTTAAAATTTGAAAACAAATTCGCTGTCTATACCCATCAACCATCTGTAAAACATTTATATTCCATAGATATGCTATGTAAAAGAGTTCAGGAAAAAAATTGCAAAATATGGCCATAACTTTTAAAAGTAAGCGAATAGTGGATATTACATGTATGTCATGCATATGAGATAATAAGTATTGCACACAAGATAATATTTTATATAAGTTGTGCACATAAGATATGTCGTGCACGAGATAATAATTAAGTCGTATGCACAAGATACTCAGTATGTTGTGCAAATGAGATATGTCGGATTCGCAAGATAAGTCATGAGCACAAGATGTTATGCTGTGCACATGAAATATTATGTGTGCTCATGAGGTAATTTTTGCCTAGTATCTTTGAAAAAAAAATCTGTGCCCTAAATAGATCACTGTACTTTTCTGTGCAAATGACAAAGATAAGAAGAAAAAAACAGCCACATAAATTATTTCAGTATCATTAAATTTCAACTCTTTATGAAACTGTCGTATAAAAAAGTTTAAATTATAATGACTAACAATTTATTTAGATATTCAAATACCAATATTTATTTTTATCTTGATTACGATATAATGTAATTGTAAAAGGAAAACATTCAAATTAATTAAAATTGGTTTTTGTCATACACATGTTTACAACTAGCTACAGAATTCAACCCCCCCCCCCCCCCCAAAAAAAAAAAAATTAAAATAGCTGGTAGGTCAAAGAGCTACACTTACAAAATGTGCAATACTTTTGGACTCGTTTTCATAAAAAAAAACAAAAAAAAACAGCCTATTTCAAACTATTTTATGTCAAGAAATTCTAAGAAATTCTTTAAATTGCCTTCAATCATCTTGCAGCTAGGGAAAGAAAGTGTGTTTAATTCTTGCCATTCCATGATCGCAGGCTATGTTTGCATTCAGTATTTCAATGAGTAACAGTTGTATATACATGTATTTATATAAAAAAAAAAAGACGAATTGAGTTACACATGATAGATGGCAGGCTTTCTTCTTTTCTTTTTTTTTTATATAGTTAAATAGTTAATAGTTCTTTTTCAATATTTATTTATTGAATTCTTAAGAATACAGGTTTTTAAACTCAAAACAAAGTTATTTAGTATGCCTGAATGGACACTGGAGTCATGACAAAAAAAATTTTTTTTGGTCAAATGATATAAATATATGTAATTTATCTGATTCGTATTGTTTAACCAGATTTATCAGATTACCTTTTATATTAGAAGGTGATCATGCTGGAATGGATTTTAGTTGGGTCACTGTTTATTTTGAACTATGTTGTTGTTTTTATTAGAAGGTGGTCATGCTGGAATGGATTTTAGTTGGGTCACTGTTTATTTTGAACTATGTTGTTGTTTTTATTAGAAGGTGGTCATGCTGGAATGGATTTTAGTTGGGTCACTGTTTGTTTTGAACTATGTTGTTGTTTTTATTAGAAGGTGGTCATGCTGGAATGGATTTTAGTTGGGTCACTGTTTATTTTGAACTATATTGTTTTTTTATTAGAAGGTGATCATGCTGGAATAGATTTTGATTGGGACACTGTTTATTTTGAACTATGTTGTTTTTTTATTAGAAGGTGATCATGCTGGAATAGATTTTGATTGGGACACTGTTTATTTTGAACTATGTTGTTTTTTTATTAGAAGGTGATCATGCTGGAATAGATTTTGATTGGGACACTGTTTATTTTGAACTATGTTGTTTATTTTGAACTATGTTGTTGTTTTTATTAGAAGGTACGTGGTCATGCTGGAATGGATTTTGATTGGGATACTGTTTATTTTGACGTATGTTGTTCTAACCTTAACAACCACATCAGGCAGTCAGTATGCTGACAACAGTATTGATGCATTCATCAGTAAAGGTTTGTATTTATCTATTGTGATTACCTGTCAATGTTAATGACATTATAATGTATGTTAACCCCCCCCCCTCCCACACACACACACATACACACACACCATCACCACCATCAATTTCCAAAAACCTTGCTGTAGGGAAAATTAATTTAACCTTTATCTGTATTAATAGTTCCCATCAATTTTATTTTTGTCTTGGTTAGAAAGAGCTGTATTTTAGAAGAGTAAGGTTTTTGCTGTAAAAGAAGTTAATCTACAAGCTTGTCTCTTTTATTAATTAATTTATGGTTTTCAAAAACAAGAAATATGTTTCCTGAAATTCCTTGTTAAATAAATCAATATGCTTCACTTTTATTTTTAAGTGCACTTGTATTAGGTATGAATCTTTCCAAAAAGATAGCCAGGTTTATAAATCTATGTTTGATATATACATATATACTGTAATGATTGTAACTTTGATAGCAGACATACACACAATAAACTATACAGCAATTAAAAATATTATGCATGATCACACATTCCTTAACTTCCTGTAACAAGGTTTTAATGGTGCTCAGTATTGAAAAGAAATATTTTTGTCATTTCATGTAATCCATATTTGACATTAGAATTAGTAGTAATTAACTCCATTGTAAATATTTCCAGGCAGTCCAGCAGTGAAGGGGAGACAACCAAGAGAAACCAAGTACAAGAAGGATTATACCACAGAGGGACAACAGATTCTGGTGTTGTATGGGACAGAGTATGGCTTCAGTGAAGAGGTGGCCAGGAAACTCTTTGACAGGTAAAGGCCAATATACAGTTAAAGTACTGTAGATCACTTTATTTTTGAGAAAACTTAATTTCGCGAGATAGCTATCTGGTATTTATAAGTGAGACAAAATTTTCACGAGTTGTTGTGATTATTGTATATAATCCTTAACAATACAAATATAAGTGAGAATAAAATTTTCGCGAGCAGGCAGACGTGCGTAATTACGCTTAAATAAAATTTTCAACTTTTTGAATATAAAGTGATTTACAGTATATCATTGAGGGAGTCAGCAAGATTCCAGTAGTATTGAGTATTAGTCAGGCAAAAAGTTTGCATCAAAGTAAACACAGAATAACTACATCCTCTAAGATAAAGTTCAGCCAAATTTTATTCTAGTTTATCAATGTATTCAATTGAGTAGGTTATCTACCGAGTCCTTGTTGAGAGGAACATTATGGCAGCCTCGACTGGTCAATGTAAAACATTATCAACACATCCATTGGTCAGAAGAACAGCTCTGTTTACTGGTCATTTCCACCAGTGGCGATGGTAATGAATGCCTCAGTTTTTATATAAATTTCTTTTCCTTCAGTCTGAATTTTCAAAGAAGATTAAACTCCATTAGTTTCTTCCATGGTATTTTTTTCTTCAGAATTGTCGTAAATATGTGCTGATGGATTTGACTGAGCATACATTTTGCTATAAAATTGTAGGTGTTCCCCCAACAGATGCTCTTCCATTTTATGAGATGCTGATGAAATCTTGTGAAGATTTTAGTCATCTACATTATGCAGTGTTGGCTCTGGGAGACTCAAATTACCCACAGTTCTGTAAAACAGGAAAAACTCTGGATAAAAGGTACATGAACAACACTTAAAAGATGCATTTGTAAAGTTTTGATAATTTGTAAATTAAAGAATCAAGCAATAGGAACCTTTTTTTAACACCTGCAGCAGTGGACGTATTGCTCTGTTAGTCTGTCTGTCTGTGCAGATCATGTCAGGGTCATTTTATTTTGTAATAAACATTGGTAGCTCAACAGAGCTTGCCTAAAATCTGAAGCATCTGTGTCATTATGTATGACTGTAAGCCAACAGAACAAGATCAGTGTCGTAGGCAGAAGGGGTGAGATGTGAGGTCACAAGTATGGTATAAGGAAAAAAATTGGAAGTTCACACAAATGATGTTTCTGATCATGACACTACTTAGACAATGTGATTGGAAAGAGTCTAAAACAATAGTCAGAAAAAGGCAAAATTCCTTTGAATTAGATAGCTTGATACATATGTTTGTATAATGGAGAAGTGTGAATTCTTGGGATTGAGCACTGTAAAAAATTGTTTTGGCATTATGTTTCAGATTTTGTGAACTGTTGGCTGTTAGAGACTTGGATTGTCAGACAGTTGACATGGAGGACTGGGAAGTCATTTCTGATTGGATGAACAGAGTGATGGGAGTGGTCAGTGATGCTGACTTGAAGGTCAGAAAGGATTATCTCAGTGTCAGTTCACTGGGAGGGGATGAGGGACATAACAGGACCAACCCTTTCTTCTCAAAGTTAATGGTTAGCATGTCTTTTCATTTATTTTTTTTCAAATTAATAATGCATGAGATTTTTCAAAGACATTTTCTCAAAGTTGGTGTGTTTGATATTATGCTTTTTGATTTCTACACACATTTGTATCAGAGTTTATATGGTACTAGTATTTGTTGGAAAAATATTTGTCTAAAAAGAAAATCAGCATTTTTAACCAAATGATGTCCATAAAAGTCCTCTAATGCTTGTTGATGAAAGCCCTCCTGAATCAGGGCTAAAATTTTGTGTATGCTCTTTGGTGCATAGTATTGTTTTTCTTTCATGAGATTTGCCAGAAAATGTTTTTTAGGTTCACAGTAATATTAAATTTCAGGTGAAGCGATTGCTGACATATGTAGAGCATGACGATGACAAGGCTACTATTCACTGTGAATTTGACATTGCAGGAAGTGGGCTGACATGGATCTCAGGTGATGATTGATTTCACATTATAACAGTGTTATAGTGATTGATTTCATGTTATAACAGTGTTATAGTGATTGATTTCATGTTATAACAGTGTTATAATGATTGATTTCATGTTAGAACAGTGTTATAGTGATTGATTTCATGTTAGAACAGTGTTATAATGATTGATTTCATGTTAGAACAGTGTTATAGTGATTGATTTCATGTTATAACAGTGTTATAGTGATTGATTTCATGTTATAACAGTGTTATAGTGATTGATTTCATGTTATAACAGTGTTATAGTGATTATGTTATAACAGTGTTATAGTGATTGATTTCATGTTATAACAGTGTTATAATGATTGATTTTATGTTATAACAGTGTTATAGTGATTGATTTTGTGTTATAACAGTGTTATAATGATTGATTTCATGTTATAACAGTGTTATTAATATATAAATATTGCCTGTAGTTGAGTGTAACATTGAAAATTTTCACCCCAAGAAAACCATTGTCAACCGAGGCGCAGCCGAGGTTGACAGTGGTTTTCAAGGGGTGAAAATTTTCAATGTTACACTCAACTACATGCAATATTTATTATATTATACTGAATGTTTTATACAAATACATATAACAGTGATCCTTGCGCGCATAAATTCTGCGCAGTCACTATTTTTTGGAATATCACCCGTCGTCAAGCAATGTTGACTGTTGCTACGCTAGAGGGCGTGGCTTCATCATTCAGCGGGTAATAGTGTTTTTTAACAAATGTTTCTCGACGAATCAGATTCAACTAATTTACATGAAAGTATAATATAGTGATTTATTTCATGTTGAAACAGTATTATTGTAATGTTTATGAACATTCTATTTATACTTCTATATTTATTTTCCTAAATTATTTATCTATTTCACAGTTAGAGTTATCTTTCTTAATCAAATAGTTATCTGTCCTATAATTTCTAGAGTTATCTTTTTATTTGTAAGTCAAGAGTTACTTTTCCTTAATTCCTCACTTCCTGTGTTGTTTTCCTTTGTGTGGCCCACACTAGGAGACTCATCCCATTATGTCAAATTTCTGACCTATGCTGCCACACACTGTAAGTTACTTATGCTGTTTATATTTATTACATGTGTATTTATTATATTTATACTGGTTTTGAATGAAATGTTTGTAATTTGAATATATTAGGAATATCTATTGTTATCACTCTAAAGTATGGAACCCTATCATTGTCATAATCTTTAAACATAAAACTGGAGTACGTTCATAACATTTTTCTATGGAAACCCACTTGTGTCAAAACTTTATATTCTGGATTTAATAGTGAATCTTTATTTTTATTTACCTCTTGAATATTTTCATTTACAACTTATTACAAAGTTTATGCTATATCTATAGTTATATATTGATACTATTTATCATGTTATTGATAAGTAATTCTATTTTTGTTTTGTTTCAGTTCTTTACCGCATTTACACAATAAATCTATGCACCGAAATATTGTGTGGTTATACTATCTGCAAGATACAGGCAGAATAATTATATTGATTTATTTCATGTTATAACAATATTATAGTAATTGATTTTTTGTTATAGCAGTTTTATGATCAATTTTGTGTAATAGCAATGTTATATTGATTGATTTCATGTAATAGAAGCAGTGTAATATTGAGTCGTTTCATATGAATTCGGTGTAATTATGTTATGTATTTCAATGTATGCTTTCCATTTACTGATGTACAATTATCTCATTCATCATTGCAGGTGATGCATTGGGTATTTACCCACAGAACAATCCCTATAATGTACAAAGGATTTTACAGACTCTCGGTTACAGTGGATTAGAGAAGATAGATATACAAAACCACAGTTTGCCTGTTAATATTGGTACAGACTCACCCGAGCCAAAGGCTCAAGAGAGCTTCTCTAATTAAATGCCCTTTATGTCTATCTCTAATGAATTGTCTATATAATCTGTAAACTTGTCACATTTCATTCCTAGTAGAATGTTTAAACAAAAAATTATTTTTATATGGCATGTTATTGAAAGTTGATATTTGATCTTATCCAAGTCAGGAATCAGCCATATTAACCCATTGTAACTCAATATATCTTTCTAGAAGGTACCATAACAAGCAAAGAGATGCTGCTAAAATATCTGGATATAAAGCATGTGAGGCCTGAGTTTTTAGAAAACATCATGGATTTTACAAGATGTCCTTTACAGCGAAGAGCATTGGAGGACCTCATTCACCCACAAGTAAGACTTTGATGTTGATAATGTTACTATCAAAGCTATACTGGCCTTCTAAGGCATACATTTATTTATGTCACTAGAGTTATATGCAGGTGAAGGTCACCAGAGTTATACTCAGGTGAAGGTCACCAGAGTTATACTCAGATGAAGGTCACCAGAGTTATACACAGGTGAAGGTCACCAGAGTTATACTCAGATGAAGGTCACCAGAGTTATACTCAGGTGAAGGTCACCGGAGTTGTACTCAGGTGAAGGTCACCAGAGTTATACTCAGGTGAAGGTCACCAGAGTTATACTCGGGTGAAGGTCACCAGAGTTATACTCGGGTGAAGGTCGCCAGAGTTATACTCAGGTAAAGGTCACCAGAGTTATACTCAGATGAAGGTCACCAGTTATACACAGGTGAAGGTCACTAGAGTTATACACAGGTGAAGATCACCAGAGTAATACTCAGGTGAAGGTCACCAGAGTTATACTCAGGTGACATACAGTAAAACTCGTTTAGTTCGAACACGGATATAGCAAATTCACGGATATAGCGAAGTTTTTCGGGTCCCCGGCAAAATTCATAACAATTCTTTGCAAAATTTTACAGTTGTAATGAACTCTGATATAACAAATTTACGGATATAGCGAACTGATTCTGAGTCCCATTAACTATATTGAAATTTACATCTTTTATAACGAATTTTCGAAGAGCTCAAAATTTGATAAATTGAACTGACTTCATCTTCATTAAGTATTTGTTTATAAAATTCATTTCATAATAAAACTTTAGTTATCCAAGGCATGTTTTATGATAATTGCTTCCTGTACATACTTGGTAGTAATACATGAAGGAAAACGTGCATATTGCGAATTCACTATATATAATTATACGAATTCGTTATACGGATATAACGAATTACGGATATAGGGCATTAAATCCACAGGTCCCAAGGACTTCGCTATAACCAAGTTTTACTGTATTATTGTTCGTTCTTGTCCATCACCCTGTGTTGTTTGTAAACCTTTGAACATTTTTAGCTTCTTCACTGGATCATTTCTAACCATTCTTGGTATATAGCATCCCTGGACAAAGGGAGGCAAAACTTCTGAATTTCATGATACTAGTCTTCTTGGGGCCTTAGAGTTGGGGTTAAAACAATCAAAATTGATGCAAACTTCAAAATCTTCTTGTTTACTTCAAATCTTGGACAACTAGCAGGCAAACAGTTTGCAAGATTACGAGTAATCTAAACTTTACTAAAATTATAAAATTCATGGTCACTGGGTGTAAGGTTTAAGATGTAGGGCGGGGCCAAGTTGGTCATACATGCATATTAAAAATAAACCACAACTTTTAAGATCATTTCTCATGGATTTTTAACAGGAACGTGGTTGGAATGATAATAATATAAAGCACTTAGCCTTCTACCAAATTTATTAAATTCTTAGCCTCAGGCACCAGGATGGGGCTGAGTTTATCATAATTACTCTTTATTACATCTGTGAAAATTTTCTTTGTGGACTTTTAGTAAACAAACTGCTTGATTTTGATGAGCACTTAACCATCTATCAAAATTGTATATTATGAAGAATACATGTATGTTTAATGATTGTTGGATGTAGATAAATTTTTACTGAAGTGTTTGCTGTGGTCCATGAGCCTTTTGTAATACAATGTACTTAATGTATTTTGAAATTATTTTCGATAGCTTGCTTCAAATATACGAGAATATCTGTTGCAAAGGGAGATAATTGATATTTTGGAGGAGTTTAAAGTTGATGGCCTACCTGTAGAAAAATTCCTGTCTCTTTTGAAGCCTTTACAGCCCAGATACTACTCCATATCATCATCACCTCAAAGTGTGAGTACAAATATTAACGTGTGTAAATTTGAACGTTCTCACTAATGTAATGAATATCAGTGCAGTTCTTTTTTTTTTTAGCTCTTCTGAGCCAAAGGCTCAGAGAGCTAAAGTTATGGCCATTTGTTCGGTGTGCGTAAACTTTTTAGAATATGGGCCATAACTCAAGAACCCCTTGGCCAATTATTGTCAAATTTGTCACAAGGTATCCTTGGCCCAAGGGCTTCCGTTTATACTAAAACAATGGTTGTGACCCTTAAACAAGGGGAGATAATTAGGAAAATAGAAACAAAAGTACTGGTTGCTAAAAAATCTTCTTCTCAAGAACCACTGGGCAGATTGTCACCAAACTTACACTAAAGGATGAGGATATGTTGAAGATTAAAAATTGTTCAAGGCATAGTGGTGTTCCAATCATCGATTGTAATCAGAAATCAGTTGATTGCTGGCATAATTCAAGCGCTCGATTACAAAATTTTATTCTGATTAATTGGTTTATTTTTTTTAACAAGTGTAATAGTTTTTAAGCCAAACATTCCAGCTGCAACTTATCTATTAACTTATTTGGGTATTGTAATGGCCATACAAACAGACAATTGTATCCATACCCTGCTAACAAAGCACGTTTTCTGGTATAGACGTAAGGTTTATATCTGTACAGTGTATGAAGAAAAATTAAAGAAAAAAAGAAAACACTCGGATGATATCCATTTATTCTTTTCCAGCAAAATGAACAACAAAAACATATGCAGAAAGTAGTCATTTACCCATTCTTAGCATTTAATTAACTAAGTTGATAGACTTTGTAAATGTTCGATTATAATCGATAATTAGTTAGATAGAGTAACCCAATCATCAATTATGAAATTCCTACCGATTCCCATCACTATCAAGGCATCACCCTTGGGCACTTCAAAGTTGACCAAAAATTACATTTTATTAAAATGTTGATATTTTGCTTTCTATAAGGACTAGGATCATCAAATCTTGTCAGTTGATGCATCTAAGGACCTCATATCATGTTGACTCAAAAGTAGGTCACAGTGACCTACTTTTTCAATTTTGCGGCCATTCTTTTTCAAAATGATTTTGAGGCATATTTTGAACAATTTAAGGCCTATGATCATCGAACTTTGTCAGTTGATGTATCTTGGGACCTCAGAGTATGTCGACTAAAAATTAGGTCACCTTGACCTACTTTTTGAATTTTATGGCTAATCTTTTTCAAAACAATTAAGGTCTTTAATTCGAATACTGAGAGGTTTAGAATCATTAAATCTTGTAATAAGATGCATCTTGGGGCCATGAAACATATTTATTAAAAAGTAGGTCACCATGACCTACTTTTTGAACTTTGCAGGCATTTGATTTCAAAGCGTTTTAAAGGCATAATTTGGACATTTTAAGGCCTATGATCATAAAACTTAGTAAGTTGATGCATCTTGGTTCCTTGAAAAACGTCAACTGAAAAGTAGGTCACCGTGACCTACTTTTAAATTTATATGACTATAATTAAATAAATTTCAGGTACTAATTGGCTTAGAATCATCAAACTTTGTCAGTTGATGCATCTTGGGTCTTCGGAGTAGGTCGACTGAAAAGAAGGTCATCATGACCTATTTTTGAAAATTTATGGCTTTAATTAAATACTTTGGGTGCTAATTGGCTTAGAATCATCAAACTTTGTCAGTTGATGCATCTTGGTTCCTCCGAGTACAATAACTGAAAAGTAGGTCACCGTGACCTACTTTTGAAAATTATGGCTTTAATTAAATATTTCAGGTACTATTTGGCTTAGAATCATCAAAATTTGTCAGTTGATATATCTTGGGTCCTCAGAGTAGTTTGACTGAAAAGTAGGTCACTGTGACCTACTTTTTCAATTTATATGACTATAATTGAATATTTCGGGTACTAATTGGCTTAGAATTATCAAACTTTGTCAGTTGATGCATCTTGGGTCCACAGAGTTAGTCGACTGATATGGAGGTCACTGTGACCTATTTTTGAAATTTTATCGCTTTATTTATATGTATCAGATACTTATTGGCTTAAGAATCATTGAACTTTGTCAGTTGATGTATCTTGGGTCCACAAAATATGTCATCTTAAAAGTAGGTCACTGTGACTTACTTTTGAAATTTTATGGTTATAATTTTAAAAATATTTTAGATATTAATTGGCTTAGAATCATCAAACTTAGTTGATGCATCTTGGGTCCTCAGAGAATGACAAGTGATAAGTACGTCACCATGATCTACTCTCAGGTACTACTTGGCTTAGAATCATCCTGGGTTCTCAGAGTGTTTTATCTAAAATGTAGGTCATGATGACCTACCTTTGGAATTTCAAGGCTATAACAAAATATACAGGATACTTAGAGGCTTCAAATAGAAGTGATAGGTTGTACAGTTTATCAGAAGAGCGATTCAAGGCCCTTGGGCCTCTTTTTTTTTTTTTTTTTTTTGTATGCTTGTTTTACATACAAAAAAATTCATGCACTTAATTAAAATTATGTTATATTGCTCATGAAACTACAATTTATAATAGAGAAAAGAATAGACAATTACGTTGTACGCTTTAGAACCGAAGTCATCCTCATGAAAACGGTGTAAAGTATCTTTGAAGGTTATACCTGCTAGTTATAATTCCTGATTTCTACTTTGCAGGATTCCAATACTGTGTGTGTAACAGCTGCTGTGGTTAGGTACGCCTCATTGGACAAATGTCGGGAGGGAGTAACCACCTGTTACCTTCAAAACAGGCTCCAGCTAGGGGATCAGTGCCCTGTGTTCATAAGCAGGAACCCAGACTTCAGGTTACCTAGCAACACCAAGACTCCGCTCATTCTGATTGGTCCAGGAACCGGAATAGCTCCATTCAGAGCATTCTTGCAGGAAAGAGGTACATACTGTATTGTCCATCATATATTAAATGGTAATCTAAATTACATGTATTTAACATTCTTTTAATTTTAGATTTTAATCTTTTTTAAACAGAAAATCATATTATAAGTGTTGGTTATATTTACTGCATAATGGTTTTGAACAAATAGAATATCATTTTGGTTATGGCTATCAACAGATCAATAGAAAACTGATATCTTTTGTAATAATTTTAATATAACTTCAGCCTTGATAAGTGAAGAGGACAGAGGAATGACTTTACTTTACTTTGGATGCAGACACAAAAATAAGGACTTTTTGTACAGAGAAGAGCTTGGTATGTCAATTCTGGGAATTTTATCTTTGGGTGATAAATATTCTTATACATGTACAAAGTCAAATTGTGTTTGAATCATATCTTGCACAGAGTGGGGCTTCTATGACCACCAAAACAAGAAATTTGTTTTTATCTTTTTTTCTTTTACTTTTTTAAAAGATTACAAACAACAAGAAACCCTTTTTGTATCATAGTTGTAAATAATAGAGAATTTCAGGTGTTATGCAATAATTTTATTCCACTAACAAACATACTTTGTTAGTAACAAATGACAGGGTCACAGCTTGTGACTGTGAATATATGAATTTATATATGTAAATATAGATATCATCAGGTAGTTCCAGTTGAGCTTATCATATACCTAAGTAGAGTATTTTAATTTTATTTCTTAAATATAAACTGTATATTAGTATTTTGAATGTTGCAGAAAAATGGCAAGAGAATTTTGGGTTACATCTCAGGATAGCATTTTCTAGAGACCAAAGGGAGAAGATTTATGTTCAAGATTTACTCTTAGAAGATAGTGTCTTAGTATGGAGTCTTATCAGCAAGGTAACAAAGAAGTCATCATTATAGAATAGAGAAATATATACCATACATTTTGTAAGGAGGAATTAATACTTGCATTGTATATTACATAAACATGTATATAGAAGATAAGAATCGACATATTACACATTTTCTTTATCATCAGATCAGAGGTATGGTTATTCTTTTATTTTACAAAATTGTACAGATACAGAATGGTTAATTTTTTATTTTGTTTTTCTTGCAGGAAAATGCTGCAGTATATGTTTGTGGAGATGCTAAGCATATGTCACATGATGTTCATAAAACTTTGTTAGAGATTATCATTACCCAAGGGCAGATAACTCCTGAGGAGGCCAAACTTTACCTTTCATTATTGGAGAGAGAAGGCAGATATCAGATCGATGTTTGGGTCACATGATCAGTAGTAACATTTTACAGTCAGGTGCTTGGGAACAGTGCAATTATTGATATAAGTGTTCTGGAACTTCTTTGATACCAGTGATACTTTGGTTCAGCACTTATACATAAAAGAGCGTTCTGTGATATTTATTTATAATATTTATATTTTTTGTGTAAATCAAATATGTAAATGAAAAATAAATTTTATTTGATTTGATTTTATCAAAGCCTTCCTTTTTAAATCAGATTCATTGGTACTTCTCAAAATGTTGCAAAAGCTCTTAAAACTGGTAAATAAAACTGGTAAAAAAAAAAAAATAATGATCTAATGAGGATTATTATCCAAAAATTACAAAAAATAATGACATAAATATCTTAGTGTATCTTCTTCTTGTGCAGCCATACACAATGAAAATATTACTTTTTGTTTGGAAAAAAATTCTTCATACTCTTTCTTTATTTATTTATTATACCAAATAATGAAAAGAATTAAATCTGTAAAAATCCTCAAATGATAAAAGTATCAATGACATTGCTACAAAATGAAATTTACATGTAACACGAGTTCAACAACAACACATTACATAATTTAATTATTTACAAGAAAAAAACACATTGTAAGTACAACAAAAAAAAATATATGACCAAATGATACACATACATAAAAAAATAGGACCGAGTGATACAAAAACTAGAAAATTTTATAAAATTGACTTGACACACCAAAAAATTAGAAAATAAAATTAAGGCACCCTTTGTGTAGTGGAATGCACTGAGCAAAAATGCCTAGTAAAATGTTTTGTAATTGAGAAAAAAAATGTTTTCTATATTTATGTCCTTTGAATCTATATGTATGTTAAATAAGAGTATTGTCAAAGAAAAATGTTTAAAAAATGCACAAAATATTCATTGTCACAAGGCACACTCAAAAGAAAACTTAAAAAGCATTAAACAATAATTTACTACTTTGTCTATGAGGTTTACTCTTCTTTTTTCTCATTGCTTGGTGAAGAAATGTTTCTTGAACACAAATACAGTCCAATCACAGACAGCAAAAGTAATGGTGAGAATGTAGCTAGTCGTATGGCTAGTTCTTGGTTTGTCATCAGTCCTGACTGGAAGTGAAGGATTAAGTACGTCCCCTCACTCAGACCCCATATCTGAAATTAGAGATTCTTTATGATTCACAAAAATACATGTATACTAATTTATAAATAAAACTGACACAAATCCTGCAAATCAATTTATATTTTACTACATGAACAAAATCCACACTACTTTCTCTACAAAGCTACATTTATAAGAGAAGAGATTTCCTATCACTTGCAAATTATCTTTTTCAAATATAGAGAACAGAATCTATCACTCACCTGTATGTGGGCCAGAGATAGCAGATTTGTATCACAGTATCTGGGCCAGAGATAGCAGATTTGTATCACTTAACAGTATCTGGGCCAGAGATAGCAGATTTGTATCAGAGTATCTGGGCCAGAGCAGATTTGTATCACAGTATCTGGGTCAGAGATAGCAGATTTGTATCACAGTATCTGGGCCAGAGATGGCAGATTTGTATCACTTAACAGTATTTGGGCCAGAGATAGCAGATTTGTATCACTTACCTGTGTTACAACGCACTTTGAAAAATTACGCACTTTGAAAAAAATTTTCAAAGTGTTTTAATTTTGGGACCACGTTAACACACTTTGAAAAAAAAAAACTTTTTAAAGTGCGTTAATATCGACCATATTAACGCACTTTGAATAAAAAAATGTGCACGGCTTGGTCAGTGCAAATTTTAGGTATGATAAATAATTATTTGAACCTGGTTGGATAACTTTTAGGTGATGACATCAGGATCTGAGATATAGACGTTTTAATGATTTTTAGGAGTTGTCTTGTTTCCAAAGGTTCTCGTAACTGTTATAAAAGGGAAATGGGTCTTAGAAATAATGGAGGAATGATTGTCTAATAGCACATTTTCGTTTCTTTTTTTCTTTTCTTTTTTTTAAATTTTATCCGGTCTCTAATAAGTTCGGTAGATGAAGGTGTCGATAAGTGACTTAAAGCATCGCATTTTTCTTAGGGAAAAGGGAGCAATTATGATTTTTCCACCATGAAAATTCTCTCTCTCTCTCTCTCTCTCTCTCTCTCTCATCTATTTTTCTATCATCTATCTATTGTGAACATATATGAAACAATGGTTGACTCATTTATTTTATAGTAAGAAAATAAATTTTCACCACATTTCTCACTTGACTGAAATTTTTACCTCGTTTACTAATAACTTTTTCTCAAAAAAGTTAAGCAATCAGATTACTTCTAAATCTGTAATTTGATATCATAAAAACGCTAGACATGTCAAATAGCATGTTTTAATTACCATTTAAATGCATTTTTTCTGAGGAATCATTGTGGATACATTTTGAATAAAGGTTATGCGGCTCTCTTCTTTAATATAATAGGGTGTTGAATTTTTTTTTTCAGGAAAGCTTAACTCACTTTTTCATCTATTTTACATTAACTCAGATTTATTGAGAGAAATAATATCAATGTCATACCAGTTATGTAAATACATATATTTGTGTAGGAAAGATAGAGAATTGGGCTGAGGGACTTTCTACCTGTCTTCTCCTCGTTCTTAATGAGGGTAGATCAATTCATCAGTTTTTTGGAAGAAATAAAACAAATTAATTCTGTCTATTATTAAAATCTAAGTCCAGAATTTTTGTTTTATATGTATTTTTTCAAAGTGCATTAAGTGTCTCCATGGTAAAAAATGTTGATGTACACTCTTAACGGACTTCGAAAAAAAATTTCAAAGTGCGTTGATTTTGTCCAAAATTTAACGCACTTTGAAATTTTTTTTAAAGTGCATTGATTTTGTCCCAATTTTAACGCACTTTGAAAATTTTTTTCAAAGTGCGTAATTTTATCAAAGTGCATTGCCACATACCTGTATCTGGGCCAGAGAGAGAGAACAGATTTCTATTACTTACTTGTATCTGGACCTGAGATGGAGAACAGGTTTCAATTACTTACCAGTATCTGGGCCAGAAATACAATCCTGACATCCTCCTTTTTCTGAAACCTTGGGGAGAACCAGGTGAGGATACTCCAGCCCATCATTAGGGCACCTGCTGAGCGTGTGGTGTGGATGTGGTACTTGTCTACCCTTCTTCCCTAGAGAGTAACACCATACAGATCAAATCTTATAATATTTATTGTCTCCACTTTCACAAAAGCATAGAGATATTAAATTTCATTCATCTGTCCATCCACCAGTTTATCCGTCTGTCTGTCCATCACAAAAACTAACCTTGGTCATAACTTTTGAGAAGATATGGCTTTCATATTTCAGATGTGCATTACCTGTGACCTTTCATAATGTAAAATTATTTTTGACCTCTTGACCTTGATTTGGAGTTTGAACTACTTTTCAAAATTTTTAACTTGGGCAATAACTTTTGAATGAGAAAAGATCTGGTTGTCATATTTCACAAGTACGCTATCTATGAAAAGAACTCTTAGAATATACTGTGATTTTTTTTACCTCATGACCCTGAAGTATGAATTTCTTTTTAAAATTTTTAACTTTAGTAATACATGCAATGTTTGAATAAGAGAATATAGGGCTTTCATGTTTCTTATGTGCAATACCTGTGACAAGACCTTTCTGAATGCTCTATTCTTTTTGACTTTAACCTTGAATTTTGATGTACTTTTCAAATATTTTAACCTTGGTTTAAGCATTTGTACCAGAAAAGACGGGGCTTTCATATTTTTTACATTACCTGTGTCAAGATATTTCTAAAACTGAGTTTGACCTACTTTTTAAAAAACTAACATTTGCACCTGAACATATTGCTTCAAAAATATATAACTATTTTTTAGCATGATGAACATTCGACAGACATTTACAATATGCCAGTTGGTTCATCCAATAAGACCCCAACCGTCAGGAACCACAATTCTGAATTTTCTTGGTTTTTTTTTTTTGTTTTTGCTTTTTTTGTTTTGCTTTTTTTTTCTTCCACAAATTTTGATTAGCAAATTGCTCATGAAAAAATGGATGGAAAACTAGATGTGCTTCATGTGCTTTCAGATGCTGCTTTTTTGTCATTATTTCATTTGTACTTAAATCTACTGAAGAAATATTCATATCCTAAATCCAGTACATTATTTTGTCAAGCATACCAGAAAATACAATAGAATTTCTACAGAATGTTGTCATTCTTCAAAAACAGGAAGATATGGTAACAGTGATTCTCACTCCTGTAGTTGCACTATACACTTATGGAATACAGCAATTAAATTACTTTTATAACAAATCAAAATCATATGTCTCTGGTTTTTTACTTTATGTGTGTTTTACTGCATACATGTACTGTATGTACAATATTACTGGTATTAGAAGAATCACACTTTTACCTTATATTAAATACATGTATATGTGTTTCATGATATGTAGAATGTGAATTGGTAATTCAGTTATATGGAAGGTGACAGAAAAAAATCATTTCCTCTTGATTTTATATCATATACAACCCTTCTAAAGAATTGGAATGTTCTCTGCCAGCAATACCTATAATTTAGCTAGACCAAAAAGTCAAAAACAAGATAAAATGAACATAAAACATGGGCTAAATCTGCATTAAAAAAAAAAAAAAAAAAAAAAAAAAATCGCTCTACAGATGAATATATATATATTTACTGGTATTAGAAGAATCACACTTTTACCTTACATTAAATACATGTATATGTGTTTCATGATATGTAGAATGTGAATTGGTAATTCAGTTATATGGAAGGTGACAGAAAAAAATCATTTCCTCTTAATTTTATATCATATACAACCCTTCTAAAGAATTGGAATGTTCTCTGCCAGCAATACTTATAATTTAGCTAGACCAAAAAGTCAAAAACAAGATAAAATGAACACAAAACGTGGGCCAAATCTGCATTAACAAAAAAAAAAAAAAAAAAAAAAAAAAAAAAAAAAAAAAAAAAAATTTTTAAATCGCTCTACAGATGAATATATATTTATTATCCTTTGAAATTTTCCTATGACTGTGATTTTATATTTAAGTATTTCAAAGTCTTCAGTTCTCACTATGATACAATACATTATATTTTCTTGTATATTTAACATAAATATATTTATTATTCTTACCTGAACTTTACACATGGCATTAGGAAAAGATAAATGTGACAGAGACAACAGAAGTACAACTAGGCTGTTAAGGTGAAGAAGTAGAGTTATTCCCCTTGATTGCTTTACACCTTGAATTTCTGGGCGATTCTTTAAGAGTTGGAATACATTGGCTACAAACCACAGGACATTACCAAGAAATCCAAACCAGAAATGCTGAAAATAAAGCATTTATACAGTCCCTGAAACGTTCTACTTTCCCATTTTTCCGTTCGTTCACCGTTCGTTCAGCGTGCGTTCACCGTTCGTTCACCGTGCGTTCACCGTTCGCTCTACGTTCACAGTTTTGCGTTCACCGTTCACCGTGCGCTCGCGTTCACCGTTCACAAAGCGTTCAGCGTTCGCTCTTCGTTCCGTTCACCCTGCGTTCACCTTGCGTTCAGCGTTCACCTATCGTTCAGTTTTCATTGTCATTCGGAACTCCGAAGTGAAAGGACTTATCTCTTTGTAGGTTAGGAGCTACAGGTTTTTTAATTTAATAACTTACATATCGTGTTTGAAGAATCATTATTTCATGGGGGAAAATATCTACGATATATATTTTTATTATTCTAACTTAGCTTAGGTTATTTATTAAATTACTCTGGAAAATAAATGTTGTTATAAGCACATTCTGTACCTATGTAGAACAATGCTGAAATATTAAATTTAACTAAAGGCAATGTGCAAATACTTCAAGCACTGCAACATTTTGTTGTTTTGTTAAAGACGACAAATCGTTAATGGAGATATAATTATCCAAGTCTAATTATGCAGCAAAATTACGAAAATATTTATTTATAATACTTTTTTTTATCAATTACTACAGAAAATATGTTAGAACTAGTTCTGAGAGTTATACATAGTACTGCGGATATCGCATTAATTTATTATCTTTAGAGCGAATTAAGTTGATGGTGTGGTTAAAGGAAATATTTATTTAAAATGTAATGCACTACAGAATTTTCTCTACTATATGTAAAGTCTATAGTTATAGAGAAAAAAAAAATCTTTCTTCACCGTAACTTTATATGTTTGTCATTCCATATAATTAATACCCCCCCCTTTTCCCCCTAAATCGGTTACTTAGTCAGTATTGTATTTCCAGAATATTTTAATTAACATTTTAAAAAAAAAGTTAAGGTCTTTTTTAGAACAAAAACTTCAGTCTCAAAACAAACAGGCTTCTAAAAAAGTCACAAAACAATAGTAGTTCAAAATGTACACGTGTCGGCGGTGGTATTTGGAATTGGCAGAGAGTATGTTTCTAATTCAAGTGTTAATGCCCTATGTATTTTATTCAATTATTATTCAAATGTTGGAATCAAATCTAGAAATGATAAAAATAAATGTTATAACTTGTTGGAAATACTCGCACTTCGTCTTCGATGTGACGAAACTTTCACACCTGCACAGTGTCGAATGATTTTGATTGACAGGACAAGCCCGTGGACTTCGTGTGAACTTGAAGCAGGAAAATAAAAACGAGTATGACTGTCAAACAAATGGATTTGATTTGTTGATAAAAAAAAAAAAAAGAAGTTACTTTCACTGTCTAATATACTTAGAAAAAAATTTCAGAGTTTTTGTTTGATAAAGGTACAAACATGCAGTGAAGCCTGAAATGGGAGGGGGGGCTAGCTAAAACGGAATATTTCTCTCTCTCTCTCTCTCTCATTTGTCTGTTTAATAAAAACTATTATAGCATATTACTTGAATATCAAGTTCTGAAAATTGAATTTAATAATATGAATATGTATCTTTGTATTATCTTGTCCGAGTATAATCACGGCCATCTATAGATAAATATAGAAGTCTGCTCAGTAAACATGGCCGTAGGAACCGAGGGGGGGGGGGCAAGGGGGCCCTGCCCCCCTCCCCAATAATTTTGCCGATATATAGATTATTATAGTAAACATAGATATTATATGCTTGTGTCCCCGCAATAAAAAGTCTGATGATCTTTTTTTTTTTTTTTTTTTTTTTTTGCTTGTCAGGAAATTTTTGGTAGTGCCCCCTTAACGTATGGCTGTGCCCCCCCCCCCCCAACCGAATTTGCTTCTTACGGGCCTGATAAATCATCATGTAAAATAGAAATGACACATAATATATTATTGTATTAAAAATTTAAAATACGAGCGTATAATGCAAAACGTCCACTGACCTATGTAATTATTTTTTTTTCATTACTTTACACGAAATCGCCTTAACACGGAGATATATGAATGGATGTTACAACCACTTTAATTCATTCTATAAGTCAGAAGTTTTCTCTGATTTGTTATCAAATAAGAATAAACATTTTTATTTTCCAACTAAAAAAATATCTCTTATACTTCAGCGTTCGGCAACAATTGCAATGTTTTAATGCGATAAAAATCGTGTGATTAAAAACTTAATGTGCATGCATCGTCTTTCTCAGGACAATTTTGGAGAATTTATTTTATTGACTTATTTATTCATTCATTCATTAGTTTACTTATTTATTATTGATTTATTTTTTATTTATTTTTTTTTTTTGGCACTTGACATAATAAAACAATAAAATAGTTTCAATGCAAGGAAAAGATCAGAGGCATTCCGAATATATCGTTCATCTTGCGTTCACCGTTCGTTCACCGTTCACTTTGCGTTCGCGTTTGCGCTCCGTTCGCGTTCTGCGTTCGCTCACCGTTCAGCGTTCACACATCGTTCACCAAGTTGCGTTCAGCGTTCACACATCGTTCACTCACCGTTCGCTCTGCGTTCGTTCAGCGTTCGTTCACCGTTCGTTCAGCGTTCGCTCACCGTTCAAGTGGGAAAGTAGAACGTTTCAGGGACTGTAACAGGTTTCCACGATTTTTATGCCCCCGGATTGAAAGATCCCGGGGGTATATTGTTTTTGTCCTGTCTGTCTGTTTGTCTGTTTATCTGTTTGTCTGTTTGTCCATTTGTCTGTCTGTCTGTTGTCAACTTTAACCTTGCCCATAACTTTTGATTGATTGGAGCTATGACTTTCATATTTCACAAGTGTATTCCTTGTGACAAGACCTTTCTTTGGGTACCATCATATTTGACCTTTTGACCTTGACCTTGGAGTTTGACCCACTTTTGCAAAATTTTATGAGACTTTAACCATGGCCATAACTTCTGAACAGTTGGTGCTTGGGGTTTCAAACTTCACATGTGTATTCTTTGTGACAAGGCCTTCCTTTGGATACCAACAACTTTGACCTTTTGACCTTGACCTTGGAGTTTGACCTACTTTTGAAAAACTTTAACCTTGGCCATAACTTTTGAACAGTTGGTGCTTAGGGTTTCAAACTTCACATGTGTATTCCTTGTGACAAGACCTTCCTCTGGATATCAACTACTTTGACCCTTTGACCTTGACCTTGGAGTTTGACCTACTTTTGAAAAACTTTAACCTTGGCCATAACTTTTGAATGGTTGAAGCTAGGGCTTTCATACTTCACATATGTAATCCTTGTGACAAGACCTTCCTTTGGATACCAACCACCACTTTGACCTTTTGACCTTGACCTAGGAGTTTGACCTAGTTTTGAAAAACTTTAACCTTGGCCATAACTTTTGAATGGTTGGTGCTAGGGCTTTCATACTTCATATATGTAATCCTTGTGACAAGACCTTCCTTTGGATACCAACCACTTTGACCCTTTGACCTTGACCTAGGAGTTTGATCTACTTTTGAAAAACTTTAACCTTGGCCATAACTTTTGAATGGTTGGTGCTAGGGCTTTCATACTTCACATATGTAATCCTCGTGACGAGATCTTCCTTTGGATACTAACCACTTTGACCTTGACCTTGACATTTGACTTTTATTTAAAAAACTTTAACCTTCCCATAACTTTTGAACAGTTGTATCTAGGTCTTTCAAATTCCACAGGTGTATTCCTCAAGACAAGACCTTTCTTTGGGTATCAACATTTTTTATCTTTTGGCCTGGATTTTTACTTGCATTTGAAGAAACTTTAACCTTCGCCATAAGCTGCCATACGGGGGCATCAGTGTTTCACAAACACATCTTGTTTTTTATTTTTTACTCTTGAACAGAAACCAATACAAGTCGACTCAATTACTGATCTTATATTGTTCAATACTTATATGCATTCATAACCTTTTTAACTTATTAGCCATAGTATTGGTTAACTGTTACCTTGTCAGTGAAAATTTCTCCATAGGACAGCTGACCAATAGTCATTACAATAAGTAGTACAGATATACCCTAGAAAAGAAAGTGTCCTGTCATTACAATAAGTAGTACAGATATACCCTAGAAAAGAAAGTGTCCTGTCATTACAATAAGTAGTACAGATATACCCTAGAAAACAAAGTGTCCTGTCATTACAATAAGTAGTACAGATATACCCTAGAAAAGAAAGTGTCCTGTCATTACAATAAGTAGTACAGATACACCCTACAAAAGAAAGTGTCCTGTCATTACAATAAGTAGTACAGATATACCCTAGAAAACAAAGTGTCCTGTCATTACAATAAGTAGTACAGATATACCCTAGAAAAGAAAGTGTCCTGTCATTACAATAAGTAGTACAGATATACCCTAGAAAAGAAAGTGTCCTGTCATTACAATAAGTAGTACAGATATATCCTAGAAAAGAAAGTGTCCTGTCATTACAATAAGTAGTACAGATATACCCTAGAAAAGAAAGTGTCCTGTCATTACAATAAGTAGTACAGATATACCCTAGAAAACAAAGTGTCCTGTCATTACAATAAGTAGTACAGATATACCCTAGAAAAGAAAGTGTCCTGTCATTACAATAAGTAGTACAGATATACCCTACAAAAGAAAGTGTCCTGTCATTACAATAAGTAGTACAGATATACCCTAGAAAACAAAGTGTCCTGTCATTACAATAAGTAGTACAGATATACCCTAGAAAAGAAAGTGTCCTGTCATTACAATAAGTAGTACAGATATACCCTAGAAAAGAAAGTGTCCTGTCATTACAATAAGTAGTACAGATATACCCTAGAAAAGAAAGTGTCCTGTCATTACAATAAGTAGTAGATATACCCTAGAAAAGAAAGTGTCCTGTCATTACAATAAGTAGTACAGATATACCCTAGAAAAGAAAGTGTCCTGTCATTACAATAAGTAGTACAGATATACCCTAGAAAACAAAGTGTCCTGTCATTACAATAAGTAGTACAGATATACCCTAGAAAAGAAAGTGTCCTGTCATTACAATAAGTAGTACAGATATATCCTACAAAAGAAAGTGTCCTGTCATTACAATAAGTAGTACAGATATACCCTAGAAAAGAAAGTGTCCTGTCATTACAATAAGTAGTACAGAGATACCCTAGAAAAGAAAGTGTCCTGTCATTACAATAAGTAGTACAGATATACCCTAGAAAAGAAAGTGTCCTGTCATTACAATAAGTAGTACAGATATACCCTAGAAAAGAAAGTGTCCTGTCATTACAATAAGTAGTACAGATATACCCTAGAAAAGAAAGTGTCCTGTCATTACAATAAGTAGTACAGATATACCCTAGAAAACAAAGTGTCCTGTCATTACAATAAGTAGTACAGATATACCCTAGAAAACAAAGTGTCCTGTCATTACAATAAGTAGTACAGATATACCCTAGAAAACAAAGTGTCCTGTCATTACAATAAGTAGTACAGATATACCCTAGAAAACAAAGTGTCCTGTACTAGCTGAAAAGAGACATTTTCAGTTCAAAAGTGTTAATAGCTTCAACCATAATCAGATTTACTGGTACTGTAAAAGTAACTCTTTTCCACAGGGTCATAACTCTGCAGAATCGCAATTTCTGTTCAATCTGCAGGTAGAAAATTATGCGGATTTCATGGATTGCCATTGTATATCTTAAAATGAATTTTAATTAAAGTACATACACTGTGACAAAATTCCATGGAAAATTTGTGACTGCAAACATAGCATAAATTAATCCCATATGGAAAAAAGCACATCTACAATATTCTAAGCAGTCCAGTATAATAAGTTGCTCTGCAATTTATTTTCATTTAAAGCTTTAGTGTTCATTACTTATAATCTGATATCTGAAGAAATACCCTATGATTCAAAAGGGGTCCTTGAACTTATTTCTCCATTCTCTCTTAATAAAAAATGAGATTATTGCCTTACCATTGCCCTAGAGATGAGCATAGTTGCCTTCAGGGAGGAGTCTTCTGTCTTCCTCCTCAGTAACCAGATCAAGAGAGGACCCAGAAGGAAGGAGGCAAAAAGGCGGTTCAGCTGTCCATGAATTACATCCACTTTCAAATCTTTGGTCTAAAATAAATTGAACTTTAGACAAAATATTTCCCTCTGAAATCTTTCACAAGAGTAGCATCAGCACTGTTGTCATATTGAGTGAATTACAACATTTTATTACATTTTATTGTTACTCTTAAAGATATATGTTTTTGTATCATTACCTGTAAATTAATTGTCCAGGCTGGGTTTATATAGAGCAAGAAGCCAGTAAACCCAGTGAAGATGAGGTCAGCTAAGAGCCAGGTATTTAAATCTCTTAGGCCAGTAATGAGGAACAGAAGAATGAAAGCTCCACCTCTTATATAGTCCGATGTATCAGCCATGTTAGCTCTGTCTCTAGTTCAATCCAGGGGTGGATCTAATGTTAATTTGATTTCAATTACTTTGGCTGAATTTAGCTGGACTAAATCAAATGAAAAAAAGAACACTAAACATTGCTCTTGTGTAGAAGTTACAGTATCATTATACATGTATTTCAAATTATAAAGAGATGTCAAGAGTTTAGGAAATTGTAAACTCAGCCAGTTTCCTGTCAAATTGTCCAGGAGCAGGAAAGTCATTCAGGGTTGTGGACTAGCAGTGTGGTTTAAGTTATGTAATATTTTAATGATACAGATTGTACACTGTAATTCACAGCCACAAAGTCTATGATTTTATGTTTTCTTCAATGTCTAGTCTTGATGCAAACATATATACATTTTTATCCATCCATTTCTCCAAATATTTGTAAATAGCTTGTTTGTCTAATTCTTCCAACATTGGACAAATGTGTCATATCTAAATCATCTCAAAGAGGAGGTGAGCTTGTGCCATATATACCCATATTGTTGGTGCATGTATAACTACATGTGCAGATCCAGGAATTATTTTCTAAGGGGGATCTACCCACTAAAAAACATTTCAACTCGGAAATGTTTTGACAAGCGTAAAGAAAACAAAAAAACAAGAATCAAAATTTAAAAAAACAAACAAAATACAAAGAAAATGTAAACACCTTGTCACCCAAAAAACCTTCATATATATGCAGTAAATTAGACGGGTGATGTGCTCATTTGTTTGCCAATTAAATTCTCACTCTGTAGAAATATCAACTACATGTTAGGTCATACATGTACTTATATGGACGAGAATGTTACCGGTAATCATGTAAACAATCCTCTATATTATTATAGTTTTAAAGAATATTTTATTAGATCCAAGTTTCTTAAAAAGAAATTATCAATTAAAACTTTTTGAATATTTAGTTTTACATGCATGCTCCAGGTAAAGGTAGCATTTAAGGTTTTCCATCCTAGATAGGACCTAATACTCTATCCTTAAATATCCATCACGTATATAATACTCTGACATTAATTCAAAGCATTTTACAGTAGAAAAGAATTTACCAAGAGGAAGTTTTAAAAATGTAATTAACTGAGCAGTAATTTATTAACAGAAATTGCACTGAAGTCTATGGAGACAAGCAATTTTTTAAAAATAAAAATTCAAATAATAAGAATTTCATTTAATACTGTGGTGGAAAGATGCATTAACAATTTTTTTACCATACAGATTTTTTTAAATTGATTTTTATTACTTAAAAAGAGGGAGATAACTCTTCAACAAATGTCAAGGTCATAAATTAGGACATGCTCCATTCTTACATGCTAATAGTAATAAATGGGAATTATGTCTAAATATACTGAGTATTCCACCTGTACACATCTGTTATGTATTCAAATTCATTGAATCTGAGGCCATTAGGGATGGAATACCTTAACTGACTTTATATATTTTATGCCGATTTTTTCTTTATGATTTTTTAATGGATTTATATTGATTGCATATGAAAAGTCAAAAGATAGTGGAGTGGGGTCTTCAATCAAGTATACTAGATATTTGATTAGCAAAATCGGTCTTTTCACAATTATACATTGAAAATTTCCTTGTTATTGTATCTCCTACATATTACCATTCTAAACAGGAGGTGGGGTAAAGTGGAATGGGGTGGTATACTCTTGTCACTCCACTTTCAAAAGCAGAAGGGGCACTAGACTGCCCCCTCTCAAGACTAACCCCTCATGGGTTGACTACTATCAACTTTGAGTTGGCGCCTAAGAAAAATTTGTCTGGCGACAAAAAATTTGCATATTTTGCGACTCAGTTTTTTTATAAGGAGCCAGCTAACACCTAAATTTTAGAGGTCACTTAGAGACCTGGTACTCAGGATAGTTATTTGTTTTTGAGCATTCTGAACTTGACCTTTATAAATTTATAATATTATAATGGTTTGAGCCCGAATATAGGCCTGGGTAGTTCAGTCGGTAGAGTACCTGACTAGTGATGGGTCCCGGATTTGATTCCCGGTCCGGGTGCTAGTCACTGCGCCCCAAAACCAGAACGCCCCATGCATGAGCGCCCCGAACATTTTTACCGGCGCCCAAGTACAAATATGAGCGCCCCAAATTTAAATCACGAGCGCCCCAAATTTAATTCACAAGCGCCCCAAATAAGCATTTCGAGCGCCCCAAGGCTTATTAACTAGTAAAGAAATAAATTATTAGCTTTTGTTACATTTCGATAGTATAAAAAAATATTGATATGAACAATTCACGAGCGCCCCAAATTATATATATCGTGCGTGCACCAAATTTTACGTATAACGAACGCCCCAATATTTGTAAACTAGCATTTTGAAGTTATAAAACGTACTCAAATTCTTTCCGTTTTTTAAGTACATGTACATATACCATGACCGAAATAAATTTTGAATGAAACACAGCAGAGTGAATTTTATTATACTGAATTTTTAAATCTTAATTTAATAATTGCTAGTAAGTAGGTTTGCCTCAAAGATCTACTACACTGTACGAATAGAATAGACTTGAACACTGATGTATATTTCTGCAGTAACTATAATTTATGACCAGAAAATTTCTAAGATTGTCATATATTTATACGTTCAGAAATATTCATTTTCGACTGTCATTTCGCCCCAAAACCAGAACGCCCCATGCATGAGCGCCCCAGACATTTTTACCGGCGCTCAAATACAAATATGAGCGCCCCAAATTTAAATCACGAGCGCCCCAAATTAGCATATCGAGCGCCCCAAATAATATCGTCCGATCTAACACAGGTGCTCATTATGTGATAATTTTATACATAAGTACTTCATTGGTTATATTTTATTTATTTTTTTTATATTTCATTAGAATCTATGTTGAAATTGACTTATGTTTAGTTGCATACAACTGTACAAAATATTCTTTTGTTTGATCTTCCTTCTTCAAAGAACACTTGTGTTATATTCTTTTTAATTATTAACTTTTTAATTATTTGTGTAATTAAAACGATAGTTTCAAAGTCTGAGCACCGCCTTTATCCCACATAAAGGAGTCCGCTCAATTATAATCTCATAATTATTTTTACCACATTGTGATGAAAAAAAATTGTCGATTGACTGTTCATTTCTTTTGGATCGTTTGAGAGATGAAGCGTCTTCATTGCAAGAAAGTGGTAAGTCCATTTTTATAAATAATTCAACAGCGTTCAATATGTGTTGCTTTATTATTTTATTGTTAAAAACTTGTTCCAGTACGAACCTATATATGGTTCCGAAATTCATGAAGTACTGTCTAGCACGTTTTCACATTTTGTATCTCGGTTCTAATTAAGTATATACATGTAATTAACTTATGTTTTCAAGTATATCATGACAAAATCTTGATTTATCCATTAAAGTATATATGTATTAATAAATTGTTTTTTCCTTCAATTTGATTCGTATCAGTAAGCCCATCAGTAATGTTAACAAATACGTATACATGCCCTTCACTATCTTTTCAAGGTACCAATTGTTTAAGAAAAAATTATGCACATGTATTGAACCCATCTATCCATATGAAGAAAGTTATTTATTATAGATCTGTTAAATTTTTACTAATTTTAATGATGGGGTTCAAAATCTCGGTATATCTATCTCGTACTTTGTATAGTGCACGTGCCGCGTGACATCAATGATCAATTGTCGTGTACCTGATTATGTAATACATTATATTACACACCTTTCACTAGATCAAGAACTTAATCCTAGTGGGATTAGCATTCTAGTTTTTCGGCGACATTTTTAACACTTTACAACCTTTCCATGTGAATTACATCAATCATATCATAAAGGTGATTTAAAATGAATACATTTAAAGCAATAAACAAAAAAAATATGAATGAAAATTCGTACACAAATATTAAGCACCCCGTTTTCCATAAATAAAAAAAAATATTGTAAACAGTACATCATAGAGATCATGACACAAATTTGGGCAAGCAACTCTTACAATTTATAAGACTTTAAAATGTTTTATTTTTCCAAATTTTTACATGTTTTATTTCCAAATTAATTCAAATTTCTTGATATATTAATTATAATAATAATTTAAAAAATTCAATAGGAAAAAAAAAGGTTATTACTGTAGGATATCTAATATTAAATACATTTAATTTAACAAAAAATTATATAGAACCAACAGGGAACTTCTTTAATGAATAAATTAAGATTTTGTCACGATATACTTGAAAACATAAGTTAATTACATGTATATACTTAATTAGAACCGAGATACAAAATGTGAAAACGTGCTAGACAGTACTTCATGAATTTCGGAACCATATATAGGTTCGTACTGGAACAAGTTTTTAACAATAAAATAATAAAGCAACACATATTGAACGCTGTTGGATTATTTATAAAAATGGACTTGCCACTTTCTTGCAATGAAGACGCTTCATCTCTCAAACGATCCAAAAGAAATGAACAGTCAATCGACAATTTTTTTTCATCACAATGTGGTAAAAATAATTATGAGATTATAATTGAGCGGACTCCTTTATGTGGGATAAAGGCGGTGCTCAGACTTTGAAACTATCGTTTTAATTACACAAATAATTAAAAAGTTAATAATTTAAAAGAATATTACACAAGTGTTCTTTGAAGAAGGAAGATCAAACAAAAGAATATTTTGTACAGTTGTATGCAACTAAACATAAGTCAATTTCAACATAGATTCTAATGAAATATTAAAAAAATATATATATAACCAATGAAGTACTTATGTATAAAATTATCACATAATGAGCACCTGTGTTAGATCGGACGATATTATTTGGGGCGCTCGAAATGCTAATTTGGGGCGCTCGAAATGCTAGTTTGGGGCGCTCGTGATTTAAATTTGGGGCGCTCATATTTGTATTTGGGCGCCGGTAAAAATGTTTGGGGCGCTCATGCATGGGGCGTTCTGGTTTTGGGGCGAAATGACAGTAACCCCCCGGTCCAGCCATACATTTTCTCCTTTCCTGTGACAATATCTAGGCATTTGATTGTAGATTTTCAGCATGCAAAAATATGACATCACAGTTGCATTCATTTACAAACAGCACAAAGTTTCCCAAAAGTGACGGAGTTAGAGAAGTGATGGAGTAAGGAGGTTTGGCAATAAATAACTCTCCTTGGTTAATCGGGATCCATGTTTTCTAGGGGGTGGAGGGGGGCTATGCACACTAAATATGGAAGCTACTTTTATCTAAGTTACACCTCTCAACACCATTAGTTTTACCTCTTTTTTCTCTAGCAGTCAACATGTTCAAACCATAATCTGGTACCTCTAAGAAAAGCATTACAAGCTCGAATTTACTCTGCTTTATACCTGGTTTTAGTACTACTTTTGAAATACATGAAAAAATTCGCGCGATTACCTATATGGAATTAACAAATGTGTTTGCCATAGTAATTTTTGTCTAGTCATGTACGCATTATACCGTCAAATATACGTACTTTGGGGTGCGTACTTTGCAGCTCCACCGGCCCTAGCCCGAATGCACCTGCATGACTAAGTCGCACATAAACTCTTCGTAAAGTTATTGGAATTCTCTCTTGCAATTGCAAATGATAAATTACTAAAAAAAAGTTTCAAACACCATTCATCAATTAAATATCACAAGGTCAGTAATCTTATATATGCCACCTAGTTTGTGTTGGTCATTTATCCTACTTACACTTTTAGAGCGAAACAGTTTAGATAAGATCTACTTATTAAAAACAAAGCCATTCGATAGAAACCGATGCTTCCTGATGTAAACAATTTTAAGTTGTGTGTAGTGAAAAGCTTTTTCGAAAAATTCTGGTCAGTGATGTCTAAATTTTTTTATCATCTCTATAATGGGCTCGAATCCAAGTAAACAAAATGGAAAGCGGAGTCAATCTGCTGGAGAAGTGAGAATCCTTGCAAACGGACACGTGCCCCCTCGCCGAACTGTTAGCACACTTAGCCGGGTGGCGGAGTCCACGGGTATAGAGAAAAAGAATGCAGAGGAACCAGTTATAAAATTTCCACATGAGGAATATAAAGACGGAAAACTTGGTATTACGGTATGAAATAAACTAAGTCTTAGTCTAAGATTAGATTTTTCAAGTAAAGTTATTTTTATACTGTATACAGGAAAATTTTCGCTCCCGTTCTATTTCCGACCTCGTGGGAGGTGGTGAATTTAAAACAGGGCGAATTCAAAGAAAACAGACTCATATCTTTAACAAAACAGTGTCTGGGAGAATTAAAATGGAGCAAAATTGTTTGAAAGCATCATGAAGCATGATATGGTGAAAATCACTTGTATGAAGTAATCAACTGTAAAGTTTTTGTCCACCCGAAAGTATTTTTTTTTTTTGGTATTATTAGTGATTAAACTAAGATGTTAGATATAACATGAGAAATGTCATATTTGCGCTTTCTCTCTCATTATGATTGTTGTGTTTGTATAGAGTAAGGACACTATATTGGACTACCTAGACTCTCTAGAGGATGATGAATTGTTCTGTGACCCAGACTTCAATGCAGACAGATTCGCCCTCTTTTATAGTGACAGAGATGCATCCAGTTTCCAATGGAAGCGCCCTATGGTAATGTAGATAAAACTTGGGTCAGGATAAGGGGAGAACAATTCCTCCTTGTATGTATGTAACTATTATACCTCTACAAATAAATTACAAACAACAAATACCTTTATTCTACCGACTTTAATTATATTCACTTTTTATTGAAAAGGGGTTTTATAATAAAAAATAAAAGTAAGATTATTGAATGATTTCTCTTTCTAGATGACTTAATCAGTCTTAATTCATAAAGGTTTTTATTTCTGGTGGGTTTACAATGTAAGATTTAGTTAAGGAGTAGCCTAGATGACTTTATCAGTGTTTATTAGTGTTTTTATTTTATGGTGGGTTTACAATGTTGGAATTAGTTGAGGAGTGGCCTAGATGACTTTATCAGTGTTTATTAGTGTTTTTATTTTATGGTGGGTTCATAGTGTAGGATTTGGTGGAGAAGTGGCCTAGATGACTTTATCAGTGTTTATAAGTGTTTTGGGGAAGTTTCTAGTATGCCGGTCCCCAGAATCACATGATTGCATATGAACAATTATTTCCCTTGCCATTGCTATGCAGAATGTAAACAAACTGCCATTTCCCCCTCGCTTCAACAAAACGGATTCGATCGAGTGATTAGGGTTAGGGTATATTGTTTTAGGATTGGAACTGTTTTATAAATCCACTCTTAAATCTTCCTGACTTTGGGCTAATTCATGTAATTTTTGCTTACAAAAGGAACTGCCAAGTGCATTTTGTGACCAAAAACTTGCATGAATCAGCCTAATGTCGAACCGCGCCGATATACCATCTTATAGGAGTAAAGCATGAAACATGCAAAACTTAAACAAACCGTTAGTTAAACATGGGTGCATTGTATGCGATCTACGGATTAGGGTTGGAGTATATATAGCTCGGATATTGTAACTGTTTTATATTCACCCATGCTCGCATCTATATCACTTTGGGCTTATTCATGCAATTTTTGCTTACAAAGAACTGGAAGAACAGGAAAGTTTTGTGAAACTTTGATGAATTAGCCTTGGTCTAATGTTGAAACATGCTCGATATTGTGCGCTAAGTTTTGGCAAGTAATTGGTAAAAGCGACTTACCGTTTACTTTAGCTCGATATCCTAACCTTCTAATGTCCATATTCAGAATATTTTTTCTTTCAAATCAATGGTGATGCACAATTCAGTCAACCAATTACTAGTAATTAGTGATCACTTGTTAAATCCCTGCATTTCTCACAAAAATCTAGCAATTTTAGTAGCATTTCACTTTGAGTCCTATCAGCTACTTCTTCATCAGTCTTCATTACGTCAAAACACAAGTGACACACGTCATGAATATTTATGAGATTACGTCAAAAACTGATCATGTGATCACATTCCTAAACAACGCAAAATGGAGTTTTATCTACTAAACAAGTACGTTATTTTACGAAACCTTTTAATTCTCATTTAAAAAACTGTATTTAAAAACCAGTTTTTTAAACCCAATTTTTCACAAGGAACACGATTTTTGGCTCAATTTTGCGATTTGTGGCCTTTTTTATCAATTTTGTCGATCGCTCACGCGATCATATTATATTGTTCACCGCCTTCGGCGGCATCTATTTTACAGTTCTAGGCAGCCTCCGTTTTTGGAGGATAGCTAAATTCAATATGGCGGCCAAATTTTTTACCATATATGGAAACCGCATTGCATTGTGGGATAGTTTATCCTCCAATTTCAGAGGATAACACAGGTAATTTTCAAACGCCTCGTGCCTACCTTTAATCAAAAAGTGCAAGCACCAGAGTACATGTATATTAAAGTTCAAATATTAAACTATCAATTGTATGTGGCGATTTGAGATTCTATGTCTAGAATTTTTACAATACGCTTTCAAAGTTGGCACTTCTTGCACTCCATTTTTACTTAATATTTCTTGGCATTTTGTTATATTTTTATGCTTTTCCCTATCAAGACAAATAAAAAGGGACTTAAATAATATTACTTTCATATTTTCTCTTAATTTAAAAATGAAGAAAAAAAGAAACACATAAGGACACGTATTCTAAACACAAAATATACTCTGCCTTATAATTTAAGCAATGAATGAATATAAATTAAACAGATAAATAAATAATATTATAAAAAAAAATAATTTGAAAAGCATATAAATAAATAAAATAGATAATTTAACATGTTTGCTAAGAAATTAAAATTATTATATACATGCATGTACATACATATGTATAAAAAATTAAAACAAAATATTACAAAAATGATGTGTTTCAGGATTATTCATTAAATGAAATACTAGTAATACTTAAACTTAATTTTTCAAAAAAAAGAAAAGATATTTATCAACATTTGTAAACCATTTTACACATAATTACTGCACAGGAAAATTGGCTTGGTAATTAATAATTAACGTCTCAGACAGGTAAGGGTAATCGTTGTTAACTAACCTTTAAAGTTTAATTAAAACTAAATAATTGATTGACAGCATTTACAAAATAAATTATGTTATATTGATTTAATATCTAGATATATCCATCATCACATGAAATTTTACGTTTTATTTGTTACGGTTCATAAACTGATAAATGCAAGAGCTGCTGTTATTTGTTTGGTTAAGAGTAAACTGCCCTTTGTTTTGAAAAATCCGGTAGGTGGCGACACCTCTATCCTCTGTTTTTAGAGGATAAAATCTATCCTCCAAAAACAGAGGCCGCCTAGACCTGTTTTAGCGCCATATTAATAGGGACCGGTATACTAGAAGTGTTCCGTGTTTTTATTCAAGCTGGGTTTACTCTGGTGAAGGATTTGGTGGAGGAGTGACTTGGACAACTTTATCATTGTTTATTAAAATCAAAATGCTTGTTTGTGTTGGGTTATGTTGTACTCTGAGAATGTTTGTTTATGGTGGGTTATGTTGTAGGATTTGGTAGAGGAGTAGTATTACTTATGCAGTACTCTCAAAATGCTTGTTTATGGTGGGTTATGTTGTACTCTCAGAATGCTTGTTTATGGTGGATTATGTTGTACTCTCAGAATGCTTGTTTATGGTGGGTTATGTTGTACTTTCAGAATGCTTGTTTATGGTGGGTTATATTGTAGGATTTAGTAGAGGAGTAGTATTGGTTATGCAGTACTCTCAGAATGCTTGTTTATGGTGGGTTATGTTGTACTCTCAGAATGTTTGTTTATGGTGGGTTATGTTGTACTCTCAGAATGCTTGTTTATGGTGGATTATGTTGTACTCTCAGAATGCTTGTTTATGGTGGGTTATGTTGTACTCTCATAATGCTTGTTTATGGTGGGTTATATTGTAGGATCTGGTTGAGGAGTGGCAGACACCTCAGTTGATGGTGGATGGTGTTACCAGGGATGACATAAAACAGGGAACTCTGGGAGATTGTTGGTTCTTGTCAGCATGTGCTGCAGTCTCTCAGAAAAAAGAGTTCATGAAAAAGGTTAGAACAGACACAAAAAGTTGCCAAATTTGTTTTGTCATTAGTTTTTATTTGACACAGGTGAGTAAATTTAATTTTCAATTTCAATTTTTTTTTTTCGAGACCAAATGATCATAGTACTTGTACTATCATTTGAATCTTAGATTAAGAATGAGAAAAATTCTTTTTGAGTAGATAGTTCCTTCAGATCAGCCCTTGTGTGGTCCTGGCTATAAAGGTATGGTCCATTTTCGGTTCTGGAGGTTTGGAGAATGGGTGGATGTGTACATCGATGATCGTCTTCCTACAGTTAATGGAAAATTAGTGTACGGGAGATGTACAGAACCTCAGGAATTCTGGGTAGCCCTCATAGAGAAGGCATATGCTAAGTATGTATTGTCTTTGTTTACATGTCTCTAATTTTAAGAGGGAATGGTTCAATATTTCTTCTCTTAAAAATATACCTAAGCTGTGAGAAAATCAGTTTGAGCTATGTTACTCTTTAGTTCAGTATTTAGAAATAAACTTGCCAGGATAAAAAGCTATTTATAAATATAAAGCTACCGGTATGCCTGTTACAGTTAAATAAGGTTAATTAGATACTAACTGATGGTGCCAGACAAGCTTGAATTGTCACAATTCATGTTGTGAAGAATATTTTAATTTGTATACATGTATTTACAATGTAAGACAATTATAAGAAATTGAACAGATTCTAACAAACATTGAATTGTCACAGGTTACATGGGTTGTATGATTGAATTATCACAGAATACATGGGTCATATGATTCTAACAAACATTGAATTATCACAAGTTACATGGGTCATATTATTCTAACAAACATTGAATTATCACAGGTTACATGGGTCATATGATTGAATTATCACAGGTTACATGGGTCGTATGAGGCTATCGAGGGGGGACAGGCCATGGATGCTTTAGTGGACCTGACAGGTGGAATACCCCGGTTATACGAGATACAAGACAAGGATCCTTTCCTTTACAGGATGATAGAGAAAGCTCAACAAAAACAGGCCTTCATCACATGTTCTAGAAAGGTAAATAAAATGCTATTTTTTATGTGATGTTTTTTTAACAATTCTGACACACTTGGTAATAGTTCATTAAGTACTGCAAATCTTTGTGCAAGTCAGGTGGGAATTGTTACTGAAGATTACATACTACAATATGTATGTATAATTCAATACCATTTTTTATTTGTTAACACTACATGTATTTAAATTGCCATCAACAGGGAAATTGGAAATTAAGCAATAAAGCTGATCCCAATGGTTTAGTGTCTGGTCATGCTTATACTGTCACAGAAGTCAGAAAGGTGAGCTCATAATCTACTGTCATAACATTCAGGTTTATTACAACCTCATGATAATTCATTTTGTAGTTATGACTGTGTACATTAGTTTTAGGTTTTATTTATTAGTATATGTATGAGTATAAATTTTGTGTCATTTTGAAAATCAGTACTCTAGAGGGTACATTTTGATACGTCTCTTTAAAGGGGCCTGGACACAGTTGCATTGTTTACATTTTAAATTTCTATGCTTATTCAAAAAATAAAACCAGTTAAATGAATTGAACTTACATGAATATTCTTAGAATTATTTGACAACAACATTCTTCTTTACATCACGTCAAACATCTATTTTGTAAACAGGGCACAAGCTCTCTAGACTTAATGTTAATGTTTATGTTTCACCGGGTGTGTTCAATTTTTTAACTCTGCACACATCACTGAGCACGGACTGACAATACTGGTGAATTGGTTTAGCTTTCTCACATTTCTACTCTGAATTTTCTGGATTATAGTTTTAATATTTTTCATTAATATACAACAAAATATCTACTTTTCTTAAGTATTAAGTGTTGTGAAAGTGCAAGGATGTGTTCATCAAATGCGTCCCAAAATTCGTAGTTTCAATAATTTCCAGATAAAAGAAGATTCTGAACACGCTTTTATAATATTTCCATGTGAAATGCTATAGTAACATATAAGTCATGATATTACACATAAAAATTGAGAAAATATTAACTTCAAATCTGTGTCCAGGCCCCTTTAATATTTGTTGATCATTGTATGAGCAACAGGAAAGTAAAAAGCCAGCAGAAAAGTTAACCATGTATGTGCTATTGGTTTTAAGTAAGAATTGATAAACTGCAGTATGTGTTTTTATCATTAGAGAAAAAAACTTTTGACAGATACAACATGTGAGAGGAGAGGATAAGTTGGTGAGGGTCAGAAATCCATGGGGAGATAACAACGAATGGAAAGGATCTTGGAGTGACAGGTAAATACATGTACTGTGATAGTGTCAGCAAAAAAAAAAAAAAAACAAGACTTATCTAATACTACATCTTCATGGTTGTCTCTAAGACCTGGGGGAGATTCATAATTACATAATCCCCCTGTTATTCTGGTATTCCCCCTCAACCCCAGGTTAGGGGAGGAACCCCAGACCCCTTTCAATTTTTTTAATTACGCACTCATTTACCCTTTTGTTTCGCCTATGCAATTTACCATAACTTTCTTTATGCAAATCATTACTTTTACAATGACTCATTATGGCTGACAATTATGACATAAGTCATTTCTTGTATCGGTATCATATTATTATGTTTTAATTTGTTCTAATATTTACAGACCTAATCATGTCAGAATTTACTTATTAAATAACAGTCTTGGATCATACAAGATTTACCTTCAAAAACAGTTTAAAACACATACTTGATATAATTATACACTGTACTTGGTTCGTTCGCACTGTTTCTAAAGAAATGTTTAGAGAATAAAACGGGAAGAAATGCAACGTCACCTTTGTGACGTAATTGATGTCATTATCAAATGTGCATAAAACAACCTGCGACCTACCTTAATATATGTACCTACCTCTTATTTCTAAGGATAGATGATTTCAGCTGTAATGCCTGTATTTATTATTTAGTGATGTTAACTGGACCTGGGTAGACGAGAAGACCAAACAAGAGATTGGGCTTCAGGCGAAGGATGATGGGGAGTTTTGGATGTCCTACAGAGACTTCTGTAAACAGTTCCAGGAAGTGACCATTTGTCAGTACGGACCAAACTTTGATGGAGAAAGATCAAGGGATGATGTTGGTAAGTAGATCTGAGGTATAAAGAGTATTCCTGCAGTACATCAGTTGATGATGTTGGTAAGTAGATCTGATATATAAGGAGTAATCCTACAGTACATAAGTTGATGATGTTGATAAGTAGATCTGATATATAAGGAGAAATCCTACAGTACATCAGTTGATGATGTTGGTATTAGATCTGATATATAAGGAAAAATCCTGCAGTACATCAGTTGATGATGTTGGTAAGTAGATCTGATATATAAGGAGAAATCCTGCAGTACATCAGTTGAAATAAGAAAACAGTGTAAAATATCAGGAAATAAAATCATGAAACACATATTATTTCATGATTACTCAATGATCACAGTAAATGACATGTACATATATATAAAATACATGGTTACTGTCTTGAAATATAAGCGATATTTGGGCGAGGGTAAGAAAACGTGATAGAGGGCGAGGCTTGCCAAGCCCTCTATCACGTTTTCTACCCGAGCCCAAATATCGCTTATATTTCAAGACTGTATCGATGTATTTTGTTTATTCTGCAACATATTTTTACATGACCTTCAAAACGACCTATTTCCAATCGATTTAGGTACATCTCTGCAGTTGAATCTAAGACGTCATGGCGTAAACATTGCAATATTCATGACGTCACAATGCTTTTAGAACGTCGGAATACATGCACGAGGCTTTATTAGGGCAGTGACCGAATAAAGCTTTGGTTTATTAGGTTACCTTTATATGGTCAATGCAAGGGGTAGTTGCAGGATAAATTGTATTTCTTTATGATTAAGTTCTCAGCCATTTTTTACCTTTATTGATCTTTTACAGGATGTTATGTTTGTGTCAAGGGAAGATGGGAATGTGATATAAATGCTGGTGGAAGCCGAAATGATCTCCATAAATTTGCAACAAATCCTCAGTATTTACTCACACTTCCAGAAGCAGGTACATATACAAGTACAAGTTTACAGCAGGAGAATTTTTCAACCTAGTAACTAAATACTGTAATTGTACTTTTTTTCATGGGGTCAAAATTTGACTGAATAACAATTTCTGTTCAATCTGCAGGTAAAAAACTATGCGGATTTCTTGCATTGCTATTGTACATGTACATGTATGTCTTAAAAGCACTTTTAATATGCTGTGATATATTTCTGTGGAAAATTTTATGATCAGCATAAAATAAATTTCCACACAGAGAAAAGTATATCTACAATAGTATGTTTGTAAAAGTGATCCAAATCTCTTTATTTAAAATTGATTAATTGTTCCTCTAAGATTTATTTATTATCTTCTGTTTTTAGATGATTTTGACCCAAAGAAAGATGACCCTGACCTTGAGGGGTTATGTACCCTTGTCATTTCCTTGATGCAGGAACATCGCCAATCAAAACGAAATGTTAAAGTCAGGAAGCTTCAAATAGGATTCATTTTATACAAAGTGAGTGTAAAGAAATAAAATTGAAGATTCTAAAGGTATAATCAAAAGAAAACACAGAGTTTAAAAATGACATTTTAAGAATTCCAACTCATCAATATTTAAATACAAACAAAAAAAAACAGTAATATACAAAATAAGTGTACTCTTTAAAACATTTAGATAGACACATTTTACATTGTCTGAGGCATGTATTTTATTGACTGCACTATGAGAAATTTTTTCTAACGAACAATACTACAGTTCAAAATCTGGATTTGAAATAAAAAGTAGTACGGTTGATGGGTAAAACTTGGGTCGGTTGGGTTACTGGAAACACACAAATAGTTGCATGAATACACTGTAATTCATATCTAAACAGCATTAATACTTATGGTGCTTTATATACCATATTAAAACATTGTCGTAATCAGAATATGCATCTTATGTAATGTTTTGAGACTACTTCTCTTCTACCTACATTTTTACATTTGTTCAGGTTAGCTTAGTTTGTTGTCTTGAATTGCGAATGTGTCTTTTTTCAGACAGATGAACCAACAAAGAGATTATCTGCTCAGCATTTTCGCTATAACCCTGACAGTGGTAAATCAGGGGTGTATATAAATTACCGCGAGGTCAGCCAACAATTTGAGCTCGAACCAGGGCATTATATTCTCATACCTTCCACATTTCACCACAACGAACCAGCTGACTACATGATACGAGTGTTTGGTGAGAAGATGTTTTCTCTAGATGGGTAAGTATCAACAAGTGTCCATACCAGCCTAACCTATGTCTAAAAAAGTTTCTATCGTAAGTTCATTTTCTGATATTATTTTTATGCCCCACCATGAATATGGCCGGGGCATATAGTGTTTGTCATGTCCATCGTCCGTCCTTCCATCTGTCCTTCTGTCGCGCTTTGCATTTAGCTCAGTTTAAAGCTCAGTTTCAAAGAAACTATCCAAGATATTTTTATCAAACTTCATATGCTGATAGATATTGATGAGAGCTATGCAACTGCATCAACATTTTTTTACCTTGACCTTTCTTTTGACCTTGACCTCACTTTTCTTAAATTAGTGTTTAGCTCAGTTTTAAAGAAACCATTCAGGAAAGTGTTATCAAACTTCATACGCGATACATCTGCGATACATACTGATGAGAGCTATTCAACTGCGTCAACATTTCCTTGACCTTTCCTTTGACCTTGACCTTACTTTTCTTAAATTAGTGTCAAACCTCATATGCTGAAACATACTGATGTAAGCTTTTCAACTGCATCAACTTTTTTACCTTGACCTTTCATTTTACCTTGACCTTACTTTTCTCACTTTGTGTTTAACTCAGTTTTAAAGAAACCATTCATAATATTTTTATCAAACTTCACATGTTAATACATACTGATGTAAGCTTTTCAACTGCATCAACATTTTTTGACCTTGACCTTTCCTTTGACCTTAACTTCATTTATTTTAAGTAAAGTTTAGCTCAGTTTTAAATAAACCATTCAAAATATTTTTATCAAACTTAATATGCTGATACGTATTTGTGAGAACTATTCAACTGCACAAAAATATATGACCTTGAACTTTCCTGTGACCTTGCGCTCACTTTTCTTAAATTTGCATTTTGCTAAGTTTTAAAGAAATCATTTAAGATAGATTTATGTAAGCTTATGCACTTACAATTAATTTGGTTAGAATTTATCATCTATATCCAACTTTTTAGATTTCAAATTTAAAGAAATTATTGAAGATATTCTCATCAAATTTCATACACTAATACAAATTTTCATGTTACATTACTATTATACCCTCGGCGGGGCATTCATGTCCTATGAACATATTTCTAGTTTTTAATTAACACCTCCCCTACCCCTATGGATATTCCCTGATGACTAACAAAAATGAACTAAATAGAATTATTCTAATTATTCTAAAACATAAATCACTTACAAAAAATACAAACATGTATTTTTTTCAGACCATTGGAGTGATATTTCGTATGTACAGCCTTATATATAACAGCTGAGGAAATAAAGAAATCATTCCACTTATCAATTAAACCTTAACATTCCTATAGTTGAAATTTTAGTGCTGGCAATATTTTATAATATGTTTCTTGTATAGTATGTATTGTTCTGATGAAATATTTAAACTTGTGATTTTTAGCTGTGTATTTTTATAGAAGAATGAAAAAAGATTCGTGTATATTTTGTCAGTCACAATTATATTTTATCAATACAAAGATCATAATTGTTTTAAAACATACCTAACTGAGTTGACTTATTTATATCAGTATTTATATTTTTTACATTACATTCCACATTTTCTGTATTTTCAAGTCATAGTTATTTTATGCTCAATGTCAATGTTGTTCATTGTGTGGGGTATTCAGCTTCAAGGTTGTGCATTTTATTAATTATTGTATTTCTCTTTATATTTAGTTAAACTTTGAATGTTGGACTTTTTTTTAAAAATCTCTAGTCATATATTTCAATGTCTTCTGTTTGTTTTCTTAAGTAATTTTTTTTTTAAACAACAGTGTATTGATAACATATTATTTACACCTCATGCTGACATGCACGGTAAATGCATGGTTTTTTTTCGTTGCTGTTGATATATTGAATTCAAACTTTGATAATAAAAATATTTTGTTTAAGGGCTTGTAACTTTCCTTTTTTTCTGCTGGAGAAAGTGCTGATACTTTTGACTTTGAAAAATATTAAATTTACATTTAAGGCTTTTTTCTGTCTTTGTTCCTTTCATTTACTTTCAGAAATAGATAAATTTGGAAACACATGTATTGTTTATACTAAACAATGAGGAATATATATATATATATATATATATATATATATATATATATATATATATATATATATATATATATATATATATATATATATATATATATATATATATAAAATAATAATAATAATAATAAATAATAATAATAATACAGTTGAACTTCAGTATCTCAAACACTGTTATCTCAAATACCATGGATATGTCAAAGTGTTCTGAAGTCTCATCCCCTTATTCTTTAAGTATTTTACCCTGGATATCTTGAATCCTCGGATATCTCAAAGTTTTTTCTTGGACCCATAGAGTTTGAGATAACGAGATTTGACTGTATATATATATAATGATAAGAATTTATTTGATATTAAATTTTGAGCATTTAACTCATTATAATAGTAAATACCCTAAATGTAGGTTTAATGTTGAGTTCAAGATTTTGCCTTGAATGTTAATTGGTGGTTAATATTACTGTTAATTTATTTTTTCTTTGTTAATCTTTTTAGCTCTTAATAAAGTTAACTGAATCTCGTATTTGTCATTTTTTTCGTAGTCTATTTAGATCGGGATCGGAAATCAATGAAAATTTCACAGGTGGCGCTGTGCTCGCTTGCAAGCGCGTCATTTCGAAGGAAAAGGAAATTTGTTTACATTTTTGAAATCTTTTCGTGCAAAAATGTCTGCTGTTTACGATTATTTAAGAGCTGCTGCAATCGTGGTTGCATTTTTTGCAGCTAGACAAAGTAAAAAATCAGCTTTGTCTTTTGACTTATATCTATCAGCATGGTTTGGTGCAGGGTGCTTTCTTTTCCCTCGATTTGTGGCTTCTAAAGTAAGTATATCGTTGCCCCCTTGCAAAACCAAAACAGAAAAACAAAATCGAAAGAAAAAAGCCTATCCTTCAAAGATTTGTTTTTCTAAATCTCAGGTTTTGTTTATGGAGACGCATAAAGTTTATTTAATAAGGTTTTTCTCAGCAAACACAATATACAAGGGTATACAGGATGGAATCAATTGCCCAAAAGGGGATATAATAGCAATTTTGGACCTTAAAATCTGAAATAGAATATATATATATATTGCAAAAAAAAAGGTTTATATTTCGATAAATATTGTAACATGTAAATCTGTAATACAGAAAAAAGTTTTACATGGGTTGCGTTCAAATCCAAGTGTTTTCGCCCTGATTACCTGTCCATGCTAAGGGTTTTGCCCCAGTTTCCTGTTCGCCCAGAGTGGATTCGCCCTTCGTGAACTTGATGTTTTATTTTAGCAAAAGTGTTTGATCAGTGGATGTTTGTTTGTTGTTTAATGTCCCTCTCGAGAATTTTTCACTCATGTGGAGACGCCACCATTTGCTGGTGGAGAGCTGCAAATTTTGTCCTATACTCGGCACTTACGGCCATTGAGCAGTGAGGGATCTTTTTTGTGCCAGCACCTACTGCGACACGGGACCTCGGTTTATACGGTCTCATCCGAAGGACCGGCCTCCACGTCCCATAGTGGGATTCGAACCCGCGACATAAGGATCAACTCCTTACTTCGCGACTCTAGAGCAGACGCTCTAACCACTGAGCCATGCGGGCGACTCAGTGGATGTTAAAATTAACATGATTAATGAGCAATTTAATTTGCAAGTTTTGAGATTGAAACTCTACCGCGAAAGAGGCGCAAAAATTATCCATATCAGCATGGAAGTGGGACGTTGTTGATTAGCTGGAGATCTGTAGCGCTGGTCTGAAAAAAATTATGGACCACCAGAGAGCTACAGGGTCACCCATTGAAAAAAGTGTATATTTATTGTGCACAAAATAGTGCGCTGTTTCTCTAGTTGTCGATGAACACAAATGTGCATAAATAAATGAACTATGGCTAGAGCTTTTAAAACTTATTTTAATGTTTTAGAAAAATGTCAGATGATGTCAAGCAGTGATGATTTGATGATTTAACTGAGAGGATACTAGGTGCAGAACTGTAGCTCTCTGATTGAGAAAATTTGGACAGACAAACTGAGAGCTACAGATCTATGCAGTATAAAAACCTTTGATTTACGGGGATGCATTTTGTTGCTTGCTTCGGGTATTATTTCTTGCATTATATGCATTTCCTGATTTAAAGGAATGATATTATTTAAAGTCATATATGGCGTATTTTCTATAAGTTCAGACTAACTAAAATTAAAAAGATCTTTCTATTTGTTTTATTACTTTATATAAAGATAGGACTTTCCTGTAAATTGCACAATTTAAATCAATCACGTTTCAAAGATATTAGAAATCTAAAACAATAACAGATTTATTTACCAACTCCGCATTTAAATAACAGATGCTGTTTAAAGTCAATTTAACTATGGAAACATGAGGTTATTCAAGTTTAAAATCTGTGAAAATTTCAATTTGAATGTAAATTACATAATATAATGTTTATCGACACTCAATCTTGTGTTTTTATTTTTTAGCTCAGATACGCCATATATAGCTTTAATTGACCATATATTACTTGTATACCTGATATTTTTTATTTAATTTTCAATGGTTACAAACAGACCTATATATCTTGGAATGTCAGCTTTTAAAATTTGTGTTCCAATGTTCCATATGATGTGGTCATGCTTAAGTAACACCTTAGGCTAAAGGTAAGTAAAGCATCAGGAATGGGAGTAAAATATATAGTTATTTATCAGATACCACACTGTTAGTTTAAGAGAACACATATATAATGCGAGAAATAATACCCAAAGCGAGTGACAAAAAAGTGTTGCCGTAAGTCGAGGGTTTTTACAATGCTTGGATCTCTAGCTCTGGTTTGTCTGTACAAATTTTCTCAACCAGAGAGCAACAGTTCTACAGCTACTAGGCTACTTGTACTTGAAAACAAAAAACAGCCATTGATAGTCTTCATGAAAAAGATGCTTCCTTGATTATACAAACCTTTTCCAAAAAAGTTAGCGGGCTCTTTGAAATTATTATGAGGGAAAGAGTCTGTGTCATTCAGAATGCCAACGTGCAACAATCAGATGCATTTATATTTATCTCTTCCCTCCTCTGATTAGTTGCATCCACTGATAATTTCTTATGTTCTGATTATTTTGGTAGGAAAAAAAAATTGATGCCTTTACTTAAATTTTGAGTTGAAGAGTGCATCTTGAAAATCAGTTTATGATAGACAGGCATATCATATGCGTATTAAATTCAATAACAAGTGTCCAATCAATACTAAATTTTAGTTATTTCCAATTTTTTGGACAGGTGCTAGATGGAACACATACCACCTTTTTTTTTCAAAAATTATGAAAATAACATCTGTGTTTATATAAGAAAAAGAATTTTGGCTGGAAAAATTGTATTCCATCAATCTCCATTTTTTTTTTTAATTTTGAACAAAGATTTATCATATTAAACATTATTAATCAGTTGGATACATCAAAAACCTCTAGATTATCTCCCACAGCAACAATCAAAAAACACAAGTAAAGAACATTAGCGATTTGTCAAAACAAGCTGCCCAAACTCGTGTGCAAAAATTTGACACCTATAATTAGTTAACAGGTATCATGATAATTGGGGCAAAACCACTCATAGAGAACATGTAATTGGGGGAACCCACTGTTACCTCTGGGTTCCAGGCCTCAACATTAACATTAGTCCAATTGTCCATGTCCATTTCAGTTATCAGACAAGTCATTCTCCAGACACACTTGTCCAATGGGACAAGTCACCATTAGGGAATATTGTCAACATGAAAAATAATCCTCTCAGAATTAATTTAAAACGTGATTTTTTTTCAAAATCGCAAACTTAACATCAGTTCTACACCAGCAGTTGTTTATGGATGAGGACAATATATACTAGGTTACAGACAGTGCTGCTGTATCTTACATCATTAATGTTTTAATTTTCATGATAAAAAAATAATTAAGTCAATTTTATTTATAACTACTTCATTCTTAAAAAACCTGTTCAGAGTCAGACAAGTACACAATGCATTTGGACAAGTACAGTGTAACATTTGTTGGCAACTTGTCCAATGGACAAGTGGATAGTTTGGTTGTTGTAGAGTCCTGGATTTAACATTATAGCAGCTACATAGCTCTGCAAACAGCTACGATCTAGCCATCATAACAAGCTCTAAATCAGTTAGTGCATTCAATAGACTTCGATATTTTAGCTTACCACAAGGCTTGAACCTACAATTTTGAACATGGCCAAGCTGTTTACGGTGTATACATTCTTTGGGGGGGGGGGGGGTCAATCTCACAAACTATCTAGAGTGTTATTGAAAAACTTGCTTGCCAAAGTTGTTGCATTTGGTGCACCTATATTTATGTTGATTTGATTTAATTGATTAAAATTACCAAATGTTTCTATCTTTTCTGCACAGTAAATTTATATCCCATTAAGGATATTACATCCCAAATGGACTATTACATGTATATCCCTTTTGGACAATTGGTCCCAACCTGTCCTATAATGAAGGAAGATGTATAATTAAGAATAAATAATTGTATACAAATTAATTTAGCGAGTACTAGATAATTAAGGCGTAGATAGATAAATTTTGTGTTTCCAGTTCCCTGACTGACCTTAAATTCTATGAACTGACCAGAAAATTTTCCTGACTTTGTATTACTTTCTGGAAGTAAAAAATTCTGGCTTCACCATTTTAAAAATCCCAATCTCAGTCTTTTGCATGTTTCAGAAAACATATCCGATACTAGCCAGTAACTTCCCTTGGGAAGATGGCACCATATAAAATATTTTTTATTGTCACTGTTTAATAAACCAAAGAAATGTTAAAATAGAATGCTTTTCTTACCTACCCTATTTCTTTCCAGTTTGGAATAGGAAACACACTATTTATTTACCTAGGTCTAGATTAGGGATTTCAAATTTTTTATGTTTGTTGGAAGCAGTTGCACCCATTTTTAGCTCTACTGGTCAGAGACCAGAAGAGCTTATGCGATAGTAAGGTGTCCGTTGTCCGTCCGTCTGTCTGTCTGTCTGTCTGTCTGTCCGTCTGTCTGTAAACAATTTTTCAAAACGCTACTCCTCCTACAGTTTTGGTCCGATTTCAATACAACTTGGCACACAAGTAGACTACACTAAGATACATAATTTAGTGCATCGGTTTTTTGATTTCGATGGACGGTGTTGCCATGGTTACTAAAAATAGAAATTTCTGTGAAATTCCTTTAAAACGCTACTCCTCCTACAGTTTTGGACCGATTTCAATATAACTTGGCACAAAAGTAGACTACACTAAGATACATAATTTAGTGCATCGGTTTTTGATTTTGATGGACGGTGTTGCCATGGTTACTAAAAATAGAAATTTCTGTGAAATTCCTTTAAAACGCTACTCCTCCTACAGTTTTGATCCGATTTCAATATAACTTGGCACACAAGTAGACTACACTAAGATACATAATTTAGTGCATCGGTTTTTGATTTTGATGGACGGTGTTGCCATGGTTACTAAAAATAGAAATTTCTGTGAAATTCCTTTAAAACGCTACTCCTCCTACAGTTTTGATCCGATTTCAATATAACTTGGCACACAAGTAGACTTCACTAAGATACATAATTTAGTGCATCGGTTTTTGATTTTGATGGACGGTGTTGCCATGGTTACTAAAAATAGAAATTTCTGTGAAATTCCTTTAAAACGCTACTTCTCCTACAGTTTTTGTCCAATTTCAATATAACTTGGCTTACAAGTAGACAACACTAAGATACATAATTTAGTGCATAGGTTTTTTTGATTTTGATGGACGGTGTTGCCATGGTTACTAAAAATAGAAATTTCTGTGTAATTCCTTTAAAACGCTACTCCTCCTACAGTTTTGGTCCGATTTCAATATAACTTGGCACACAAGTAGACTACACTAAGATACATAATTTAGTGCATCGGTTTTTGATTTCGATGGACGGTGTTGCCATGGTTACTAAAAATAGAAATTTCTGTGAAATTCCTTTAAAACACTACTCCTGCTACAGTTTTAGTCTGCTTTTAATATAATTAGGCATACAAGGAGACTATACTAAGATACATAATTTATTGGATTGGTTTTTGAATTCGATGAACAGTGTTGCCATGGTTACTTAAAGTAGAAATTTTTGTGAAATTCCCATTAAACGCTACTCCTCCTACAATTTTGGTCTGATTTCAATCTAATTTGGCACACAGTTAGAATACACTACGATACATAATATGTATTTCTGTTTTTTTTTTATTTGGGTGAATGGTGTTGTCATGGTTACTAAAAATAGAAATTTCCGTGAAATACTTTCAAAACGCTACTCCTCCTACAGTTTTCATTTGATTTCAATATAACTTGGCACAGAAGTAGACTACATTAAGATACATAATTCTATTTATTGTTGCATGTTGCAATGTTTCAAATCCAAGTGCTACTTTTCTTTTGTTATACAAACAGACCAGTAGAGCTACAGTCTCATCAGAGACTTCTGGTTATGCACTCATATTTTCATAAAAAAACTTTTCTTTATTTTTCTCAACATGATACATGACTTTATTATCAAATATTCATAATTGATTGACCATATAACAATAGTGTGATGCTTGATGCCCATTTTGTTGAGTAGGAAATAAAACATTGGCATGCAGTATTGATAATTCTTTAAAAAGGATTATTTTCTCAGCTGCTCAGCAAGTACTTGTAAAGATGGTAAAAAAAGAAATTTTGAAAATCTCTGTTTGATTGATAAAGTTTAGACGAAGGTGCAAAAACTTGTATGTATGCAAAATCAATGAGCAGTCTGGTTTTTCCTACTGACTTGTTCAACTTTCTAAGATTTGTTGATCTTGTTTTGTTCATGACATTGATTTATATCTTACAGATCTTTGTGTCCTCAGATCACTCTCATGTGTTTGGAGTTCAAACTGTTGGAGCCAGCTTTATCACAATGGCACTATTTCAGTACTTGTGCAATAAATCCAGAGATGAAACAGTTCTTGGAAGCATTTCAGTGTCAAAGGCTTTGGTAAAATATAATTGTATTCAATCTAATTGTGGAGTTTATTGTGTAAATTGAATGTATGTAATTCAACATTCATTAATATTTCATACCTTTTGTCCAAAGAAATTAAGTGAACACACACACAGATCTCTCTTTCTCTCTCTCTACATGCTATATATATATATATATATATATATATATATATATATATATATATATATATATATATATATGTATATATATGAACAGTCACTTTGCCATTTTTACCCTTACTTTTATCTTGACAACCTGAAATTAAACCAAGTTGCCCAGTGGCACCCCAGTTCAAAGATATTTTGAAATTAATTGGTATATTGTTTCATATTGTAGATAGAGTGTGTTTTCAACTTTACTTGTACAGGTTCTGTGTTTAGTCATAAGTATCATAATATTTAATTTAATTTTTTGAAAAAAATACAGGGGGGAGGGGGTATTTAGTTTTACAAATTCTAGGCATATATTTATTGTGAAGATACACTGTATATCTCTTTTGTTAATGAAAAATCTTCCATGGAAAACAATTTTACTAAATGAACTCATTCATTTTACTTAACAGATACATACATGTATATAATGTGAGAAAATTCTACTTGTCAAAATATATACAAGTCTGATATTTATTTGAGCTACTGTGGACCCCCACCCCCACTAGTCAAATAGGATTCTGTTTGGGCAACATGTGTGTTTTTATTGGCTACTCAAAGTTTGTGTGTTGAACCCATGCAGAGAAAATGTATGCCTTGTTAATGTTTGGTTTAAACTTTGTAATTTGTCATTATTTGTGAAAATAGCTGTGTCCAATATATATACTCAATTATATTGTACATATAAATGATAAAAAAGTTACACTCAATCCATATATTTGTTAAGTTTTAATACTTTTAATACTGGCTCATGGATTACATAATGAATTTACAATGTTTTATTCTATTCAGGGATTTCTGCCTCTTCTGTTTGCCTCAGTGTATACCTTTGTAATGAATCAGAAGAGTTTTCACCACCCTGTAAGTAGCTAATGCATTCTGTTTTTGTTTTTTTCATTTGATATTTCCATACTTGTTACAAGAGTATCATTTGTGTTAATTAAATGTAATAATAATTTGTTGTAGGCTTTCTGTTTCATCTTAACAATCTTCTCTGGAATCTGGTTAATCAATGTGGCTCTGTTGTTTGAGATCCGCCCCGCTATTGGACGGAGGGAGCATGGGGGACCCGTCAGTGTTGTGTGCAGGCTCATGTTCCTTGTCTTCCTGCTCCATGGCCTGGCAGACTTAGCCTTCCCATCCACTGTGGCTTCCATCATGGTGTGTGTCTTGTTTCATGGGTTTCAAATGTCAAACAATAAGTTTAAAGATGAATTGCACTTTACTGTTGTTTCTTCTAAGCTCTTTTTTAATCTATCAAAAAAAATTTTTAACTGCTGAGCATGGAAACTCTTCAGGTCCACAGCTATTCAAAAGTTTTCATGAATCTGTGTAATTAATGTTAAGGTTTTTAGCTCTACTGGTCAGAGACCAGAAGAGCTTATGCGATAGTAAGGTGTCCGTCGTCCGTCCGTCTGTCTGTCCGTCTGTCTGTAAAAAATTTTTCAAAACACTACTCCTCTTACAGTTTTGGTCCGATTTCAATATAACTTGGCACACAAGTAGACAACACTAAGATACATAATTTAGTGCATTGGTTTTTGATTTCGATGGACGGTGTTGCCATGGTCACTAAAAATAGAAATTTCTGTGAAATTCATTTAAAACGCTACTCCTCCTACAGTTTTGGTCCAATTTCAATATAACTTGGCACACAAGTAGACTACACTAAGATACATAATTTAGTGCATCGGTTTTTGAATTCGATGAACAGTGTTGCCATGGTTACTTAAAATAGAAATTTCTGTGAAATTCCTTTAAAACGCTACTCCTCCTACAGTTTTGGTCCGATTTCAATATAACTTGGCACACAAGTAGACTACACTAAGATACATAATTTAGTGCATCGGTTTTTGAATTCGATGAACAGTGTTGCCATGGTTACTAAAAATAGAAATTTCTGTGAAATTTCTTTAAAACGCTACTCCTCCTACAGTTTTGGTCCGATTTCAATATAACTTGGCACACAAGTAGACTACACTAAGATACATAATTTAGTGCATCGGTTTTTGATTTCGATGGACGGTGTTGCCATGGTTACTAAAAATAGAAATTTCTGTGAAATTCCTTTAAAACGCTACTCCTCCTACAGTTTTGGTCCGATTTCAGTATAACTTGGCACACAAGTAGACTACACTTAAGATACATAATTTAGTGCATCGGTTTTTGATTTTGATGGACGGTGTTGCCATGGTTACTAAAAATAGAAATTTCTGTGAAATTCCTTTAAAACACTACTCCTCCTACAGTTTTGGTCCGATTTCAATATAACTTGGCACACAAGTAGACTACACTTAAGATACATAATTTAGTGCATCGGTTTTTGATTTCGATGGACGGTATTGCCATGGTTACTAAAAATAGGAATTTCTGTGAAATTCCTTTAAAACACTACTCCTGCTACAGTTTTAGTCTGCTTCTAATATAATTAGGCATACAAGAAGACTATACTAAGATACATAATTTATTGCATTGGTTTTTGAATTCGATGAACAGTGTTGCCATGGTTACTTAAAATAGAAATGTCTGTGAAATTCCTTTAAAACGTTACTCCTCCTACAATTTTGGTCTGATTTCAATCTAATTTGGCACACAGTTAGAATACACTACGATACATAATATGTATTTCTGTTTTTTTTATTTGGGTGAATGGTGTTGTCATGGTTACCGGTACTAAAAATAGAAATTTCCGTGAAATACTTTCAAAACGCTACTACTCCTAGTTTTCATTTGATTTCAATATAACTTGTCACAAAAGTAGACTACATTAAGATACATAATTCTATTTATTGTTGCATGTTGCAATGTTTCAAATCCAAGTGCTACTTTTCTTTTGTTATACAAACAGACCAGTAGAGCTACAGTCTCATCAGAGACTTCTGGTTTGTTGTTATACTTGTAAATAATTGTTTAATAGGATTTTGAAATTGCAGGGATGATTAAATTCATTTATATTTTCAGAAAGTGAAAAGTTCTGTTGGTTTGAATTTCTTGACACAATCTATCGGAGCCCTCCTGATCAGCAATATTTTCACATCCTGGTATGCCCCATGCTTCCTCAGAAAGGAAGATCGAAAAAGCTTTATTGACAGTCAGCTTGTGGTGAGTCATACCATATAATGGATTATTTTACTGACCGGCAAAGTTAACAATTAAATCCAAAAAGTGGCCAATAATTATTAGCATAGTTAATTGTTACCGATTTTAGGGATCACTGTTTCATTTTCTTTTACAATATTTGTGATTAAATTAAAAGCATTACATTTAAGTGATTATAAAACTCGTAGGGTTTCTGTTTCTGTAATAAATTTTTTAACCCATAGTATAATAATAACACTAAATATCTATCAAAATCCAAATTATATGGAGTACTCCCTCCCCAGAATCCCTAGAAGTTTGACCTACTTATAAAAAATTTGAACTTTGACTATAACCTTTATGCTCCAGAAGACACGGGGCTTTCATATTTTTTTCACATGTACATTACTTGTAACAAGACCTTTCTGATTATATTGTGATATTTGACCTCATGACCTTGATCTTGAAGTTTGATGTACTTTTGGGAAGCTATAATCTTTGCCATAACTGTTCAAATATTCCATAAAATAATGGCATCCCATCCGCTAAGACACTGAAAGCGGGGGACCAGAGTTCTTTGAATTTGCTTGTTGACCTTCTAACATGATTGTAGATATTGACATTTATTCTAGAGTTTAATGAATATTTTTGTTTTATCAGTATGAATTGTTGGTGGCTTTGGCCTCGGGATACTTCTGCTACATGACGAAGGCCGATACCAGTGCTACTCTCCTGTTTGTGGCCCACTCTCTGGCCGGTATGTTGCTGCCTGTTGTAGGCTGTGTCCTGATGTACAGAGAAGACCACGTGATCACCAACACCCACTATACTCGCTCTAAAAGGAACTAAAATGTCATCATTGGAAACACTTGTATAAAACTCACCGATGTATTTTTTTAAAACAATTTTCTGAATAATTTTTAATACTCTTAGTATATTATTCTTCATAGTCCTTTTAGTAGTCTCTACGTGTTGTATTATTTTTAAAAAGGTATACAACTATTTTTAAAAGGGTATACAACTATAAAATCAACATTTTTATAATCACAGCATTATTAATCTTAGATCTGCTTTTTTGGTATTTTTAGTTTGTAATCTCATGTAGTTCAGGGTATACATTTTGACATTGGTTGGATTTTAGCTGAAAGTTATCTATTATTTACTTGAAATTTTATATTTAGGTATCAGATCTCAAACTGATGAAATTTTTTTCTAGGTTGAACTTCACGCAAACAATGAGTGAATTAGTGCTAAGAATATTGGATTGTCTCCCTTACATTTTGAGACAGAAACTATTTTCGTGTTTCAATCAATCATGTATATGTCACTGTGCCTTTGTTTAAGGACATATATATCTTGATGTTTGACCTGCTGAGTTTTTAGTTTAATGTTGTAATTTCTGTTCACAAAATCTGTATAGAAATGTAAATAAGCATTGACAGCTTAGAGGCAGCAGAATCCCCATCAGGAGCAAGGGAGTCATGTACAGTCAGTATTTTTCAGAAGGAAGTGTTTTGTGTGTCTTACAGAATTATTTTGAGCATTGGTCAAATACCAAAATAAATTTATTAACTGAGTTCTCTTGTTTTATAGAATTAACAAACATAAACAAATAGCAATACAATGTGTTTGTCCTCAGGTCCACAGCATCTGTAGAAAATGAATTTGATATACATGTAAACACAATGCAAAGTAGTTTAGGTCACCCGAGTCACTCAGGTGATGGGTGTCATTTATATATTCTGGAATGCAGTTTGCTCCAATTTATACAGCACTTGCAGTATATAGTATCTATGAGTAATGAAAACAGTTGAGGTCAGACAACACATTCCTCAATAATATATAATTTTCCTCACAAATTTTTTATTCAAGTATTACAACTTTAATAAGTTTACTCAGAAAAAATCAAGGTATTTGTGCATGATGCTAGAGAATGGTGTTCCCTATATACGAGGGTTGTCCCAAAATTCCGTAGACAGAGTTCATATCTTTAACAAAATTAAATGTATCTGTCTAAAATTTTCTGGGTGGATGAAGTGTGTTATTGGTTGGTAAGTTACTAAGTTTTAACATGATTGCTTAAAACCAATTCGAGTAATTACAATGTCAGTATTACCGTTCCTTAACACCCGGAGCAATCTCCGACGTCAAAAAAGATGCACTTAACGTCACCAATTTTGATTGAAGTTATTTCACTAATAAAAGGAATCATTTTTTTTAATTTATCATAAACATTATAAAAATAAATTAAAAATATCTTAATTGCTACGGTATGCACATGCATATGTATCCAATAATAACGATTTTAAAAACCTCATGTCTCTAAGGGTTTTGATTTCTGTGTCTTCTCAAATGAAGTTGCAAAACGTCACTTTGACCACGATTCCGTGCCCTTTTCTTTGGGCGGTCTCTTATTTAGTTTCGCTTTTTCACAAACTTGGACAATTTTGATACACTAAGGACCGAAAGACATTTCCATGCGTACCAAACATTTATGATTCCTGTTTTTCTGTAGGAGTGAATTAAAGTTCAGAACATTTGATCACTGTCCAGCGCGCCGTCTGTGTCGACACAGGCGCCATTTTTCATGGTCAGATTTCAAATTGATGCATATAAAACGTTATAAAATTCATATTTATCAAGGAATAAACAATAAAATTGGAGGAAAGGTAGCTTACATTGCAATTTGAATAATATTAATTTCGTAATTTTGAATAATATTAATTTTCGAAATTCTGAGTATTAAATACTTTTTCTTAAAATTTTAAATATCACATACCGATTTTTAATTGCAATTTTTGGGTACTGCGCCGCCTTCTTACATAAGACACTGGAAAATTGTATTTAAATAGGGTTCAAATGTGTAAATTCTCAATTTTTGCCCATAAATGTATTGGATATTATTAGTTTTATATATGCAAAAACTTTCATTGATTTATGACACCGGGTTCCTACATAACTACGCTTGTCTACGGAATTTTGGGACAACCCTCGTAGTCCTACCAAAAATCACTTGAATTGCCAATATCATAATTTTGGGAGTATTTCGTTTTTAAGGCGTCTTGAAAACGGTTCATAAATCACAAAATGATGATAATTATTAGTATTTTTTAGCTCATCTGAGCTGAAAGCTCAAGTGAGCTTTTCTCATTACCTGTTGTTCGTCGTCCGTCCGTCTGTCTGTAAACTTTTCACATTTTCAACTTCTTTTCAAGAATCACTGGGCCAATTTTAACCAAACTTGGTACAAAACATCCTTGGGTAAAGGGGAGTTTAAATTCTTAAAATGAAGGGCCAAGCCCCCTTCCAAGGGGAGATAACTTAGAAAAGACAAAAATAGGGTGGGGTCATTAAAAAATCTTCTCAAGAAGCACTGGGCCAGAAAAGCTTAAACTTATGTGGAAGGATCCTGGGGTAGTGCAAATTCTAAATTGTTCAAATCATGACCCCCGGGGGTAGGGCGGGGCCACAATAGGGAATCAAATTTTCACATTGAAATATATGAGAACAATCTTTAAAAATCTTCTTCTCAAGGACCACTGGGCCAGAATAGCTGAAACTTATGTGGAAGCATCCCGGGTTAGTGTAGATTCTAAATTGTTCAAATTATGACCCCAGAGGAAGGTCTGGGCCACAATAGGGAATCCAAGTTTTACATTGAAATATGTAGAAAAAAATCTTTTAGTCAAGAACCACTGAACGTATTTGATATGACATGTGATATCCTTTATGTCCTATACGTAAATATGGATTCTAGGACTAAATGATATTCTTAAATGACCAGTTTCCAAAGCTGTTCCACCTCTAGCTTTTTTCCCTAATTCACTATCTTTCGATTTTTTATAAGCCCCCACTTCTCTCTCTCTCTCTCTCTCTCTCTCTCTCTCTCTCTCTCTCTCATAATATTACAAACGCATCTACCATCCCCTCCCTCATACTATGAATGATTTAGCAATGACTTCACTGACAATGGCAAATCATTTTAAAAGTTTAACATTTGTAGAGTTAACTGACCAAAGATTATAAAATCGATGTCGATCGTCAATTAACTAATTTATGCTTCAAATTTTTTTTTGTGTAGAACTGAGTATTCTGAATACAAAAAATTCGATGGTCGACTTATAGTATAAAAATAGAGATATATTACGTAATACACATCATCATGCTTCATAAGAAACATAATTTACTCTCACAATTATGGTATATATTTATAATGTATTATACTAATTATGTCTGGGTAACAAACTTTTTATTGGAGAGACTGAATCGGAGCAATGAACTTTACTTACAGTGCAAAAATTAACATCCTTTTCATATTTGGTTGTTGTCGTATGATTCAAATTTGAACTTGATCCCTCCCTACCAATCCTGCTCATTATACTCTCATTTATGCCTTGGATATAGTGTTTAGACCCTTTTTGTAACAATGTTTCAATTCCCACACAAAATCTTTTTAATCCAATTCTTTCTGCAAATGTAAGTGCCCAGAGGAGGACGTCTAGTAGATTAAAGGACAAAAAGGTCAAAGATGAAGACACCATGTGTACAAAGTTTAGTGCGTTTACAGCAATATTCTCGCGTATCATTCTTGCTGCAAGGATGCTAGATAGCCAAATAAAAGGAGAATCTTGTATATGAATTCAACGTATGAATAACTAGAGTGTTCCAAGGAACGCATGTGTTGTCTGCTGTGTAGCTTCATTAACGGTGTAAATAAATCTAAGAGTGGTCAGCTTTTTATTTACTATAAGCATGATACACTGATAGTTCATGCATTTGCCACCCATGGATAGTATAAGATGGCATCCATGGATAGTATAAGACTGCGATAGAATCTGACAATCAAAGAAAAGATGGCTCCGTAACCCTCAAATGAATTATTACATTGAAATTGCTAGAAATAACTATTTGTCATTTTATTAATACGTGTTTCCAACAATCCTGAAAAAAAGAATTTCAGTCTGTCTTTACTGTAATTGTCAGTCTACACGATCCATTGTTGAATACCGATCCCACTCAGGTGACCATAACATTCAGGCACATAGAATCTGGGTGATCGAGGGGTGGGAGTGAGGGAGGGGGGGGGGGCGGCTGCGGAGGGCTTGAAATTGCCCCTCCCCATACCAGCGAATGGAAACAACTCATCATTGCTTAATAAGCTTGTATCATTTTAGAATTATTGAATCATATAATAAAATAATTATTGCTGATTTTTTTTTTTTTTTTTTTTTTTGGGGGGGGGGGGGTCAATGCGATGATTTATCCATCTTTGAAGTACAATATTCACCTCGCCCTTCGGGCTCGATGAATATTGTACTCCTCAGGTGTCTAAATCATTCTATTGACCTCAAAAAACGGCACGTTTTTTTTATTTGGATGAACAATGTTTCAACGCTTACTAGAATTAGAACAATAGTGGAATTCTTTTAAAATGCGACCCCTCGAGTAGTTTTTGTCTGATTTCAGATTTTAACCTTGGAACCAAAGTAGAGTAAACCAAGGCCCATAATTTTATAAATTGATTAGTTTTACAATACCTACTAAAACCTACTAGTATACGCTAGTCACCCTACAGTTTTTATTTGACTCAGTCAAACTTGGCACAAAGAACGAGGGCGTATTTGATTGGCATTCGGCATGAATCTGGGCTCACTTGAAAAGTGAAAATTTCATTGATCTGTGACATGAAATTTTATCATTCTTTGATTTTTAGGGTTCTTGTGAAATAGGAAAAGGAAATATTTTCCCGATATTGTGTTTTATTTGCTAAAAAATAACTTGAAAATTGGCTAGATGAGTAATTTGGTACTCATACAAGTAAAATGTTATATTTTTTATTAAACACTTTTTCTAAAAATTTGTTATTTTGTTAAAAACATTCTGATTAAACACACAAGTACTCTAAAATTAAAATTAAAAAGATGCTTGAGTTTCTGATTGACAATATCGATGTGGTTTTTGTAGACCAGGTCTTCCAACAATCTGTTGGAATTCCCATGGGTACCAATTACGCCCCGTTGTTAGCAGACCTATTTTGTATTCATATGAAGCAGAATTTATTCAAAATTTTATACAGGAGAAAAAGAAATCTCTTAATTGCTGTGGCCTTCAAATCGACATTTAGATATATCGACGACTTATTATCAATTAACAGTAGTTATTTCCATTCATATGTCAACACGATATATCTCAGTGAGCTTGAAATAAAAAATACCAAAGAGTCTGACACATCTGTTTCATATTTGGATATTTTACCAGAAAAAGAAGTTAATGGTAATCTAACAACAAAGCTTTATTATAAACGTGATGACTTTAACTTTTCAATCGCCAACTTCCCCTACTTATGCAGCAATATACCCTTATCACCTTCGTAAGGGATGCATATCTCTCAGTTGATTCGTTACGCAAGAGCATGCTCTACCTATGAACAATTTCTAAGACGAGGTAAGTTATTGACAAAGAAGTTGATATCAACATGTTCTCGTTTAAAGTCATCATTTCGTAAGTTCTATGGTCGATACAATGACCTTGTCAGCAAATACAATCTATCATTAAGTTATATGCTAACAGATGTTTTTCATACTAATTGTTAGGCCATTATTTACACACTGAATTGTCGACGGATTTTTCCGGGTTATTTTTTTCCTTATTTTTCCGGGTATTTTTTTCACGACAAGGAGCACAAGGCGGGTGTGACCTTTCGGCAGGGGATGCTCACTCCTCCATGGCACCTGATCCCACCTCTGATGTTGTTGGAAGTCTGTGTTTGCTCTGCTCCCGATTTATATTGTTTTAATGGACTTTGAGCTTGACTATTGTTCGTTATCTCCATATTTCACTATCTCTGGGTCATCTCTCCCTGATTTTAAAACGTTATTTGTGTGTATTTTAATTCAAAGAAAAAAGCAAACATTTGTAAAAATGGAGAGATGACCCATATTTTAAATCCATATTGTGTGTGTAGCGGTGATAGCTAATTAGTAGTATGAGTTACCAGTCTATAGTACTGGAATCCAGAAGTTTGCATGTACTGTTACTCTTTTAATGCAAACAACCAATGCATTTGTCAGAATAATTTTATGTACTGATTTATTAAATATTAATATAGATAAATTTTGGGTCAGTTGCACCGAGAGCGAAACCAATTCTTCCAACCTATACTTATGAAATATTGCATTTAACTATACCTTATTATCTTACTAGTGTTTATTATTGATGTAAAGTGTTAATCTGCTATCGTAACTATAAAGATAAGCAGACATATTTACATTTCCAATGTCTTTGTCCGAGATAGAATTACAAATTGTAAAAATACTTTATTTCTACATAAATCTACTGGTTCATCGATAGGCGCGGTTAAAAAAAAATCACGTGCGGGGCGGGACAAATTGAGACAGAAGCGGGGCTATTAGCACGGGAATTTGCAGAGCATGTAAATATAAGGAATAACTGTCAGATTTTTTGGATTCATGACGATGATCAATCGATTGGCTTGCGTGATAATTTTATGCATAAACGCCTTCGGCGTTTATGCAAATTATCACGCAAGCCACTCGATTGATCACATCATGAATCCAAAAAATAAGACAGTTATTCCTTAATTAAATATTACAATTTGAGAAACTACTTCAAAGTAAACGTACGTAACATTTTCTTTTGTGCGTAACCTTTTAAAGTCTGTCCAGCTGTGTTCAGCCGACCAAATCAAGGATTTTAAAACTATAAATGTACACATAATCCCTGCAGATCACACGTCCATCTTTTTTTTTTTTTTTAGAAAACTAAAGAATACGCAATTCTGTAGATATTAAACTTTAAAAAGTGTTTAAAGTCCAGGTGCGACCATTCATTTGTGATTGGCATCTACAAAATTAATTTTTAAAAAATCAGTAAAACAATCACCCTGATTCTACACACGAGTACTCTGAGTTTGATATAAAAGGGAAGCTTGAGTTCCTCATTGACGACATCTATGTTGTCTTTGGAGACCAAGTCTTCCAAACTGTTGGATTTTCGATAGACACTTATTGTGCTCCTTTATTAACCGACATGCGTTTACTAGTATATTCCTATGAAACAGAATTTATTCAAAAACTTCTACATGAGAAAAAACTCTTGCCGTGGCCTTCAACTCGACAATCAGATACTGTAGATTCCTAAATATACGCGAGGAATAAATTATCGCGTAATTACGCGAGAAGCACAACTCACGAAATAAAATTACTCGCTTTTATTTTTATGGTGCTTTAATGTATGTAAAATCTCTAGATAAATCACCCATTCGCGAATTATTTTTCTCGCGATTTGACACACGTTAGCCATTTCGCGATATAAAGTACTCGCGTAAAATAAGGAATCTACAGTATATCGACGACGTTTATCAACTAACAATAGATTCTTCCATTCATATGTCGACTCGATATATCCTAGTGAACTCGAAATAAAAGTCACCACAGAGTCTGTCATATCTGTTTCATATTTGGATATTTTACTGACTAGGCGATAAAAGCCAACTAACAACTTAGCTGTATGACAAACCAGATGACTTCTATCGTCAACTTTCCTCATTTATGTAGTGATATTCCAGTATAACCTGCATATGGGGTTTATGTCTCTGAACTAATTCGATACTCAAGAGCATGCTTTTAGTACGAGCAATTTTTAAACCGAAGTAGGCTGCTGACAAATAAGTTGATGTTACGGGGATTTCAACAGTCTCGTTTAAAGTCAGCATTTTGTAAATTCTATGGTCGTTCTGGCGACCTTGTTAGCAAATATAACCTATCATTGGATCGTATTTTGGCTGTGTTTCATACCAATTGTTAGGCATTTATTTATTTATTATTTTTTTTTTTTACTAAATTTGACTACGGACTGCTCCGTCTACCTAATCAATACATAGGACTCACTGCGGGTGTGACTGGTCGACAGGGGATGCTTACTCCTCCTATGCACCTTATCCCACCTCTGGAATTTCTAGAGTTCCGTGTTTATGCCCTTCTCACAGATTTGTATCGTTTGTAGGTTTTTTTTTGTTAGATCGATCACTGTTCGTTATCTTCGCCTATTTCATTCTTTTACTAAATTAAAACCAGTGGAGCTGCCGTCTCAGAAATATCTGGTTGACACAAATTTTGCGTTTCTCCACAAAGCCTAAATAAAAGAAGTTACACACAGTAAAAGACACAAAAACTGGTAGAGTACATTTTGTTTTTAGCAATAGTAGATTTTTTTTTAGATTGTCCTGCTTGGAGTTGCCCTCAAGTGAGTACTTAGTCTACCGTAAAGACAGTTTATGCCGAATAAAATCATTTTAGATTTTTAACCCCACTCCGGCAAAAAGTCAGAACATATTATGTTTACACTGGTACTTTAGAAAATAAGATTGCATACAAATAATCAAAGCGGATGGGGAATGTTTGTACTCGTATTCGAAATAAGCAATTAGTATATACTTGTAATTGGTTATAAAATTAGGATTGGAATGAAAAAATTAAGATTATATAATTTATATGTGACTCTGTAATTTTTTGCTCTTTTTCTCAAATCCCAAATACCTGACGATTTTTAGTATAATATATTTTTCTTTTTAAGAACATACATGTAATTCCTATGAACAGGTTCTACTCGGAATGGAAATTACGACTTTTACAGATATAGATTAACCTAAAACAGATGTAAAAGAAAAACAATCATTTGTGTAATCCCATATCATAATTTCATCTCCCGTTCCAGTGTAGAAATTACAAAATTGCAAAAATCGGTTAATAGAGATTAAAGCATTCGAATTTGATCTCCCAAGCGATGTAAATATTCTACAGACAAAAACAGCTTTAAAACAAAATACGTACTCCATCAACCAAATGAGTAATATGTCACTTAGGCGAAGTGCCACCGAAAGCAGATACAAACACTGATTAGGATAAAACTAGCAAACTAAAATAATTATCAATACATAACGGATGAGATCACATAAAAATAATGGCAAAAAATTAAGTTATATTAAGAGGAAGACAAGTGTAGTGGATAGTTTACTACAATACTGAGACTGGCCCGGTAAAGGAGGGAGAAAATGGCGCCAATTTCCAGCTTTGGACTGCTTATTGCACTTCTGTTTCATTCAGTAAGTTTTAATTCGATTTTGTTATAGACAGGTATTTTGGGTTGATGGTGTATTTATTGCAATTTGATAATGTTTTTCAATTTTCAGACTTCATCCACAAAGGATTCTTACGGTAAAGAACACCTCGTTTGATTTTTTTTGTTTTAAATTCATTTTCTTTCAAAGAATAAGATAAACGATATCATCTTGATTTTAAGTTATATATCTCTTGAAATAAAAATCACTTCTACAAGTTTACAAACTTTTTTTTATCCCCCAGGCTGCGGCAATAAGCCGGCCGATGTGGAGTTTGTATTGGACTCCAGCGGAAGTATAATGTACAGTGACTTCCGGAAACAGCTAAATTTTACGGAAAACTTGGTGGACTTGTTCGACATTGGACAAAATAAAACCCGTGTTGGAATGGTCAGCTTCAGGTAAGATGGCAAACTTCTACTCTTTTTGAAGTTTAAAGTTTAGAAATACATCTATCGCCAACCATAAGTCCCGAATATGGATCAAGTAGGAATACATTGATCTTTCAGTGGAATTGTGATTTGAGTAGATAATATACGTGATTGAGTCTCCTCTTGATCTAAAATTTTGTATTATAGAGTGAAGAGGTTTTTTTTTGCAATATATACAACACACATGTTTAAGCTGTAAAAATGTTGCAAAAAACACAGACTTAGTTTTTACAAAAATTACCAAAGAGTTCGGTGCTGTAAGATATGTTTTCCCTTTTCTTTTTTCGATTAAATTTTTCGGCTTATCATTTCTGGGTTAATATTAATTGTTTCTTCGGTCATTCAGCGCTCGTATTTTCCGTACTAAATTAAATCAATTGTTGTCTAGTACCCAAGTTATCCCAGAATTCAAGTTGGGTGAATATAACGACAAAAAGGACATAAAACAGAAGATACGGAGTGTCTGGTACCAGGGGGGAGGAACAAACACGGGGAAGGCGCTGAATTACGTCAGAACACAGACATTTCCGGTCAATGACGGGAGACCCAATGTCCCTCACATAGTCATTGTCCTCACGGACGGGATGTCACAAGACTTCCGGTACACAGTACAGGAAGCAGCGGCGGCGCACAATCAAGGAATCACTGTATTTGTGATTGGGATTGGAGATCAGGTATGTTTGCATTCTCTTGTGTTTCTAAAAATCCCACAAAAAGAAGCATAATACAAAGAAGATGCGTTTTTCTTTCCTTCTCAGGTTGATGAAAAAGAACTAAAAGCAATAGCGAGTAAGCCGACGGACAACTTCATGTTTGAGATAGACAATTTCGACGCGCTCCAAACCATTAAAGATAAGTTAGCCATCAGAACTTGCAAAGGTAATTGGGAGAGGCATTTCAATTTCATGATATGCAAACAATGGTATAGCTAATAGAGGCGACTGGGGCTACCCATCCACTTCCAGAAGCGAGATTATTGGTATAAATGCCTTTCCCCTACTCCAAACCCTTACAACGTTTTTCCAAACTGATGAAATATACCTACACCAGAAAATTTCTGGAGAATAGTCATTGACTGATTTAATTTGAACTTTTGTTAATTGTGTTACGAGTAATTACTATTACAGACTAGAATGAGAGTGAAAATGTCCCCACGAATTTATCTTGTCTATAAATATTTCTTGCAGTTCCACCTGCTACTCCGCCCCCGCCTACACCGCCCGCCATCAATGAGGATGCTGTTCTAAATGGCAATGCTCGTAAGTTTCCCTCATACTTTTTCATAGTCAGCCATTTATTCTTGTGTTTGGGTTCAGGATTGAATTTCTCAAATATATTTTTTTCTAGATTGCAGTCCTGAAATGCCAGTGGAATTAAAAGTGGCGCTTGACACTGCTGCCATCGGTATAGATAATTCTAAATTTATCTTGCGATTTATTGCCGAGTTATCTGACCGCCTTGACCTGCCACAGAGCCATTCCGAGATCGAAACCGTGACCAATGGTTGTGCCACCCAGAGCCTTGGTGATATAACGTTTGGTTCCGGACATGACCGTGAGAAGATAGAAAAGTCGATGACAGACACTACACAGGGTATTTCCTCCATGATGCGGAGATTGCGGCAAAGTTTTAGTAGAGGCAACCAGAGGAAGAAAGTGGGTGTTGTGTTCATGGGGGAGACGCTGAGCAACGGGGAATACAGAAAAGCTTTACGTGAAACTACACGCGCATCTTTCATGGGGATAAAATTATTTGTGGTAGGGGTAGGTGAACGAGTTAGTACAAGACAGACTCAAGTTTTGGCAGCAAGCTCCAACCAAGCTTTCTTTGCCGAATCCTACGACAGTTTGCATTTTGTTGAAGGACCATTGTTACTAAAAATTTGCACACTAAAATGATTTCTGTGATGTGATATTTATAACATTGTAAAACTGTTTTACAATTTATTTACAAGTACATGTAATCCCACTGCATTCGTATTCCTTTGGATATAGGGATTTACGGAACAAAGGTCTGAAAATAAAAAAAAAAGTTTTAGACATTAAATACAATATCTGAAAATTAACAAGCTTATTCAGAGAATTTGTGCCACCTCCCCCTCCCTCGCTTAAGGAAAAAAGGGAAGAGAGTGGAAGAACGGGAACTATTTTGCAGTTGGAGAAAGAAAAGGTTATCAAAAATTGCGAAGCTCACCTCGACGAATGTAATCTATATAAGTAAGGCAAATCTAACATCATATTTTTTTTCTAGTTAGTGTACATCCCAAGATCAATATCCATGCAAGTTTGGTTTAAGTAGGACTTATAGTTACTTGGAAATAGACCTGCTCAAAAAAAAAATTAACCTGTTTACTTATAAAGAAAATTTTGGTCAGTTCCAACATTCGAAGCAAGTCTGGAAGTTTTCATCCTTAGAAGCACCATCTATGTAAGTTTAATCAAAACAGGCCATAATATTATAAAGCTACTCCAAAAACACTACCCTGGTCACTCATCTGGAATATGTAGGTCAGATTTAGAATCCAAATCAAGTCTGGAAGTGTCCATCCCTAGATACGTCATGCTAATTTGGTTAAAATATGGCTGAAATTCACTCATTGGGAAAATCTAGGTCAGATCCATGCAGCATCCGAAGCAGGTTGGTTAGTGTATATCCCTAGACACATCATCCATGGAAGTTTGGTCTAGGTAGGGCATATAGTTACCGTACTTGGGAATGGACTTGCTCCAAAACATTAACCTGGTCACTCATCTGGAAAATCTAGGTCAGATCCAGCATTTAGAGCCAGTGTGGAACAGTCCAATCCTAGATGTATTATCCATGCAAGTTTGGTCCAGGTAGGACTTATAGTTACTTGGAAATGGACCTGCTCCAAAAACTTTAACCTGTAAACTCATCTGGTAAATCTAGGTCAGATCCAGCATCCAAAGCAAGTGTGGTAATGTCTATCCCTAGATGCATCATCCATGCAAGTTTGGTCCAGGTAGGATTTATAGTTATACTTGGGAAAGGACTTGCTCCTAAAACTTTAACCGTGACGCCGACGCCAGGGGTATAGCATAAAAAGGTCAACCTTGACCTTTCAGCTTTTGGCCTTAAAGTCAATAGTAGTCTTTTTAAAGTTAAAGAAATCATGATCAGAAGTTCCATTGCAAAAGCTTACAGAAAAACTAAAATTATCTGAAAACTATATATGCAATATATATTTCTGACCTTGACCTCTGACCTTTTGACCTCAAACTCGATAGGGTTCTTCTTTAGGCCATAGAAGTTGAAAAATTAAAGTTTATCGAAGAAAACTCAAAGAATACTAAAGTTATCATTTGGAAAATGTTATTTGCAATGTATGAATTTATGACTTTTGACCTCAAAATCAAAAGGGGTCTTCTTTATGCCATAAGGAGTTGATATTTAATTTCATCGCAAAAGCTCAAAGACTTTTTTAAAAATATCGTCTGCAAACTTCATGCGACCTTCTGTTAACATTTTTTGGCCCTTGAAATGGGGGGGGGGGGGGGGTTTACAGGACGGGACAGTTTCTTGTACGTTTACAAAACTAGTTTTCTAAAATTATTTTATCCTTTGTCGCGTTCAGTTTTTCCTTTTAATCATTATATGTTTCTACAAATTGTAGGAACCACATTGTGCTACTTGCCTTATTTTCCAACAATTCTGTTCTTTCTAGGTATACTCCATTTAGTGAACTGTTCGTGGAGTTTTTGATTATTGTGATATTTTTCAAGATGCTTGTACCGTTCTTGTGCAGAATCTACAAACCAATTAAAACTTTATAATCAATGTCTACTATTTTCAAACATTATTCATAAGTGTAAATAAAGGGGTACGCAAATGGGCCACAATATTGTGTGGCACAAAAATTTTAACAAACCTCTGACGTTGAGTTTCTGTAATTGGATGGCAGACCATGAAACATTGACAGGGCATCTTTGAGGATTTTCTCAACTGCCTGGGAAAATGAATTTGCTATCGATCCAAAATCTTAAATGAAAATTATTCAAACAAATCAAAGGTAAAAAAAAGTTTTTATATGTGAATCTAAAGAGAATGCAGTTTGTTTTTTTTTTTTACCTGGAATACGAGAGGATTTGCTTTTATCCACGTGCAAAGAATTAACTTTCGATATAATCACACCTAAAATTAAACAATACACAAGATAATTCCCACGAAATTTTTGCTTAGAGGCGTCCATTTGGTATTTTTACAAATTATAAAAATTATGAAATCCACACATTGTAAGAAAAATAAGCCTGCAACGTCAATATTTGGACAAAGCCCCTCGGTGACACGTGCATCTGATTGATTTTAAACGGAGCGTTCACTAAGTGTCTGCGAACGACGATCATTAAACCCTATATAATGGTTTACAATCTGTTAACCATGGCCTCATAGCTATGTTCCAACGTAAAATGTAATAAATAGCGATTATTACGTTATTTAAACTTTGCGTCAAAATCAACGCAAAATGTAACGAAAAATATATAAACTTCTTTGTAGTCAAATATTTAGAAATACTTATTGCATGATATAGATTATATATCATGATATTTCAAAAATCTCCATCATAACATTGTGGCATAAAACGGAAATTCTTACATTTTGCGATACTAGTATTACATTCTGTTCATTCAATACAAAATATTTTGGAGGTAAAATTCAGGCATGTAGTATCGTTTTTGTAATTTTCTGAAAGTGGGAAGGGGGAACCTCCATCCCCTCCCCCGATACTACTTGCCTGAAATTATATACCCAATAACTGGCTATGAATACAAAAGCAAGGTCCAGAAAGACAATCATTCAGGGCCCAACTGAGTTAGATAATAGCAGTCAACGGGGACATTTAAATATAACGATTTAACAGTCGCTATATATCAGAAAAAAGACCCCCTCCCCCATTCTATGTACCTGAATGTTATGTTCACCCTGTCCTTAAATGTAGGAGGGATTTTTTTTATTACATTTACTGTCTCGAAAAGTGGGAAAACAGACTCTTTCAATGAACATTTTAAAACTAAATTGAAAGTAAAAGTACATTCAGAAACAATATGTGTTTGTGAAACACTGATGCCCCCGTATGACAACTTTTAGCAAAGGTTAAACTTTTAAAAAGCAATTCAAATATGTTGGTACGCAAAGTAAGGTCTTGTCTTCAGGAATATACTGTGAAATATGAAAGCCCTAGCTGCAACCATTGAAAAGATTTGGAAAAGGTTAAAGTTTTTCAAAAGAAGGTCAAACATCAAGGTCAAGGTCAAAATTAACGGTGCCCAAGGAAAGGCCTTCTCACAAGAAATACACATGTGAATATTGAAGTATGAAAGCCCTAGCACCAACTGCTCAAAAGTAATGGCCAAGATAAAAGTTTTTCAAAAGTATGTCAAATTCCTAGGTCAAGGTCAAAGTTGTTTGTATCCAAAGGAAGGTCTTGTCACAAGAATTACACAGGTGAAGTATGAAAGCCCTAGCACCAACTGTACCATCATATTTAACTTTTGACCTTGAAGTTTGACCCAGTTTTGCAAAATTTTACCCAAATTTAATCTTGGCCATAACTTTTGAACTTTTTTTTGGCTTGTCAGATAATTTTGGGAAGTTGCCCCCCCCCCCCCCACCACCACTTTTGGCTAGTTTAGGTAGATTTTTGTAGGAAATTGCCCCCGCCCACCCACTTTTGAAACCGTTATATGTGATAATTACTAAGTCCTGGTACATTTAAACACTGAAAAGGTGGTATTTAAAATAGATTATTAATTGGTACGTATATAGAATGAATCCAAAGAGAGAGAAAAAAACGTGAGAGAGAGTAAAAAAGACATATAAATGAAAGTTGACTCAGCGTGGGAAAGATTCCTTTATAAAATATTATACTAAAAACAGAATAATATTTTTCTAAACGTATCATAATAGACTTGGTTTTCAATGGAAACCTTTTCGAGTTTCTTATAAAGGTATGTACATGATAAAAAAAATGTAAAGTTGTCCAAACATAATGAATCAACACAATATAATATATTATCTATATTGATTGATATGTCATTTTCATTCATGTATTTAATCAGTATCTGTACTTTGGGCAGTACAAGAAATTATGCAGTGAGTCTTCAATTTGGTATCCACAATATGTACATTTTGGTGATTCATTGAGGTGGTCTATAAAAGGGTCAGCATTATTTAAGGTTCCTACATTTAGTGGTAGCACTTACAGATGTACATTAATATGGCGCTTATATTCTTAGCAGTCTAGCTGGTCCCCTGGCTCATCCTTGCCAAGGCAGGAAACGCGGAGCAAAACAGGGACAGGGAACCAGGCTATTAGCAGTCCCGTTAGCTTGATCTAAAAGTCATATACTCGTACAAAGAAAATTAACACAGTACATAAAAGTCAAAAGAAACTTTGTAATGAGAAATCATAAAAAGGTGCGTATTACATATAGTTAAATAATACACAATTTGTCCGTAAAACACATAATTTGTAATTTCAATGACCATCATGTGTACAAAGCAGGGTAAACATACATTGTATTATACATGTACATATTCCTTACAAGGAAATGTCGCCCGAAACCGCCTGGAAGGCCCGAGAACGTAATCGGTCGGCGTATAATCTCATAGTTCGTCTTAATTTGAAATTCGTTATAATGTGAATAAAGAAATGCTGTCCATAAAAAGCAAATCTGAGCATGCGCATTACAGACAGAGATACGGACAATTCGTCCACAGAGAATGTTGTAACCATTTGATGGGTTCTGATTCCAGCATCTATTGATTCTATCATGAGAGTTATAAAAGCTATAATAATGGGATTCGATTCCATAATGGTGTACTTCGTATGACGGTTTTCAAGTGCGTGCGTACCCAATATCTGCCGTCTTTTATGATGATGCCACATTTTCTTGGTTAAAAACATTACTAATATTGTTAGGGCGATACAAGGAATATATTGATCCATACAAAGCACAATCCAGTATTGTATTGTGTCGGATATATTATGGAAAGGACACTCACTTGTAGTTAATGAGATCATACGAGGTATATTAAAAATTAAACAAAATATTGATATGCCGATGGTATATTTAATGAATCTGAGTTGATTTCCCCAGAAGCGTTTGTTCGTTAGTTGTATCATAATGAGGGCGCGGTGTCCCGCCATTAAAACAGTTATCCACATGAAAATTGTGTGAAAAATGCCGGGGAGAAGAATTAGGTACGTGTAAATAAATTTCCTGCCGATATTCGAGTTGGACAGTTGTTCGATCCAAACTGGTATCTGTACAAAACCATACAGAACCGCCGATAACATGATGACGGAATGGATGGTCCTACTGACGCTTCTGTCGTCTGCGCTGATATTTAGAGCCACGATAGCAATTCCATTTTGGATCATCATCAGTATCACGAAAATCAGTCCAAATATTGCATAAGTGTTTTCCAGCTGAACACTCGCGACTATTTCACAGATACTTGTCATATTGTAGGTATCACTCTCATTGTAGACAGTAAAGTTATCCATTCTGTAAGGTACCGATCTTAAAAACATCGCATCAAATGGAGAACTGGAATGAAATATTGATCAGAAAAGGAAAGGTAGAAGTAGGTACATGTAGGCGTCTTTGATTATATGAAAGCCCAGCACAATCATTTAAAATAAGAGATGATGAGTCCGCAAAAAGCTTTCAGGGGATATCCACTTGAATACTGTTCGTTATCTCCATATTCCACTTCAGTTCATGGCTATATATGGTTCGGATTGTATCTTACTTCAGTGTACCGAAAAAGAAAAACCGATTCTGAATTTTAAAAATGTGCTTTCAGTACAAAACTCAGATTCTAGAAAAAGCAATATGTCTACGAAGGGGGTTTTACATTGCTAAGCACGACTGAATTACTTTCACTGCGATTTTAATTTTGTTAGTTTGTTGCTTAATGTCCCTCTCGAGGTTTTTTCACTCATATGGAGACGCCACTACTTGCCGGTGGAGGGCTGTAAATTTTGACCTATAATCGGCACTAAGGGCCATTGGGCAGTGAGGAATTTTCGTGCCAGCACCTACTGCGACACGGGACCTCGGTTTACACGGTCTCATCCGAAGGACCGGTCGCCACGTCCCGCAATGGGATTGGAACCCGCGACGTAAGGATCAACTCCTTACTCCGCGACTCTAGTGCAAACGCTCTAACCACTGCCTCACGCCGGCGACGCGATTCTAGTAATAATTTGATTTTGTTCAAGTCAAACATCATACTTGACTGAAATCTGATTTAAATCTATAGCTCGAGGTCCCGGGCCACAACTGACAAAAACCTATGTATGTACATGTGTGTACAGCACAGCCAGTGTTCACATGGCAAGTTATGCCGTAATTAAACACGCTCATGGAGACCTGGAGAAGTTGAAAATAAAAAGTTTACAACACCTCCGAGGCCCTGCTCTAACACGAGTAGGAGACCCCGAACCAATAAGACCCCGAAAATTATGGAGTGTAATCGTGTTCAAATACATGTATTGCCTTCCATAGAAAGCGGGGGACCACACTTCTCTCAGTTGACGTTTATTTGTTCAGTGCGTATTCACCTCATAAACGTCAATAATTGTGTAATATTATATTTTCTAAATATTTGCCATAAACTACCATACTTCATATTAATTGTAATCAACAGAAGTCTCTCTAAACCTTATAGAACCTCAACAGTACTTCCTAATATTGATCTTAGAGAAAGCAAACATGTTTTCCCTTTTCTTTGTACCAAGTTTGGTTGTATATTGTTACAAATGCAAAATAGTGCGAAATGCACATTCCGAAAATTTCGAACAAAGGATCTAACTTGAGTACATGACCCAGGTGAACACAATAAAATTATGTTTTGTTAATCACTAAAAAAAGAAGGAAAGAAAAAGCAAAGGAAATACATGTACATGTATGCTTTATTTTAGAACAGTAAATTATTGTAAAATTAACAAATTCCAGATCTTTTGTAATGTGAACCAAATTATCGCTCTAAGTCTCGTCCAGTTGTGCCCGATCATCACAACTCTCTTTCCAGAATTCCGGATGCACTCGATTCCTGATTCATTGAAACCACTGACCGGACTCCGGAAGCATGTGATTCCCCTTCACAAGACACGGTGACTTTCCGAGCCTTCTTCTTTTTTCGCACAGTGAAATACCTGGATGGACGCGTTAGGCTTGATATAGTTGCATTTCTCCACTTGTGAACATACTTGCGTTCCTTGGTTCCAAGAAGTGTGTGATAGAAAAAATACCAGGTGTACGTTAGCAACAAAATAGCGTCTGTAACGAGGTGACGGTAAACATTTCTGGCTCCAGTGGCCTTTGACTTTCTGGTATAGTCCAGAGTTAGCATAATGATGTACAGGGTTTCGATGAAAAATGTCGTAAAAGACATGAAAATGAAAACAGAGTCGTTCAGAAAGGATTCCCGAGCGTTCACATTCCTTAGTTTAATTCGTTGTCTGTAGTTCTTTAGGACTACAATAATTGACAGTACAATTACTGGAAGTAGAATCATGCAAGGTGCACTTCTTACGGCAGCAAAGCGAAGCCAATACTGGGTTATTGCGAGTTTATCATGAGACATCTGAAATGAATATTCACTTCCGAAACAGTATTCGTTCTCGATAAGGTCCACATGGCCTAACTGAACGAACCCTACAATTTCTACAGCAACGGCAATCGGATAAACCGAAAAAGTTGAGATTCGAAATCCACGGGACTTGTAGTACTGGTTACTCCAAATAGGAAACTGGAAACATACTAGCCTCTGGATCGCCAAAATCACCACCTGGAGGACAGATGCAGCGTGGAAAATGTTAAAAAACTGTTCTATTACCAGAACAGATGTACACGATGCATTTGTAAACTGCAGGATGTTTTCTAAGAGTTTAAAACCAGCCGTCACTGTGTTGCATACACTGATCTGTATGTACTGTAAGGCCGTCGTACTTCCGCCCTCTGTCAGTGAGATCTCGGCGTGTTCTGCCTTAACAATGATGATTGTGGTCAGGAAAGTCCACAAAAATAATCCGGACATCCCTACCACGTAACTGTGTGGTACTCGGAAGTCATCCCGCAGAAGAATGTTATCTTTATCGGTAATTGTCTCGGAGGAATTACTAACATTCGCCATTTTAGGCACAGATAAGTAAAAAGCTTCCTACAAAACAGCTACAATAGAACCGAAGGATTTATCGCGTGTGCAAAAGAGGACGGAATGAAAAGTTTCCGGATGCACTACAGAGGAAACAATAGCCTTTTCAGTTATGTTTATACTTTTCTGTTAGAAGTGTGAAATGAATTTTCATTAATTTGTTTCCTTTTATTATAAGTGTATTATATTTTTCCCTTTAAGTCGTGCATTTTTGATACTACACTGCAGATTTTACTAGCTCCATTGAGCCCTAGTCTCAGGTGAGCTACTGAATACTAGTAATTCTGATAAAAAAAATGATCGGTGTCAATTGCATCTATAATTTGTTCAACTTTTAATTAAATACTAAGCAAATTTAACGTATCACACGGTAATCGGATGATAAAGATTTGGAGTTTTCTCAGAGATCCAAGCCTTGCAGGATAGAAAATAAAGAGATAAGGCCACCCTTGACTAGATTTGTAAGTCAGAAAATGGCAAATCCCAAAAGATAAAGTTTGTACGTAGTATTGAATCAATATTTATGACGTTCAGTGTCCAATCTATGGCCAGTGAAGCACTTGTATATATTTATGAATATGATAAACATGAAAAATGTTCTAAAACATTAAAAGTTACCACAATATCAAGCTTTATGTATGCATAATCTTTTTTGTGTAAGAGGTCAGGGTCATGCGCAACTTAGTGTAAAATCTTAGAAAAATCAGGACTTAATAACTCTTGCATCCAGGTTCTGTAAAAGGACCCTGTCCCAACATTTAAAATTTACTCTTTTCCCCCAAACTTTGAGTAAAATTTCCCTAATGATGCAGATTGCATTTTTCAGTGCATTTTATATTAAATAAAACTTGAATTTTGAAATTTTAATGATTAATAAAGGACTGAATAGGGAAGAAGCCTTTAAAGTAACTCTTTATTCAACATTACTGTCATTTTAACTTGATATTAGCCATCAGTATTTAGAATATTTTCCACTTTTTCAGATTAAAAATTCCCTGTACCAAAATGGGTCAATTAAGCCCTGAAAATATATTCACATCACCATTATGTATAAACGATGATATCAATTTTAACAATTATACAATATTTGAGTTTCAGACCATATAAAGGACCAAATTTTGTCTCTGCAAAACCTATACTTTGCTGATAGAACTGGTCTCCCTTCTAAGAAGTGAAGAATTTCTACTATTTTTTTCTTCAGATCCATTTTTTTTTTTACTTTAAAAGTAAAACTTTGTTAAAGTTACCTTAAATTTCATTAGCATTCATCAATTGATATGCCCTTCAGTGATGTTTGTGATTGAGCTACTATATTGATATACAAAGCTTATATTACTTTTGGAATTGTTTCCAAAAAAAATTGACCTTGTCTGATTGAATTTAAGCCACTGACCTTGATATATGAAGTGTTTTTGTCTTTCAAAGTTCAGAATCTATGGTCAAAGCTGTGAATAGACAAAAGCATGATTGACTTGTCCTTCAAATTTCACTTACTTCACATGACAAAAGATTTAGGAAAACAATATATTTATTAAGTTAATTTTTTCTTTTATCAAGAACACACACATATACTTAAGTTTGCAAAAAAATAAAATAAATGGAAATAAACTTTGGTAAAAATGAGTAGTATACTAAGAAAAGCTTCGGATATAAAGACACATAAACAGGGATAAAAAAAACAATCAAGTCATATTTGATCACCAAAAACTGAAAAACATGCAGAAAATATTGGGAATCTCATAAATATTGCACACATTTTGAAAGTTCTGCTTTTTTTTTTTTTTACAACAAATCAATGTTTCTGTACATTATTAAAAAAGTAAGTTGTTATTACGGTTTAAGTCCGAGTACAAATACAGACTGTAAGTGACAAGTTTTAGTCAACATGTCCAGCGTCTTTCAGAGTAACTCTTTTTGATGTATAGTACACTGCCAGAAAGCTTAAGACAGTCAACACAAAGAAAGTGATATAGAAGCTTTCCTCATCAAAGATATCGGTGAAGGCTGGTAGGTGTGGGGAAAGCCTGGAAACAATGTGTTTAGCTGGACTGTTCTTGGGCAGCATTGTTTTGACACTTTGGCAGATCTAAAATTAAAATAGAAAGAGTATGTAAAGTTTCTTTTAATTTCATACATGCATATTTTGTTGTTTCATTGATCCAAACAAAGTTTGAGGTCATGTAATGAATTACTAATTGAAAGCATCTAATGAGTTCTTAACATCAAATATACTGTTTTCAAAATTTTTAGGCAATGATCTGATTTAATATCATATAAGCACCAAAATGATTTTGAACTGCCCCATACTTACTTGTGTCAATTACTGTTGAACAATTCAATCAGCTAGTTTAATTAGCACAATATAAAATATATGAACTAACTGTTCCAATGTGACAAATATTTCCCACATCCTTTATACTGGATTTTAAACAGATATTCATCACTAGCAGAGTTCATTTAAGTCATTTTCAGATTCATTTTTAATTAATGTGAGAGTGTAATAAAAATCTACATGTAAGTACAATTAGAGATTTATAGAGAAGCTAGGTTGTATATATAATTGTGAAAATAAATGACAAAATGCCTGGCAGATTAGTTCATCCCTCACCAGCAATTGTGACATGTCAACTGCCAAAATGTTTCCTGAATTAAGCTTTTAAGATATATTTTTGTCATTCAATTCTAAAATCTGTAGTTCCTAGTTATTAGTAAAAAAAAATTTAGCTAAAATCTTTGAACAAATGATTGATAAAAACTGGCATAGCGACATTTGAAACATTAACTAACTAGGCAGCTGGTACAGATGTCTAATTATGTGTCAATATTTTTACCCCAGTCATTGAGGGATTCAAGTTTATGTAATGGTTCACAGGGTAGTAAAATGCATTATTGAATACTTATGATGTATGGATAACTCTCAAATATTTGGTCCCATGTTTTCCCTTGTTGGCCAATGAAATGCTGAAAAATTCTGCAGTATGTTCAGATGCTCACTGGACAGTTGAGTTGATAGGTCTAATCATTCATCCGTATCCTAGCATTTTACTTTCATGGATAGTATATTACAAGTTTACAACTAACATTAGGCCAGTATGCAGAAACTATGTCTCTGGCCTAGGCAAACCTTTTCTTTAAATAGGTTCGTCGAGAAAATTAGAAATATTTGATTTTCTTTTAATGCCTTGGTTTATTTACTTACCTTTACGTCTGTAATTGATCAATCTAAAACAATTTCATCATTTACAATATAAGAGATCGCAAATTTTAGCATCGATCGGAGGCGCCTCAAATTACCGGAAATAAATATTTTGTACATAGTAAACGGAACTAGTTAATACAGACCTGCAAATTCCGGTTTAGTGGGGGGTGGGGTGGGGTGAATACATCCTCATATTTTGAATTCAAGACAAAATCTTATAGAAAAATTATCCCATATTACTCCTTCAAGATGACAAAAAATTTTAACTTAGACAAAAACAAACCAAAAAAAAAAAAATAATAAAAAATAAAAGAACGTATCTGTACCCACGAGTGATCTCGTCTTTTGCATAAAACAAAAGCTTTTCACTGTTTCATCTTCATTTTCTTTTTCAACATAAGGTAATTTAGTCAGATATTTTTTTTTCTTATTTAATTATTAAAATTTCCATTGTATGTTAAAATATGCAATACGCATAAGTAAAATATATTCATAGGAAATTTGAAGACCAACTCTACATTTTTTTTGGTCGTTTTCTTATTTTGACAAATTATGAGAACTTCGATAATAATCATGCTGTTGTTACTTTAAAGAACCCAGATTATGTTTTCTGACTGAGTGACTGTGCACTGTTTATAATGATAAAATATAGATTTATCCATGCAGCACTATCGAATATTTGTTAACAAACTTAACAAAACCTTCAGCACTCGTTCCTGAAATGACAAATTCAGGATCATATTCCTCTAAACGAATGGGTTTTTTGAAATTAAGACAGATTGCCAAGTCACTGAAATTATTTCTCTCGACTGTATAGAAGGTAATGTTCACCATGATATTTATTGTCATTCACAGTTTCCCTTCAATATATGTCAAATTCGTACGAATTCCATCCAAACAGAAATGTGAATGTCTGTTTGACATGTAAAACGTTGCACTTTTCTATCTTTTCCACTTGTTTTTTATAATATCCCTTTTCTATTTTTTTTTCCCTTTTTTATCTTTAATTTTCTATTTCTAATTGTATATGAATGAAAACGGCATGAGGTTAGCCGAAATGAGCGCTCTAAATAACTTAAACATCCGCGGAACCCTCTTTAAGCACCTGGACATACACAAGCTTACATGGGAGTCTCCTAATGAAGGAGACAGGAACCAAATTGATCATGTAATGATGAATAGCAGATACAGGAAGTCCGTATGCGATGTAAAGGTTATGCGTGGTGCAGATGCCAATTCAGATCACCATCTAGTACTGGGCTAAAGTAAAGATGAAGCTCTGCAGAAACTCAAAGCCAAAAGAAGGCAACAGGAAGATGTACAATGTATGATGTCAACAAGCTGAAAGATCCAAGAATAAGCAAAGGAATCCAGATTGAAATAAGAAATAGGTTTCAGCAACTGTCTAATGAGGAAAACACAGTCAACGAAAAATGGACCCTCGTGAAAGAGGTACCGGTATATAATGAAACAGCAGAAAAGATCTTGGGCCAGAAGAAAAGGAAACACAAAGACTGGCTTACTGTAGAAACATACAGAGCTATAGATGAAAGAAGAAAACTAAAAGAAGAAATAGGCAAATTCGGAGAGAATAAAGGAAATTAAGAGAGAAGAATATAGGACAAAAGACATAGAAGTGAAAAGAAGAGCAAGAGCTGATAAAAGGGAAAATCTGGAGGATATAGCTTACCAAGCAGAGAATGCAGCAAATACAAACCGTCTAAGCGAAGTTTACCAACTGACCAAGCAGCTTTGTGGGAAAAAAACCCGGAACAAGTGGCATAAGGTACAAGAATGGTGAACTAATCATCGAGGATGGAAAATATTGGAAAGATGGAAAGAGCATTTTGAAGAGGTCCTTAATGTTCCAACAGAACTACCTGAGGGATGCATCATCCAGGAGAACATAATTGCTGAGATTGACACAACACCAATAAGAGAGGAGGAGGTTAAAAAGGCAATCCAAAAACTGAAGAATGGAAAGAGTCCTGGCATAGATAACATCAATGCAGAACTACCAAAGGAGAGCATATCATATACAACATCAGAATTAACAGATTTATTCAACAGAATCATCAGTGAGCAGGAAATACCAACAGACTGGAAGAGATCGCTCATTGTCAAAATACCTAAGAAAGGAGATCAAACAATATGTGACAACTATAGAGGAATATCACTATTATCAGTGCTATCTAAAGTGTTTTGCAGAATAGTGATTGACAGAATTAGAGATGGAATAGAAGACAGCTTAGGACCAGAAAAAGCTGCATATCGAAGAGGAAGAGGAACATCAAAACAGATTTACATTCTAAGAAAAAGAAATATATTAGAACAATCTATAGAGTGGCAAGCACCACTGTACATAAGCTTCATAGAACTTTAAAAAAGCCTTTGACAACATAATAAGAGAGAAACTGTGGGACATACTAAGGAGTATGGGATTCCTGAAGTATATGTGGACATCATCAGGAAATTATATGACGGAAGTTCTAGTTGTGTCATAGAGAATGGAAGAACAACAGACTGGTTCAAAGTACAGAGAGGAGTAAGACAAGGGTGTGTTATGTCTGGGTTCCTGTTCATCATTGTGGTAGACTGGATAATGACCAATAATAGGAAGAGAGGTATACGTTGGAAATTTATGTCCACCTTAGAAGACCTGGATTATGCAGACGACCTTGCACTTATTTCCAGCAAACACAGCGACATGCAAGAAAAAACCAGGAGATTGCATGACGTCGCTGAATATACAGGCTTAAAAATTAATGTAGACAAGACAAAAAGCATGAGAATAAACGGAAAAAGGATGATGCCATCAGGATAAATGACATGGAAGTAGAAGATGTTGAAACATTTCTCTACCTGGGTACCACAATGGACAAGACGGGAGGAACTGAGGCAGACATAGGGAGAAGGCTAGGCTTAGCCAGGTCTGCTTTTGCACCCCTTACCAAAGTATGGAAGTCAGCACAATACAGCACAAAGACCAAACTTAAGATCTTTAACACAAATGTTTTATCTGTGTTGCTGCATTGTTCTGAACTTTGGACAACAACCAAGAAAGACGACGAAAAGCTGGACACATTCCATCGGAAATGCCTTAGGAGGATCTTAAAAGTACACTGGCCTGAAAAGATATCCAACCAACAATTGTATTAGAGAGCAAGATCCATACCTCAATCAAGGAAAATCTAAGGAAGGAGATGGAGATGGAAAGGCCACATCCTCCGAAGGGAAGCCAGCTCACACATAAGAACAGCTCTCACATGGGCCCCAGAGGAAAAGAGAAGAAGAAGACGGCCAAAGAACACCTGGCGACGCTCCGTTGAGAGAGAAAGGGAAGAACTAGGTTGGAGCAGCTGGAATGAGGGGCAGGTTGTTGCCAGTGACCGCCGTAAGTGGCATTCTTTGTTGAACGGCCCCATGCGTCCTCCGGGGCACGGAGAGGATAAGGAAGTAAGTAATTGTATATGCTCTCCATTCGTTATTGAAATGTATTTATAAATTTTGTTATCGAAAACAACTGGAATTCACATAGGAGACAATCTGTAGAATGCAAATGGTGTCTTATACAGTACAAATAAAATATATACAATACAAATGAAAAAATAAAGAATACAAATAAAAAAAATACAATATACAATTGCAAAATTATACAATACAAATGGAAAATTATAAACAATATAAATGAACAATTATAGAATACAAATAATAAAAAACTATAGAATATGAAATGAAAATTATAGAATACAAAATGGAAAATTATATACAGCATAAATGGATAAGTTTACAATACAAATGGAAATTCTACAAAAATTATGAAACATTCGATACAAAATCATCAAACGTCAGAGGTCCTGCATGGAGCCAAATGTGGTCCTGTGTTGACTTAGGACCCCTGACGTTGTGGGGATGACAATACAAATGGAAAATTTAAGGCGTCAATTTAAAATTGGTCAAAAAAAAAATCTGCTCTAGAAAGATATATATGCAGCAATTGTATAATTTTCCATTTTGTTTTCTAAAATTTTCAACATGTCTCGAAGTCAGCATTTAGTGACCTTGACATTTGAGATGTGACCTTGAGATTGTGACATGCATTTTGGTGTCCCATTTCTGCACACCTTTAATAAAGGTATCAGCACACTACCGGGAAGTTTGATCATTTGTTTTTTTAAAACCAACTTTTAAAATGGTTATTTATTCAACCTTATAAAGGGTTTGGTTTCTAATGTTACAATGTACTATACTTTTAGAGTAAACGGGGGGGGGGGGGGGTTACACTATACGTGTACGAATGTTCTTTATGCTTCTGAAATGTCCAGCTGCTGTAGCATATAAACCAAAATGCTTGAACAAAACAAAACAAAATCAATTAATTTTAGTTTTTAATGGCCATGGACAATTTTAAAGAAAGACATTTGAAAATGTAAATATTGTAAAATTAAGTAGAAATAGGTACATGCAGATACATGAATTCTTTTGCTAACTGTCCTTATGTTAACTGATACCAAACGCAGTTTCTGTTAATTTCTGTAGAAGTTATGTTTACTTTAGGAAATAATTGTTCTCACTTTCATTCATACCTTTACATTATTTGCATCTATCCTCATATGAGTTAAAGATAGGTACCGTACAAATAAAAAAGAAAATATATACAAATATTTGAAGGCATGTTAATATGCATCTTCCCACGTCAAGGGTTTCTTTTCCACTCCGCTCCACATCAATCCTTGACCGAATAGACTAAGTTTGAAGGGGTTAGAAATGAGCTCTCTGATTGGCCTCATACAAGTTTGCATGATTGAACCAATCAAAAACATTGTTTTATTTAACCTGACACTAAATCGTAAACAGCAAAACACGCCATGGTCCCAACGAAAACGAATAACCCAGTTAAGGCTTGTCTCAACTTTTTAGGTCACCTGAGTCACTCAGGTGACCTATTGCTATCTGTTTTCGTCCGTCGTCGTCCGTCGTGCGTTAACTTAAATTTCTTCTCTAGAACCGCTCAACCAATTTCAACCAAATTTGGTATATAGCATCTATGGGTAAAGGGGAACAAAAATTGTGAATTTCATGGTCCCTGCCCCCCTGGGGCCTGAGGGTGGGGCTAAAACCACCAAAAATAATGCAATCTTTAAAAATCTTCTTCTTTACTCCTGGACATCAAGCAGTCAAACTGTTGGCATCATTATAATAAGCATTGAGCCCTCTACCAAAATTTTGAAATTCATGGCCCCAGGGTCAGGGGTTCTGGCCCCAGGGTGGGGCTATATAGATCATGTAGTGAAAGTGCATTATTTCTTAGAAAATCTTCTTCTCTGCTCCTGGATATTAAATAAAGTTACTAAGTACATAGTTATGATGAGCAAGAGTGCCTCTTCCAAAATTGTGAAAATCATGGCCCCAGGGTCAGGGGTTCTGGTGTTAGGGCGGGGCTCTATTGATTATATAGTGAAAATGCATTAATTCTTTGAAAATCTTCTTCTCTGCTCCTGGGTATTAAATAAAGGAACTAAGTACATGTACATAGTAATGATGAGTAAGAGTGCCTCTTCCAAAATTGTGAAATTCATGGCCCCAGGGTCAGGGGTTCTGGTGTTAGGGTGGGGCTCTATAGATTATATAGTGAAAAAGCATTAATTCTTTGAAAATCTTCTTCTTTGCTCCTGGGTATTAAATAAAGTAACTAAGTACATAGTTATGATGAGCAAGAGTACCTCTTCCAGAATTGTGAATTTCATGGCCCCAGGGTCAGGGGTTCTGGTGTTAGGGTGGGGCTCTATCAACTATATAGTGAAAATGCATTAATTCTTTGAAAATCTTCTCCTCTGCTCCTGGGCATTAAGGTGATAAACTAAGTACATAGTTATGATGAGGAGGTGGGTTTCTTCCAGAATTGTGAAAGCCATGGCCCCTGGGTCAGGGGTTCTGGTGTTAGGGTGGGGCTCTATTGATTATATAGTGAAAATGCTTTAATTCTTTGAAAATCTTCTTCTCTGCTCCTGGGTATTATTTAAAAAAACTAAGTGCATGGTTATGATGCATAAGGATGCCTTTTCAAAAATTGTGAATTTCATGGCCCCAGGGTCAGGGGTTCTGGTGTTAGGGCGGGGCTCTATTGATTATATAGTGAAAATGCATTGATTCTTTGAAAATCTTCTTCTCTGCTCCTGGGTATTATTTAAACAAAAAAAGTGCATGGTTATGATGCATAAGGATGCCTTTTCAAAAATTGTGAATTTCATGGCCCCAGGGTCAGGGGTTCTGGTGTTAGGGCGGGGCTCTATTGATTATATAGTGAAAATGCATTGATTCTTTGAAAATCTTCTTCTCTGCTACTGGAGATTATTTAAACAAACTAAGTGCATGATTATGATAGACAAGGATGCCTCTTCCAAAATTTTTAAATATATGGCCCCAGTTTTTTGGGTTCTTGAGGAGGGGGGGGGGCTCTATTGATTATATAGTGAAAAAAGCATTAATTCTATTAATTAATCATTAATTAATCCTGTCTGCTCCTTAGTGTTGAGCTGATAAATAAATTGCTTAGCTATGATGAAAATGGGAGCTTCGAACAGAATTTTTAAATCTAACCTTGTCCTAGGGTCAGGGGTTCTGGCATAACGGGGGGGGGGGGGGCTTTTGATAATATAGTGGAAAAGTGTTAATTCTTTGAAGTCCATAGTTATGATGATGAGGGTAACTCTTCCAAATTGTAAATTTCTTGACCCTTGGTCTTGGGTTCTTGTGTTAGGGTAAGGCTTTGTTGAATCTGTAGTGAAAATGCATTGTACCTGTGAAATTCTTCTCTGCTTCTGGGCATATCGGAAGCAAACTGAGTAAAAGTTTAAATGATATGAGTAAGCGTATTTCTACCAGATTTTTAAACATCTGGACCATTCGTCTAAGCATTCTGGTCCTGGGCAGGGCTCTATTAATTTGTATTCTACTGAGAGAAGTTATTCCCCTTTTCCGTTCACCTTTGATAATTAATCACTGTAAATAATGTATTTGAAAGGTTAATAGAATAAGATAATTATGCAAGAATGTTTATCGTATAATTCAAAAAGTACTTTCTTAGTTTTAATAATCAGGTAGACCTGTAAGTAATAGATAAATAAAAATGAGACAAAAATAACTTGTCTTATTAAAAGTTCTTCAAAGACCATAAGAGAGGTCAATGCTAGAGGTCTTAATATGGGTTTAAAAATAGTACAGAAGCACTAATAGTGTGTTAATAGTCTGCACGGTGATAGTGTTAAGTGGGGGACAGATTAGAACTTAATTTATGAGTTGATACTGAATACTAGACTAATTATTTTGTTGATCCTGATCTTCCTACTTCTCTTGCTTTAGGGCAACAATGCTTCATCTATCAGTGTATTTAACTTCTAAATATTTGTATTATACTCAGGTGACCGTTAAGGCCCTTGGGCCTCTTGTTTAGTTAATTTTATGTTGAATTTATTATCGACTTCTAATATTGTCTCGCATTTGCTTTTGATTCGCTTACTCTGATTGGTCAATAGCAGAGGTCAGTAGAGTCCAACATGTGTTACCAGATGGCGCGAAAGTAAACCCCGTTAAACTTAGTCTATTCGGTTGCAAGGGTTGATGTGGAGCGAAGTGGATCAGAATTCCTAAACTTGGGAAGATTCCATCACATATCTAATTTTTTTTTAAAATGAAACACTTTTATATTCTTGAAAAGTATAATTATCGTTTAATTATGAAATAATTTTGAAAACGGGCGTAATTAGACGATAAAACGCCCGTAATAAAAGGTCCTCGAAGTAAAAATTTCCACTAATTAGACAGGGACCACGTGAAACTGAAACGTCATAGGTTACACAGACACATGTAACACCATTTACAATCTCAATTGAAAATCGCCTTTGAAAACATTTTGGCATCTATCGGTACATTTATTTATCAAACAGTAAGATCAAGGTAAAAAATATATTTTATTAAAATAATATTTTTTGATTATCTGCACATTGCTGCTAAGTCAAAATAAGACTTATAACCACACAAAATTTCATTAATTCATTACAATAAATGTCCAATATTTTCGGACTTTCATATTACTACACAAAGTTTGACATTTTTCTCTTCAAATACAGGCTTCTGAATAAAATCTACTTGTAACAAAAATATCTAACTGCAGGTTACACAGGCCCGTAGAGTGCAGGGAGGGGGGGGGGGCAGGGAGTCTGGTACCACTTTTTTCTGAGTATAGTATTTTGCTAGAGTAAATTTTCCTTTAGATGCTGCCCTCCCCCCCCCCCCTCCAAACACACAATTTTTAATTTGTTGTTGTATGGTTGAGCACTGGCAAATCCAGTATCTAAACAGTAAATTAGGATTTTTTTTTTTTGCTTGTCAGATAATTTTTGGAAGTCCCCCCCCCCCCAACTTTGGATCAGTTAACTTAAGGTGTTTTTTTTTTGTTTTCGTTTTGCTTGTCAGATTTTTTTGGGAAGTTGCCCCCTCCCCCTTTTGAAGCCGTTGCTACGGGCCTGATATACTCACAAATAATTAACATGCTCTTCATAGTAACAAATTTTTTCTTCCTTTTGATTTCAAAAGTCTCCAAGATCTTATGTATAGTCTACAACACAGATAGAGCTGTATGTAGCAATAACTTATTGCACAATGTATAAAACAATCGATGTAAAACTTGTGATAGACACTAAAAACAAACAGAACATCGTGGTACTTCAACGTGTACATTTCATGAGCAAAAACGCCGTCTCTCAGTTCAGAAGACATGATTAAAGAATCTCTTCGTACCCAATTTTATTAACTCTGTAAAGCAAACCGATGAACTGGCGTCATCACTGTTGAAAAGTTATAAACAATCGCCAGTAGTAATCTGAAAATCATCTATAGCAATGCTACTGGACTGTGAGTTGACGACGCCCTGGATTGTCACTTGGTGTGAGTAGTGTCTGTAAGACATCGGTATTGTAGACTGTAGCCAATCAGAACACCCACCAAACGACCGTCTCCGACTCCAGTGCGAGTTCCCAGTTATGACGTAATCTCCAAAAGTGAATGACGTATGAATAGATAAAGTGGCATCCGGGCATATTTTGTAACGAAATTTTACACAGTATGGCGAGTCCATTTTCCCTAGTTGATGATATAAATTCGCTTTGATACCTGTTGGTTTATTTAGTCCATCGAAAAACATATACCCGTCTGAAACAAAAAAAAATGTTTGACTTCATTTTTGACCTGTCTTATTATTTAATCTTTTCAGACATTTGTATCACTATTCTGTCCCTCCTCCTCAGTAAAAATCTTCCTTGTTTGGATGAACACTGATAAAATATTGGAAGTAAAGGTTTATATCTTGTATACATACTTTGATGGTCTTGTTTATGTTTCCAAACGAAAATTGCTTCATCCTGGGTAAGTCTACAGCTGCTTTCTTCATCAAAATCACAGTAAAAATGTCCATCATCTAAGGAGATGAATTTAAGATCAAGACAAAAAAAAAAAACAATTATTTTGTACAAAATGAATAATAGACAATTTTCAAAACAGCTTGATTTTACCTATGTTTTGTAAAAGTCTTTCCAATAAAATCATCATCTATACTTATAAATTAATAAATTTTGCAAATAAACTCCGAAACGGGTGCACCAGAGTTCTTACTTACTCCTCTAAGAATACACACGATACAAGATGATGTCCGTAAACTATATTTAGATTTCATTTGCATTGTAAGTATCGTACATTAAATTAAAAGTCTACTTTTATTTTCTATAAACAGCCATGAAATAGCAAAAACGTGAGTATGGTGGCGTTTCCGGTTGGCAGATCTAAGTTACTGGCAATTTTTAATGAAACTGACAACTAGCAATCGTTTATTTATTACATTAAACGTCATTACTGAATTATTCAATCAAAACTTGATTTAAATGATATAAAAGAAATAAGTTGTGATAACCGATTAAAAAGGAAAATGTGCAAATTATTTTCGTCATTCACCGATCGTAATATTGACGGAAGCTTCTAAAACATCATATAGCATCGAGCCCGATGTTAAAAAGAAAAACGAAGTGATTATAGCCTTTAACATAAAAAAAAGCTTTTATGTGAATGGTCATTGAAATAATGGTAAATCACTGTAAGTTGTGAATATATTTATATATCGAAAGACTATTACATATATGTAGTAGGTTTTCCTAAAAAAATCATCGGTAAAATTTGTATATATATATATATATATATATATATATATATATATATATATATATATATATATATATATATATATATATATATATATATATTCCTCACTGAGAGCATCGTGGCAACGAACTCGAAGTACAATTTGTACTTTGTAATAAACTTGCTTATATGAAAAGAGAATATTAATGAATAAGGCATTATTCAAATACAGTTATTCTGTAAAATTTTGTGCTTTAATCAATACATTTCAGTTTTTTTCTGAATACAGTCTTTTGTATCAAATACTCGGCCTATTCCAGTGGCGGATCCAGGAATCTTGAAAAAAAAAGGGGGGCAACCTGTTTGGGGCAGGGGCCCACGGACACACCAAAAAAATTGATTTTTTAAATTTTATGTATATTTTGGACACAAAACGGGAGAGGGGGGGGGGGGATGGACCCCCTCTCTTAATTCGCCAGTGTATTCATAGGGCGTTATATAAAAGCTAATTTTTACACAGGTACTTGGGCCTTGGATTATAAATATGTATGTATCTTATTGATATTTAAAAAAAAAGAGGTAAGGTACAGCTTTTACGTATCAATAAGATGCATACATATTTATAAACCAAGACCGAAGTACCTGTGAATTTTTACCAAAAAAATAAATCTATTTCTCAGTAAAATGTGCATATTCACTGCTTTTATTCTTGACGGAAATGAATAAGAGCATCTGAAGTACAATATCCGTAACATAGTATATATAATATCCATAACATAGTATATAACAGGTTTCACAATAAACGTCAATTAATGATATTGTTATTTAAGTTTTACAAGGGGGATTGGGGGTTAGAGACGTAGTTCTACTTCATGCGGGATTTTGAACAAAGTATTTCTTCCTGCTATAAGCCTGTAGGCTGTCAGTAGAAACTACAATATATATATATTATTAGATTTTTTCTGTCGGTAGTGGTATAAATTCAATTCCCCGCGCTTGCGCGGGATTTCATCTAGTTCTTTTAGAATGAAAAGCTAAGCAAACAATGATATAATGATATTGTTCAGATTCACTTAAATATTGTTGGTCATTGCTAATTTATCCTTGAACGTAAAGATAAGTTTAAAAAAAATTCTTGGATCAAAATAATTTAAAAGATGCATAAATATTTCTCTGAAATACTGAAAATGATATGTAATATACCTTTGCATTTGCCCTCTGTGAATGTGATGTCATCAATTGCAACTCCAGTGGTGTACGTAATAACCAAAGGCACAGCTGTTACATTCACCTCGCTTACACCACTGTCAACTGAAATATTAGCCGTGCTCCACGTTGACAAACCTTTTGAAGTTGACCAGACGTCCGTGACGTCATTGCTGTTTTTATGGCGGATTGACACCTTTAGTTTAATAGCATCTCGTTTTTCAAACACATAACTAAGAGACAAACATGAGACCTTAGTGTTCATCACTTCCGGAAGCTGCAGAATGGCAGGAGACAGGTTGTTGTTAGCGTTAAAAGGTATTTCTGCGTATAGGTAATGCCCTGTGCAATTAGATAAAGAGGCCAAACTGTAACGTAATCAAATAATAATGACTTCACTGTAAAACAAAACAAACAGAAAATATTTAAATTTAAAATTGACTAGTGTCTGAGAGACTTTCACCTGATTGTATGAGGCATCATTGTTGATGCCATCTGGACAGCAAAACGGAAAGTAACCTTGTGTACGCCTCGCTTTGCAAGGGATTTACCTGAGATGTTGAGGAATGTATGGTCTACCGCTGGGCGCCCTGTAGCTGTTACACCCCCGGACTGTCGGGTCCACATAAACACGGAGTCTGACAGGTCCACATGTCCACAAGTTCCATAGGACTCATAGTCACATGCTACACTCACTTTATCTACAAAACATATACATGTAACTGTAGCAGTGTGTTTTAACTGTATATAATGTATATCACATAATATTTGAACAAACATTATTGATATAAATGAAATTGAAGAAGATTTTATGATTTAATACAAATCCCAGATCCACCCCTTTATTTACTTGGTGAGCGATAGAGTTCAAAGGTTAGGACATTAGGGTTCTGTAATTTTATTGGTTGTAAGTTTTGGTGGTTCTGAGTTGTTCTCAGATAGACTACTCAGAGATTTTGGCCAGGTTGGTTGTGTTTGAAATTTAGAGGTTTTCTAGACAAAGACTTTGAGACCTTTAGACCAGACCTGACAGTAAGTATAAAGTTTAACATTCTATATCTTTATAATATGTCTATCTAGCTAATATCACTGTTTGAAAAAAGAATGAAAGTTTAAATATGAATAAAAGTAAATTTAAAGCATTTCCACCCGGAGTATATATTTATTTGAATTATGAGTATTATAGTGTATATAGTACTGTAGAATTTATTTGTTATTAGATATGCAGACCTGCATGAAGCATCCAGTCATTTTAGTGTTTCCTGGAATGGGCCTTGTCCCATAGATAGGTAATTAGAATATGTTACCTTTTTGTTTTATGATATGATTATAATTGCATAAGGTCACAATAATTGCAATGTGATTGTTATACATACGAGTAAAATATAATTGTAAAGTGATTTATGTGTATAGCTAAATATTGAAATTAAGGGAGATATGTATATGCATAATCTTCTGTCAAAATGTATCTACATAACATTATCCTGATCATTATCCAATATGTTTTAATCTTTTTAAAAAATATTTAATTCATATGAATCAAAGTAATATTAGTTAGTTTTGTTTGAAAAAAAATTAAAGCAGAGAAGTTTGAAAAATTAATATGAAGCCCAATTAACCTGTTGATTTGGTGATGTTACCAATCCATTCTGTGAAAGAGTCTACTCTGGTATAAACACCAGGCTTATGGAGTTGTCCACAAGGCGATTCTCCCCATGTTGTTACTCCTACTAACATCCAATGATTCCGAATTTTACACACCAGTGGGCCGCCGCTATCCCCCTTATTTAAAAAGACAGACAATGGCATGTCAGCCCAGTACTTGCCAGAGTATCTTTTAATGGACTGAAACTATTCAGCAACACCACTTACCTTACAGGAATCGATCCCTCCATAATCATAGCCTGCACAAAACATGGAGTCTTTCACTTTTGCAGAATACGCCAACTTACATTTCGAGTTGCTCCACAGTTTGATTTTGGCATGGTGAAGCATATCAGGCAATACAGTGGTATAGTAATCTAGGAGATAAAATGCCCTACAGCGCTTATTAATAGTATATTGTTAAATGTTATTTCACATTGTTGTAATGACATTTATGATATATTTAGAGTTTCAACTTTTCTACACGATTCCCCACAAAAAACTTCCTTTTTATACAGTGCGCTTTAAATGTCCTATGTTAATCTACCAACCTTCAATTCTGGTCACTCCCCATCCGGAGATGTAGCAAATGAGACCGGAAGTTAGGTGCTGGGATTGCTGAGGGACGCAAGCTTTCCGGATATAGTTATTCATTTCTACTTTTCGTTGCAGATGAAGCAGAGCAATATCTGCGTTGTAAATAAAGTCGTGCTCGGGATGACGGATGACCTCCATTATTCGCCTCGAGGTATCACCAGATTGGCTGAGAGAAACTGATCCAATCTGGGCCGAAACCAGATAAGACTTTTTTGATACACTAAAAAATATCGTTTATTTACAACGTGATTAATGTATAGACATAATACAGCTGAATTAATTGTTCTAAAAATATTTAATATGTATACCTATGCTTAAAACTTTTCAATCACTGTTTCAAATTCAATATAGCAAAATTTGCTCCAATAACGCAGTTCTTTGATATTGGACTCCCAACTTATTCGATTTTCAAGAGCATGTTCCTGAGTGCGATCAATTTTAAAACCGAGGCAGGCTACTGAAAGATAAGCTGATGTTACAGAAAAGTCAACAACCTCGTTTAAAGTCATCATTCTGTAAATTCTATGGTCGTTATAATGACCTTGTTAACAAATATAACCTATCATTGGGTCTATTTTGGCTGACGCGTTTCATACCAATTTTTGGGCCTTTATTTTTATACTTAATTTGACTATGCAATGTTCCGTCTACCTGATCAATACATAGGATAGTTGCAGATCTGTAGCTCGCTGGTCTGAAAAAATTGGGATGGACCACCAGAGTCTCTAGTCCCATCTCAAATTTTTCAGGCCAGCGAGCTGCAGCTACGGCATAAAAGGCAATATGGGGACAAACACTTTAAGTATAAGAACACGTAATGCCTTCTAAATAGGAGGAAAATTTTTGAAAAAAGTATGCCCATATGGTATCATTGAGAAACCGTAAATATTTGCAAAGGTAAACATGAATTAATATACAATTATAATGTACGAAAAACAATGCATGGATTTTGGGATGAACTTTTGGCACTGTTATATTATTCCTAAATGATCATCTTGGAACCAATTAGCATTGCAGTTATAGTATCGATCTTAAAATTCCAAGCCCCTCTCTCCTTTTCTAAAGTGATTACAAAGATTTGTAAGTGATAAAATAACTGCGAGGACATGTGGTGCACTGGAACCAACTTTCCTGTGCTTCTGCATGGTATCTGAACTGATATTTAAGGTACCGCATGAAGCTGTAATTGTAATACTTTTTTAATATATATCTGAAGTAGCATTAGTTTTGATAATGTACTCAATTGCCTTTTTGTTATAATTTCATACTTACGATTCGACACAATGCCCCGCAGTAACCACCCATTGATCCGCCACCAGAGTTCCTCCACAAAGGAAGGAGTTCCCGATCATCAGTGCCACTGTCCAGGGCCACTGGCCTCTATAGGACTGACTTCCTCCCAGAATATAAGGCTGGACAAGGCTGCTGCTCACCTGGCCACATTCTGAGATAATATTTGGTTTGTATCTTTTATGTTATCATTAGTGATTGATCGTGATTTTAATTTATCAAGAACCATAATTCAATGAATATAACATCCCTGAACTTATGATAATATACATATGTTCATTGTATGTTTTAATGTGAATACTTATATACTTATATCGTAATCTTTTAATTCCAAAACTTCAATCATATTTTAATTTAAAATAATATTGTATGAACTGTAATTTACCTGTCGTTTGACATTTAAGATGAACTCTTTCGTTGCTAGGACACCATGTTACTATGGAGAATATGTCACGTGATAGAATGGTACCAGAGGATAACGAATCCTTTAGCCCCACATGTACTAAACTGCTCGTCGTTTCAAACCACACACTTTCTACCTCACTATAAAAAGGTAACAACCAACAAATTAATTTAGGAAATTTATATTCACTGCTTCAGGGAAAAGGTTTATTTTAGGTATTTATAACAATATAATCTCAAGCTTCATTGCAAAAAGCGCAAAGAGAAATAAAGTTATCAGGTGAAAACCATTTTATTCAATTTATTAATTTCTCACCTTGGCTTTTGACCTCAGACATGGCATACCATTTTGGTAAAAGCACATTTATATTGTGTGGAGGAGTAATTTTTGGCTTTTCAGAGATATATGTGAAAAAAGTTAAGATAACGATCGCACAGTAACCTTATTAATCGTATAAACAAAACAAATCGAGAACAGGGCAAAAACACAAACTAATGAAAACATCCGAGATCAGGTGTCTAGAAGGAGTTAAAGCTTGATAAATATTATTATTGGTTAAAACTTGGAGGAACCTTGATCTTTGAGAAATAGCTGAATATATTTGACACGTGCACTAACTATTTAAGAATTCAAAAATAATATATAGAAAGTGTCTTTTTTGCGAACTTTTCTCCCCGGTCTTTAAGATATGAATTTTAAAGTGTAAAAACAGATGAACTAAAAACCAGTGTAAATACAACTATGATTTATGAATCATTGTGATGCATATCATCTTATTAACTTTATAACTCCAACATTTATGCGGTCTAAAATAAGGTAAAGGATGGAAATTCTTTACATAAACTGATTGGTAGAAATCAATCATTTGAACTTCAAGATTTGCGAAAACAATTGTTTCTCAAATCAATATTTTAACCCCATTAAAGGATATATTTCTCCAAATGTAATGATGTTTTTCAAAGTTGAGTTTTTAAGGATAACTAGGCCGAATCAGTGATCTGTCATGTACCTGAAAAACTGATCCGAGCAAATTAAATCAGCAAGTTTGTTGTCCCACGTATCTCGACATATAGGCAGGTCCTTGTTGTTGTACTTGACGAGCACCTCCGAATCGTCCCTCAAGGAAACTGCGGTTAAAGACATATACAGCTTATTTAATTAACTTTAAAACACAATTTAAAGGAATACCTTTAAAATGACGTATTTAAGGAATACCTGTTTAATTATTTTGGTTTATGATGTGATCAAGCAAAAGGCTCGAGTGATAATTTACATAAACGCAGAAGGCGTTATGTATCACTTACGCAAGCCAATTGCTTAATCATCATCATAAATCCAAAAAATCTGACAGTTATTCTTTATATATGTAAACATGCTTTTGATTCCGAAAATTCACTGCTCCAAGCCCCGCCTCACTTCTCCCTCTCTGTCTCTCCGGCCCCGCACTTGATTTTTTTAAAAACACGCCTACCGATGAAGCAGTAGCTTTAAGTATAGAAATCAAGTATGTTCATTATTTGTAGTTTTTACCTTAGACAAAGAAATTCAAAATTGTAAATATTTATTTACATTTACTTACTGGTTCATCGATAGGCGTGGTTTAAAAAAATCAAGTGCAGGGAGGGAGAGAGAGAGAGAAGTTGGGAGAGGGCAAACAAAGATTTTTTTAAAGATGGCCTTTTTCAAATCATCACTCAAGCCAATTGCTTGATCACATCATAAAACCAAGAAAATTAGACAGTTATTCCTTAAATAAATGTAAATGTTACTATTGGTATTAACTGTCCTTACAGCAGTTGGCCTCATCTTCATGCCCTGAGCAGTCTGGGTTGCCGTCACATCTAAGATAAGTCGAGATGCACTCTCCGTTAGTACACCTGAACTCCCCAGACACACACTGTCCTTCAAATGTAAGTATGATTCATCATAATACAGTATTTTTGTGTTTCTTTAAAGTAATTTTATTACATATTCGTTCAAAACAAGATTTTTCTTAAAAAGTTTTTTTCTGCTGAAAGACGTGTCATAAAGTAAGTCACATGTTCGAAAGTACAAGGGCATAAAAATTTTAAAAGGAAAACAACCATACAAAAATTCTTACGTAATTTTCAGCCTTGACCTTAATACCCACCGCAGACTTGTTCGTCGCTTTTGTCTGGACAGTCTATCTCGCCATCACAGAACCATTCAGCAGGGACACAGGAACCGTCTCGACAGCGCTTCTCTTCCAGCAGACAGTTTTTGGTTTTCGCTAAAAAGAAATATAATCTTTGCGTTTATGGTTTATGCTAACAATGAAAGGTTTTTTTTCTTGTCTGCAAATAGTTTTATTTTCATCTTTTCATATCGATACGTTCTTGGGATTCCTTAATGATTTGTTACGAAAGGAAATAATTTCCTCCATAGAAATGTAAATTTTTATAGAATAAATTGACTGAAAATTTTCAAATGTATATTATGAATACACAAGGCGAGTGGAAAAATATAATTACTAGTATATCCAATTTTTTAATTTCGTATGTTCATTGCAAACATAATCTTATTCAGTTTTATATTAAGAGACGTTAACAATTGTACATAAGAAAGGAAAACTTACTCGGTTTCTTTACAATATCCACGTTTAATTTAAAACCGCTTCTCTGTACATAACGGTCTGACTTAAACAGCAGATACATCCGAGTCCCAGGAAAGGTAAAATTTGAAGGAGTTTTCTTTCCACAGTATCGCTTGATTACCTCACTCTTGGTAGATGATCCATTGTACATTTGTAAACTGTCATACTTGCAATTCTTTTCCTGTTCGACATCGAAAATTTCAAAACCGATTTTTATTTCCTAAAAATACACAGGAAATGATACAATTAAACTTTGCTTTTAAAGACTCTTTCTGGTTACAAATCATTTTTTTTTCCGTTGAACTCTTTCTGAAAATTGATTTGCTTACCTGGTTGTCTTGTGCAATGAAAATCCAGGAACATTGAACGTCATTAGGATACAGTTGTCCCTCCTTCATTCCCGGTGACTGAACAACATGTCTTCCTAGAGTAGAGAAAACCTTTTCTACCCCGAGGCACTCCATCGGGAGTCTCAGGGACGGTGGAGCTGTTACAGTAGGGGGAGAATTCTTTACTGGGCCCGTTGTTTTGGAAGGTGAAATAGCAGCAGCTGTAGATGACCTTTGTGTCCATGGTGAGCTTGTTGAAGACGATGATAAAGATGATGAAAAAGATGATGACGTATTTTTATGCATGGTACTTTCTGTCTCCAGTGAAGATGATTGCTGTTTTGTCATCCATGTTTCAGTACTTCCGGTGTAAAAACTGGCTGTTTTGCTTTTGCCTTGTTTTACTGCAGTTGTTCGTGCCGTTGATGATTTTAATATGGTTGTTAAAAATGACGATGTTTGAGGTAACTTTGTTGTCGGTATTGGAGACGTCTGTAATAAGCTTGTTATAGTTGTTAGTATTTTTAATGGTGGTGTGTTAACGGTTTTGTGGTTTGTTGACGTCGGTGGTGCTATCGTTGTTGTTGATTTTGCTGTTTCTTTTGTTGCTGGATTTTGCTCCTTGCTTGGTGTTGATGTAAATAATGATGTCATTGGCGATGTATTTTTTGATGTCAATATAGTAGTTGGTGATGACGTTATCGTTGTTGCTTCTAATGATGACAGTAATGGTGTTGATGATGAAGAATTTAAAGTCAATTTGTCGTAAACTGGTACAGTAGATATGGTAGATAACAAATATTTCGTTGTCTTTGACACTTCAGTCGTAAATTGCGAGTCAGAGGTAGCAGTTGTTGAGGTAGATATGTCTTGTACATCAGTGCTGCGGATTCCTGTAACTGGGAGCGTATGTACATTTTGAGTGATCAACATATCTGTGGGTGTTGTGGGTGGAAGAGTTAGTACGTTTTGAGTAGTCAAGATAGCTCCAGGTGTTGTGGTTGGGAGAGTCTGTATATGTTGAGTGGTCAACATAGCTCCAGGTGTTGTGTTTGGGGGAGTCTCACTCTGTATATGTTGATTGGTCATAATAGCTGCAGGTGTTGTGGTGGGGGGAGTCTCACTCTGTATATGTTGAGTGGTCAAGATAGCCCCAGGTGTTGTGGTTGGGGGAGTTTGTATATGTTGAGTTGTCAACATAGCTCCAGGTATTGTGGTTTGGGGAGTTTCACTCTGTACATGTTGAGTGGTCAAGATAGCACCAGGTGTTGTGGTTGGGGGACTCTCTATTTTCTTAATGACCCCAGGTGTTGTGCTGATGGGTTCTGAACAGTATATGAAACATTACAATGTGCAATTTTATCAGCTAATGAACGACTTGGCAAAGTATAATTAACTTTCATTTTTGTTTAGTATATGCACTCAGTAATAACTTACCATTTTCTATGATGATTTTAAATCCAGCAGCAGGGATGATAATATCCGAATGAAACTCAACATAAACTGAGTCTGAGGTAGAGAGGTAGACGTTTGATTGGTGGGTTCCACATAGGGATAACATAACGGGTGACGTGTGGGAGGGACCATCATGAACAACGAGTCTGTCGTACAGACATTGTGGATGATACTCCAGCTCCAAGGTAAGGAGACTGATCTTTAATATCTTGAAATAGCAAGCGCGTGTAATAAAATTGTATCGTTTGCTCTAAAATTGTACACTTGAAACTGATGAAAAATCTGTTCATATCTGCTTTTTTAATTAAGAAAATTATGTATTATGTAATTTAACATGCTCAACAAAGTAAAATTTGCTTACTTTGTTTTTGATTGCTGTAATGGAAACTGAACAATGCATGTTCACTGGGTACTTGCTGCCAGTCTGAAATCCAGGAGAAAACAGTTCTATTTTCTCTTTCAGTTTTAAATCAACATGGTAAATTTTTGTCAGACACATTTCTATATTTCTTCTGGTCAGTGTACCAGAGCTGCCTCCGAGATTAGCGGAAGAATCACCAGGTAAGGAGGTATGGCCTTCTTTTGTAGATGGAGGTGATGATGAAGATGATAATGTAGACGATGAAACAGGAAGTGACGTAGATGGTGACGGAAATGATGTTAAGTTCGTGTTACTTGTTGAAGAAGTGGAGATACTATTTGAACTGTTCTTTGAATTCTCTGTAATTTAGAACAAAGTGCTTGTTTATGATTTCACTATGTCAAAAGTTTTATGGATATTTTAAAAAAAATGATATCAGTAACTTTTATGAGATTCAGTGCAATGCTATAGCCGTAGGAGTCATTCAACAGAATGAATTTCCCAACTCGTCAATACCGGTATACATTTGAATGTGACAATAAACCGATATGCTGACCGAATTTAAAAATAAATGTTATCGGTTATATATAGAATGTTTGTCTGCGCGAATTCGACTGGCTTTATGAGGTGTGCTGTGTGAACAAAGACTTGTCAATTAATGTCCCAAAAATCAAAAATCATGCAAATGACAGCGTTAAAAATGACAAGCTGATTACATAACGTGGACATTAGCACAATAAAGGCAATATGCGATTACATGATAATCATTTCATATCTATTCGTAATCTTTAATACATCCTGAATTCCTTACCATGTTTACCAACGCGGAGAAGGCGGGCCTTGAACCCTGGTTTTGTAAGGTAGGGATCGGAGTAGAATTCCACGCAGGCCCTCCCAAACTTAGAGGTCATGACTGGGGGGAGTGTAGTGCCGCAATACTTCACGTGATTATTCCCTCCACACGGACCGGAATAAATCTCCATGTAGTCCCAACTACAGCTGGTATCGTACTCCACATCGAACGATAGAAATCGAACCTCAATATTCTGTTACAAAGAAGATAGAGAGAAATATTTTGAAACTTGCTTATCTTGAAGGAAGTATACTTTACTTTCTATTTATATATTTATCACTGATGATAAACTTTATGAAACATGAAAATGTTTGCTTTTAAAACAATTGGATAAGAGAGTTTTGTTTGGTGGCCAATCGGAAAGCAATTCTACATCACTGCTATTATTATTACGGAGTCCAGTAGTCCATATTATAATTAAAAACCGTTCCTTATCTTTTTTACTAGATAGATCTAGCCCTATATTAATTTTATACGTTTGTCATGTAAAAAAAAATCCAGCAACTATACCCCATGATAGGTTGAGATGTCCCAGGTACAGAGTTTGTTTGTGGGATAAGGTTTTCCCTCCGTGAAGCCTGGTGTACTGATGAAAACTGGCGTGTCGTCCTGGAGAACGATAGCTTGTTGACAGGGCTTCGAACTATTAACCACCAACGTCAACAGAAAAGCTGTAAAATAAAGATTTTTTTTCTTTTTTGCTTTTAATATTCTGACATGATGATGTTTCCCGTTACACTTGTTTTTGTACAGTTATTCAATTGTAGGTGTACTTCTCTCAGGCCCGTAGCAACTATTAAAAAACAATTAAAATGTCAAAGATGTTTGTGTGAGGGGGTTTGTATGTGTGTGGAGGAGGGGGGATATTCCAAAAATAATCTGACAACCAAAAGAAAAAAACTTAGCTGTCGCTCAGATCCTGGAATTTGCCAGTGCTCGACCATACAACAGCAACAAAAGGGGGACCAGCATCCCCCTGCCCCCTCCCCCCACTCGTTCTACGGGACTATTTAAAACTTTTTGAAACTTTTATTTTCACTAAAGCCCCCACATGGGGTATGTTAGTACAATAAGAGTTTAACAATTTTAGCTTGGACTCATTTTTTGGTGCAGTTATCTTTCCTTGCTTAGGCACGAGTTATCTAACTTTTAATCATAAAAAGAAGTCGCGTGTGTCGCAAACTCTTATTCTCGTATCAAGGTTTTTTTTTAGTAACAGTGAAGCCTTAATATAGATTTTTTTTTCAAAATCCAACCTATAGATTTTCGCATGTATTTCCCCATACATAGCATGGCTGTTTCTTCTGAAGTTTTGGACTGTGATTTGGGAGGCATACATCAATTTAACTCTAATGTATTCGACCGCTGCACAATACAGATCTGATTTGAATTTCTTATAAATATTATGATTGTGCAAACAAAACTATGTTTAGTTTTTGTCCTTGACTGCACACCGCCCTGAGTTATGGATTCTGGAATGTTATTGTTACATTGCAACTTTGTATGTTTGACCTTGACCTCTGCATCTCTAAGGGTAAAGTTACCTGACTTTACGATTTGACGTTGACCTTTGCATCTCCCAAGTAAAGATCTGATTTGTTCATGTTGACTTGATATAAAAAATGTTGAACTTGTATTGCTGTTGTTTATGAGGCCCAAAATAATTACATTTCAAGAATGGATGGGAATTAGTTGTGAAAATGAAATGCCAGCATTATATGAAGTGATCGTATATCATTCATTTGCAGATTGGTATCCAATTTGACTTTGATTTGATTCCTTTGTTTTTGGATGGAATCCGGACAGGCACAGCTGGTTAGATAGGACACAATGATGACTTGTGCGATAACAATTATGATGCAAGATGGTCAATGACTACGGTAAGTTTCGTTAGCAAAGTTGGATCGATTAGATGATTATTATTGCGAGATGGGGATTTTCTGTCTTTTTCACCCAACAGTTGGTTGGTCTTTTATTCAGTTTGCACCGCCACCATTCTCTTCTTCAGTCACGGGTTTGGACCCCTCCCCCTCCATTGTCCAGTTTAAAGGAGACAATAATGAACAATTTAGATATATGGTTTTGGGATTATTATTGCTGCTTGTGGTTTTCGACGGTTGTTACGACAATTAATGCCAAGATCATTTTTAAAAAAAAAAATTGAGCATGCCAAGTATTGAGAAAATAATAAACATCGCCTGAGAAACTACGAATGTGATTAAGCTTAATTGTGTTTTCAGCTCAGTTGAGCGAAGAGAGATTCAAAAAGAAATACATGTAACAATAATTAAATAAAAACCCCAAGTGATTCAAGGATTAAACAGTAAACGTAAGCACAATGTCAAAATATTTCTTGTATTTTCCAGAAACCTGCATATCCTTGGTTAAATGTATACTAGTAATCAAATGATCTATTTATCAAGCATTATACTATTTTATTAATTTTCAGTAGTGAAATACTGTGATTTATTTGTAGAATAAAGGTGATATTCTTTCACAGTGTGAAAGGATATCAAAGTAAGTAGAAATGGTTTCTGGGCTGTCATAAGAGAGAGACGGTAACTAGACCATCTTCGTGGCGCAGTGGTTAGAGCGTTCGCTCTAGAGTCGCGGAGTAAGGAGTTGATCCTTACGTCGAGGGTTCGAATCCCGCTGTGGGACGTGGAGACCGGTCCTTCGGATGACACCGTATAAACCGAGGTCCCGTGTCGCAGTAGGTGCTTGCACGGAAAAGATTCCTCACTGCTCAATGGCCTTGAGTGCCAAGTATAGGTCAAAATTTGTAGCTCTTCACCGGCAAGTGGTGGCGTCTCCATATGTGTGAAAAATTCTCGAGAGGGACGTTAAACAATAAACAAACAAACAAAAAACTAGACCATCTTAATAGAGACTAAAACTGAAAATTTCCTCCCAAATATATTGCTAAAATCAATGTTACAGTGCTATGTCGTCTCAACCGCTCAACTACAAAACGTCACAACCTATAATACTGTGTTAAGAAAAGACAGAAGCAAAGAGAAATCAAAGAAATTGTAATAAACAGAAAATTCAATGTTTAGTAGCTGGATATGGAATTTATTTCAATCGTGAAACAGGATTTTTTTTTTGATATACTCACTCGTGCTTCGCACTCGTGAAAATACAAAAAAAAAATCCTGTCCCACTCGAGAAATAAATTCCATATATATCCAACAACAAAACATTGAATATCCTCTGTATATTAAATACAAATTGTTGGCTTCGTAGCAAGTGATTTCCAGCATATTGAGATCTGTGAAACATGGTGCAATTAGCAAAGTTCAATGACTTTTCATCATAATAAAATCTCACATCAAAAATATACTTATAAATCTTCTATAGTGTAACCATTTTGTTTAGAAACGGCTCACCAAATTTATCTCAATTTATTTCGGTCGTTGCATCATTGAAAATGGAGAGTGTAAACATTTTCCTGATATTATTCAATTTCTGTCCATAAAAATATTAAGTGCTTTTTCTCGTTTACTTTATAGAGACTAGCAACATTTCATAATGTCCACAACATTTGATATCTTTTCCTTTAAGGGGACCGACTCTCTGATAATTTAGTAGGTATGACACTAAATATTATTTTCATACACACTGCATATTTTTAATTTTATGTTGTGATAATAAATTATTACTCTTCTTATTCTCTGTGTTCAAATGTCTTCATATTATGATCTGACACAAAAATCATTTCTCAAAAAATGAGCAGCGCTTCATACCTCATACTATTTTCCATTTGAAGCTGATGCTATAGGTCTTGATTAAAATCAATGTTGGGAAGTTTAAAAAAATCGTGAAATTTAGAGCAGAGGTCATTAGTCCTTAAGAAGTTTTTTTTTCCCTTTTTAAACCTTCATGTTGAATTTTAAAAAATTACTTTCTGTATTATACTTAATAAACAAGTGTTTGACAGGATATTTTTAATTTGGCATTTATATGATGGAATAGATATGTATTGCTTTATTGGTTAATAAACAAATTCCTATTCCTTACTTCCCAAGGAGAGAAGAATAACCACAATTGATAGTTAAACACAAAGATATTTATATTCCAACAAATTCATTGAAAGCATGTTTTTTTCTATTTTGTAGAATTATGCCATGTTTGAAAGCCAAAAAGTCTTTAAAATTCGAGAATGTTTGCACATTTACTGAAAATATTTGGGAAGATTATCTAACACATAGAAGGGATGATTTTGAATTTAGATAGGAAAATGCTTTTAATTTAAGTAACCAATGTTTTTTTAAGATAGAGGATTAAAAGTAAATGTGTAAGGATGGTTTAAATAATGATTACCGATGGAATTGGTTTTCGTGGGGTTTTAGGTTAAAAAGACCTGTTCTAAATAGTTTGGGGGCTTCTGATGCTTTGTACATTACTTAAACTCATAAATATTCCATAATTATAATATATGTCATTTTTTTCTCTCTACATGTATTTACACACTGTAGAAAACTACTTTTATATTCGAGGTCGAAATGTTAATTGTATGCCTGTTTTGTTCATTTCAGTGAGTGATGACTTGATTTAAGCAATATAAAATTTATTTGCATTTCTGATTCTGTTTTTTTTCTCTCAAACTATAAACACAAACCCAATGTTTTAATATATTAGCAAGGTTAAAACAATGTACTATTTTTATGACCAAAAATGCTTTAGATACATGTATAAAATGTAATTATTAAACAGGATTTTTGTTTTTCATTATATATTTAAAATTCGAAGGTAATTAACTGTTTTAATGTTATAGGAAGTCTCTTCATTAAAATTCTCCATTTTTTTTCTATGGAATATAACAGTAAAGTGCTAAAAATATTAATTAACATGCTGTAAAAAAATTAACTCACTGGTCAGAATAATTTTGGCTTCCATCTTTATCCCACAAATCTGGAGTTAACTTCATAATATCACCCCAGCACTGCTTCCCTCACAGGGCAGTCACAGCCATTTCATACAATACTATTGGCTAATCCCTCTGTCCCAATTGTTACCAAATGTCAAAACGTTCGTTAAGGATTACTCCCCTTGTTTCTCCTTTGTATCGTTGAATAATCATGAATGAGATGCACCTCCTTAAAGTAGATAGACAGCGATATTGACTGCCAGTTTTCGCAAAGTTGTTTGTTTTGATTGAAAAAAGGACACGTTTGAAAAGATATTTACTTTAGATTTAATGCCTGGTATTGTCTGGTGTTTAAAAATGTGCCAGTTTCTTTGCTTTGAATAAGTGTCATTTAATCTACCGGAAAAACGATGTCCACTGAAAAGAAATGTATTGTTCAGTATTAAATAAAGTAAAAACCACTATTCAGGTACAGATGCAAAAAATTTCTTAGTTTACACATAAGTATATAACTTTCACACGAAAACTTACCTGAGCTTATAAAGAAATAATCCGAGATCAGTATTCCAAGCGACAAATCTTGAAAAGAAAATAATTAGCAGGAGGCAAAGCGCGTGGATATTTCTAATATTGCGAAGCCGTATAAAAGGGACCCCATGTACGATGTGTATTAAAAATAAATAGTTCCAGAGGCCTTTGACCCTTGATTGAATTTTATTATTGCTCTATGCTTGCAGTTTTACATTTCATAAAAAGGAATTGGTATGTCTTTTGAAATTCTGATGAAAGAGAGGGGGTGTCCTCTGTGAACCTTTATCATTAGGGCAACTGGACTGCAACTAATATCATACAAGGAATTTTCATGCTCCTTAAAGTATTCTGTAATCTGTAGCACATTAACCTATATCTAGTAAATAATTCAAAATATAATTAAACATCTGTCATAATGTTAAGTCTATATTCCACTTGAATGGCAAGAAATTTATCTCGAGAACACTTGATTTTAAATTCATTAGGCCATAAATTTATAATCCTTGTACGTGGAAAAGGTTTTTTGTGTTTGTTCGTCACATCGCTCTTTCTAATTCAGTTATCATACATAACCTGAGTATGTCAAGGAAAGCACAGCCCAATTATTTTTAAAAATGTAGAATAACTTATCTTTCCAGAAGGCTATTTAGGCTGTTGAAGATACCCCTGTACCTAAATTTTGTTGCGTGAAAAAAAAAACCCAGCATGTTTTCCACACAATGAACCTCCTAAATGATTTGAAAGAATAAATGGGACTGAAATTTGGGTCTAGAACTAAACATATAGTACCTTGTTCAAAATTTTCCATGTTTGTATGCCCTCCGCCATAAAACGATCGGGTATTTAATGGTACGCTTTCCATCCGTCATTCTGTCGTTCCGCCATAGCTAGTTTAATTCCAGAGTTACTGTATAGAGGATTAATTTCATGAGTTGTAATTTTGACGTTTTTCTCTCCTCAGACACGATCGCAGTTTGATGAATGTTATTCCCCCCTTATACAGTAGTTGCCATGCTTATAGAAACTGAGCTGAATTTTGTGTCTCTTTATATTGACGACTTATAAATGAGGGTCGAGTTTCATTTCAGTGGACGATTTTTCAAGAAATTAGTTGTCAGACTTTGAAAATTTCTAATTATTATATACCCAATGTGTATCTCTCAATTTTACTGTACATTTCGTACAATCACGTGACGGTGTGATCCGACTTTCCGGATCACCACACTGTGGTTTTCTGAATCCATATCACCCCTCTCTGAAATTGATGACGTAGTACACAGAAACATGACGTTATTTTTCATGCGCATCAAAAAGTTCCTGGACAAAATGCTTTGTTTAATGGAAAAATCTTATATAATTGATCTCAAAAGTTTTTAAAACTATATTTTGCTAGTTGTAAGGGGGGTATATAATAAATTTATCATTATAACAGCAACTTGATCCGAAGAGCCGTATCACGTCTCGTTGACAGGCGCGGATCATCAGATCAAACTCGACGCTTCGCGTCTCGTTTGATCTGATGATCCGCGCCTGTCAACTCGACGTGATACGACTCTTCGGATCAAGTTACTGTTATAATGATAAATTTATTATATACCCCCTTTACAACTAGCAAAATATAATAAAAGAAAACTTTTTGGATCAATTGCATAACTTTTAAACATCATAAACAAACCATTTTGTCAAGGAACTTTTTGATGCGCGAGAATAAAAACGTCATTTATCTGTGTACTACGTCATCAGTTTCAGAGAGGGGTGATATGGATTCAGAAAACCACAGTGTGGTGATCCGGAACGTCGGATCACACCGTCACGTGATTGCATAAATTCAACAGTAAAACTGAGTGACAAACAGTTGGGTATATAATAATTTATTATATACCCAAGTGTGTATTACTCAATTTTACTGTAGATTTCGTATAATCACGTGACGGTGTGATCCAGCTTTTCGGATCACCACACTGTGGTTTTCTGAATCCATATCACCCCTCTCTGAAATTGATGACGTAGTACACAGAAACGTGACGTTATTTTTCATGCGCATCAAAAAGTTCCTTGACAAAATGCTTTGTTTAATGGGAAAATCTTATATAATTGATCTCAAAAGTTTTTTTAAAACTATATTTTGCTAGTTGTAAGGGGGGTATATAATAAATTTATCATTATAACAGTAACTTGATCCGAAGAGCCGTATCACGTCTCGTTGACAGGCGCGAATCATCAGATCAAACTCGACGCTTCGCGTCTCGTTTGATCTGATGATCCGCGCCTGTCAACTCGACGTGATACGGCTCTTCGGATCAAGTTACTGTCATAATAATGTATATGTATAATTATTGACTGTTTTTCAGACTCTATTGCTGTGCTTGTAAATGATGAAAATTTTTAATTACTGACTGCTTTCCAGATTCCGTTGCTGTTCTTGTAAATGATGAAAATTTCTAATTATTGACGGTTTTCCAGACTCTTGTCTTGCTGTGTTTGAAAAATGATGAAAATTTCAATTTATTAAATGTTTTCTAGACTCTTTTGCTGTGCTTGAAAATGATGAAAATTCTTATTGTTGACTGTTTTCCAGATTCTTTTGCTGTGTTTGAAAATGATGAAAATGTCTAGTTATTGCCTGTTTTCCAGACTCTTTTGCTGTGCTTGAAATTGATGAGCTGACGTTTGGTTTGTCTGTTTATTCGATGACTCACTGATGAAGACTGAGTCACATGTAGATTGACCTATTTTTACTAAAAAATATTGCATGTAAGTCAAAAAACCTTTTTATTTACTGTTTTGGGGATCTTTTTTGATTTGCTTGTATATCAGCTGATTTGTTAGTGTGTACGTTGCAGACAAAGTTTCATTTTCATGTTAATATTGCCATATATATTTCGTGTCAATTACATTTTTACCTGTAGTAGCTGTAGACTTCGAAAAATTTCTTATCATTCACTGCCCCCCCCCCCCCCCCTTATTTGATATCATAGCTCCCTTAGGGCTAGATTTCGGTCCATAAAATGGAGTCATCGTTCTTATTAAATTAAAGAGAGAAATTAAAATATCTGCTGATGATGAGCAGGGGGACAAAAGGGACTCTGGTAAGCGTTGTGGCCCCTTGGCCTCTTGTTCTGTTTTTTTTTTCTTTCATTGACTACTTCAGTGTTTGGTATGGTCCTAAACTTATTTAAAATGACATTTATTGTATTTAGGCAACTTTTTTAAAAAGAAAATCATATAAAGGTATCTAACACTATAATATTTAAAAATAATGCTATATACTATATAAAACTGAGAGGGACTAACTATTGCATATACTCAGTTTAATAAAAATAGGAATTAAAAGCTCAAGCCTTATGGTACAAATTTCAACAGCAAATGATTGCATGCAATGTTTTAAGAAATGCTATTTTTATTTATACATATGTGACAAAAGTCTACTCTAGATATTTTTAAAATTAAGGTAATTGATATTGAAAATTACACGAAAATCATCGTAAATAGTATATCTAATTGCATGATGATATATTTAATTGATAACAGTATGTGAAGTAAATAATAACATGAGACTTTGGAATGCCTCAACTGCCCTATCTGGATAACATTCATGTTGTGATGATAGATCTTCATTTTATGATGATACTTTAACATTATATGATGATACTTTAACATTTTATGATGATACTTTAACATTATATGATGATACTTTTACACTATATGATGGTACTTTAACATTTTATGATGATACTTTTACATTATATGATGATACTTTTTACATTATATGATGATACTTTAACATTATATGATGATACTTTAACATTATATGATGATACTCTAACATTATATGATGATACTCTAACATTATATGATGATACATTAACATTATATGATGATACTTTAACATTATATGATGATACTTTAGCATTATATGATGATACTTTAACATTATATAATGATACTTTAACATTTTATGATGACACTTTAACATTATATGATGATACTTTTACATCAAATGATGATACTCTAACATTATATGATGATACGTTAACATTATATGATGATACTTTAACATCATTTGATGATACTTTAACATTATATGATGATACTTTCACATTTTATGATGATACTTTAACCTCATATGATGATACTTTGACATCATATGATGATTTTTCGACATCTATCATCTTGCTGAGACCTTTTATAACGATACCTTATAATATCTATTTTTTTGTCATTTTCTAATGTAATTTATTCTATTTTGGGAAAATATTTAAAAACGAAACTTCCGAAAAGCAAGACAAGGTACATGTAGGCGGAAAACATGCTTCATTTATTGGCGAAACTGGGAGGCAACGTGTTGATGAAGACATATATTTTGAAAAGGGGAAAAATAACACCTTTTTTAAATTTTTATTTATTTAATTTTTTTTTTTTTTTTTTTTTTTTTTTTTTGTAAATTGTTCAAGAATTTGAAGTACCTGTATTTCAAATAGCCTTGTGATAATGAATCTAATCGAATGTGTCTCAAAATATTTTCACCACATCGTTAATCATTTCGATCTGTAATTTCTGTTATAGTATCGTCTTTATTTATTTTCGAAAACTCACTCTTTTTTAGAAAACTAAATTCAAATAGCATAATTATGCCATAAATGACACAATGCTCAGTAGTGATTGAGAACTACTTTCGATTAAAT